CCCCTCCCCTCTGTCTGTCTTTCCCTCCATCTCTCTGTCTTTCCTTGTACAGAATTAACCCACCCAACTGACCCCCAAATTCATAACTGGCAAACCAGCAAGCAGGCTGGCTTGCATTTTGGAGGGTCCCGGTCTCCATTTTGAGTTTCTCGTAGCATCTTTTGTAACGCTGGCTCAGAGCACTGTGTGAAGTCAAAATGGGGGCGCTACAATGTGGGGGGGGAGGGCACTCTTGGTTGGGGTGCATGAGCTGGAGCCCTGTCTGAGGGAGCTGGGAGGGCATGCAGGAGATTTCCAGTCTGGACTTTCACCACTGAAAGCCAACTCAAACACGAGGCTCTTGCATCGCTCTGGACGCGCGCTCAGCCTTGGAAGTGTCCCTTGTTCAGGGCCACCTACCGGCGATGCGCTTTGGTGCGCTTTCAGTGCGTGGGTGAGGAAAGCCCTCGCCGGGCCCGCTTGCTCCGCTTTGGTGTCCTAGGAGCATAAGCAGGAGGTGGTGAGGCCCCATCGCTGAGGGTGTTCAAGGATAGGCTGGACGTGCACATGGTGGGCATGTCGTGAGCAGAGCTGGCTGGTGCCGGAGGTCAGACTAGATGGCCCGGGAGGCCCCTTCTGACTCGCTCTGTTTCTGTGTTTCTTACGCTAAGCTGTTTGCCCATGTATTCATTTACTCCTTTCCCGCTCTGCTTGATAACTGAAGTTCTTCAGGCAGTTCGCAACCAAATGCAATTTCTCCTTCTGTGACGAGGAGCAGCTCAAAGCAATTTCACTGGGTGTGGCCAGGATCGAACGGGTGGGCAGGTATGGATCTCTCCACAACCAGATCCCCTGCCAAAGGATAAGGAGGGGGTAAAGTGGGACTGCAGGTGGCGCAGGGGTTTAAACCGCTGTGCTGCTGGGCTGGTTGATCGAAAGGTCGCCGGTTCGAATCTGCACAACGGGGTGAGTTCCCGTTGCTCCGTCCCAGCTCCTGCCAGCCTTGCAGTTTGAAAGCATGCAAATGCAAGTGGATAAACAGGTACCACTTTGGTGGGCGGGTAGCAGCGTTCTGTGCACTTCGGTGTTTAGTCATGCCGGCCACGTGGCCACGGAGACTCTCTGCAGACAAACGCTGGCTCCCCTGGCCAGGAAACGGAGATGAGCACCGCCCCCTGGAGTCAGGCATGACTGGACTTAATGTCAAGGGGAAACCTTTCCCTTTAGCTTAAAGTGTTCCCTGTGCATTTAATGCCTTCCTCTCCTTACAGGTTTTCCCTAAAAAGCTCGTGGCTTTTTCCACGTGGATCGACAGGACGCGATGGGCCAGGAACACATGGGCCATGTCCGCCATTTTCATCCTTACCGTGGCAGATATTGTAGACATGGTAAGCAACATGTGGCACGGAAAGGGGCGCCTTCATCCCGAAGGCCAGATTTCCTTTCAGAGATGCTCTTGAGGGCCAACACCTCCCAAACACCAGCCCATTTTAACGTAGAGTTCTTCCTTCTCGTAACTAATTCTTAGCAGAAGCTTTTAAAGGCTGTGCAAGAGCCGGGAAACCTCCAAACCGTTGTTACCATGTTTCCCCAAAAATAAGACTGGGTCTTATATTAATGTTCACCCCAAAAGATGCATTAGGGGTCATTTTCCGGTGATGTCTTATTTTTTCTTACAAAAGCCATAAGATTCTTGCCCCGAGAGTCCTCCACGATTCCCTTCTTGTGCTCGATGGATTAGCTCTTTTTGTACTCATCTCGCCTGGGGGTCAAAATATTATTCCCTTTATTCTACCATTAAATCAAGTGTTAATTGAAGACTTACAAGACAGGAATGGCAACACACGAGTGCATTAAGTATGTCCGTGACAACACACAACGTATTGACATTATTCACACGTTGTGTCTGTACTCCGATTGGTCATTCGGCAGTAAGCCTCAAGTTCATCTGTTTACATAGGCATTTACCTCTCGTCCAAAGGCACCCACTTGGGTATTTACAAATACTTAATTATAATTTATATTATCATTTATTTTAAGTATTAATGTCAACAATATTATTTATTTATATTTATATATTAATATTATTATTTTTTCATTCAATACGTCCGTCGTGTGTTGCAACGGTTGTACTAAACGCATCCATCTGGCTGACGATCTTAACTGGGGCTTATTTTGGGGTAGGGCTTATATTACGAGCATCCTGAAAAATCATGCTTGGGCTTGTTTTCCGGTTAGGTCTTATTTTCGGGGAAACAGGGTAGTTGGGAAAACATGGAGTCCAGGCACAGGGGCATCGCTCTCTCACGCACCGCAGGCAGCTGAATTGGCGCTCCGGATGGCCAGACCTCACCTGCCGCTGCAGTTCTCTGTCCTACAGTGAATCACGGTCACTCCAGGAGTTGAGAACTTCCTTCCAGGTTGCGAGAAGCAGGAGTTTCTGGGGATGTGGAATGACGGAGGTAGGAAAGGGTGAAGCAGCCCTCCTTCTTCCATCGTGGGAGGAAGAGAGACCGAAACTCTGGCCCTCTCTCCTGCCGTGAAGTGCTCTTTTGGAAGGGGGCGATGCTGGCTGGAAGGCAGCCTCATCGCCTCATCCTAACCCCCCCGGGAGGGCATCCGGGTGACGTCGGTGGCAAATGCCCTTCCTCTGGGCGAGCCGATAATTGTGTGCAGAACTGTATGTTGCAGATCATTACGGGGAATTAGCAAAAGCCCAGCCACAGCAGATTATTTTTAGAACGTGTTAATAATTGGCCAGACCTTGAACCTGTCTGCACCGCAGCTGATACGGAAAGGCTGCCGTTTCCATGCGGCGGCATCTCGGCGGCACTTGGAGGACATGAGAGGAAAGGGCTCTGATTTTTCCCGTGGGAAAAGCGGCAATCCTTTTGCTGGACTTCAGCGGCCCTTTCCAACTCTCTGTTTCTCCAGATTTGTTGGACTATGTCTCCCATTAGCCCAGCCAGCACAGGCCTGCTGTACGGGGACAACGGGGATGTTATGCCAACCTCTCCGGGGGGCGACCCCCCTTTTTTCCCAGCATTCTTTGCCTGCTCCATGTTTAATATGGAAGCGGGAGGTTTTGTCTCCTTTCTCAGCTGAACTGCTCTTGTGTCAGAATGCTCGATGTGGGAGAAACAGAGCACCGTGTGGCTAGAAGGCACGGTTAGATTCCTGGACCTGTCAGGAAGCAGCGCCACCCAGCTGTGCACTTTTATGAGTTTCAAAACCCTCAGCATGTAAGACGAGTCCGGGAGATGCCTCAGTCCAAGAGGCGTGTGTTTTGCTGGCTTCCTGTGGCCCAAATGGGGCTTGAGGGCAAATCTGGAACATTTATACATTGCCCTTTTTATTTATTTAAAACATTTCTACCCCATCCTTGAGGCCCCATCGGTGCGGGTGTTCAAGGACAGGCTGGACGTGCACATGGTGGGCATGTCGTGAGCGGAGCCGGTTGGAGCCGGCGGGGTCAGACTAGATGGCCCAGGAGGCCCCTTCTGACTTGCTCTGTTTCTGTGTTTCCCGATAAAACGTCTCAGGACAGCTTGCAATAGTTGAAAGCAGTGATGATCATAAATAAACAATCAGTAGTAATAAATAAATGGTAATACAATAATTAAAACAATAAATGACAGAACAATAATTAACATTCAAGTCTAACAAAACGAAACAAAGAAAATGCAACTGGATCTTTAAAACAGCTAACATCCTTAATTCTTAAAATGATGGTTGAAGAAAAAGGTTTTTACCTGGCGCCGAAAAGAGTATAAAGTCGGCACCGGGTGAACCTCTCTGGGGAGCGCATCCCATAGTCTGGGTGCCACCGCAGAGAAGGCCCTCCTCCGAGTAGACATCCTCTTTACCTCCTTCAGGGAGGGTTCCCGGAGTAAAGCCTCTTCTGCCGATCTTAAGGGGCGGGAAGACATATAGGGAAAGAGATGTTCCTTCAGGTATCCTGGTCCCAAGCCATTTAGGGCTTTATAGGTTAGATCAACACCTTGAATTGGGCCCGGACTTCAATCGGGAGCCAGCGTAGCTGATAGAGGACCGGCGTTACAGGAGAACAACGACCGGCCCCTGACAGCAACCTGGCAGCTCTACTTTTACCAACTGAAGTATCCGGACCGTCTTCAAGGGCAGCCCCACGTAGAGCGCATTACAGTAATCCAGCTGGGGGGTTATGAGAGCGTGGGTCCGTTTGCCCACCAGATGTTTGAGAAGAGAGGTGAAAATGCTTGATGATGATGATGAACATAATGATGATAATGATAAACAACAATAATAAATGTAGTAATTTAAAAGAGGGTTCTTCAAAAAGTTTCCGTACTTTTAGAAATTCTATTTATTAAGAATTTCAAAAACAAATTACATCACTTTTCTACATAGTCACCTTTTTTTGGGATGCATTTTTCCCAGCGTTATACTAACTTTTTGATGCCATAGCAAAAAATAAAATGAAATATATTTATAGAATATAAACCTGCAGAAGCTTTTTGAAGACCCCTTGTGAATTGGGGGAAGCTGTTTTGCCACCATTCCTATGAAGTACTGGACCAGACTGATCTTGGTTCTGATCCAGCAACACTAGCATTCATATGTCAAAGAAAGCAACAATAAAGGCAAAATAAAATTAATGGATCAGAAAAACCAGAATGAACACAGGAGCAAGAACTGCCAAGGACGTCTTCTGGGCCAGCATTCCACCTGGGCCCACCTGGTGCCGAAGGAATTTTTTCCCTTGGTTTTCCAAGGAAGTGCAGTCTCAGTGGGAAGGACCTTCCAGTTCCATTCAGCTGTGGAACTGGCTGCCAGCGGCGTGGTGATGGCCAAGGGCTGGGAGGACCTCAGAACTCTGGCCCAGCCAAGGGTCCACCTGGTCCGGGATTCTGTGTGTGGCCACCCACTGCTCCCAAAAAACCCACAGGCGGGACGAGGCAGTGGGGGCACCCCCCTCCCCCCTAGTTCCCAAGCAACTGGATGCTGGAGGCTGCCCGGAAGCCCAGATGGCCCTCTGCTCCCCAAATTCGCCCAGTCCCCGTGAAAAGCCCCCCGGAGTGGCTGTGGGCGCCGCTGCATCTCCTGGAAGGGGATTCCACAGTTCGGCTCGGCGCTGTGTGCAGGTGTCCTTCCTTTACTCTGTGTGGAATTCCCCCCGCAGTCAGCTTCCTGGGATGACCCCTGTGGGTCGAGGTATTATGGGAGAGGGGCTGTCTGTGGCTCACAGAATTGCAAAGTGGGGTGTCAAACCGGCTTTTGTGATCCTGGGGGGGGCAGTTAAAGGGGCAAAAATGCCCCAGATGGGTGGAGGGGCAGCCAAGGCAATCCTGCCTTAGGCCCCCTGGGATACCTGCAGGAGGACCAAGGGGGAACGACGAGGAGGGAGCCATGGACAACCCACAGTGGCCTTGCGGGATGCTTGTGGAAGAAAGCAACCCACCATGCCCGTTCGTTGATGGGGTTTGCACCCCACCTATCTCCAGGTGGCCACATGTGGTTGCCAGGCGGTCTCCCCTCCAAGCCCCGACCAGCCCCGGACTTGCTTAGCTTCAGTGGGGCGGATGCCTTGGGCGTCCTCAGACCAGCCGCTGGGCCGGATGGCTGGGCCGCCCTGACGCGTGGATGGAGCCTTCCTTGCGCAGCTCCGCTTCCTCACTGTAACTTCGGCCTGGCAGGTGGGCCAGGAGGAGGCTGGGGTGCCTCGCTGGTGGGCCCGGCTGGCCTGCGGGCCCTTGGCCAGAGCCCGGCCGCACCTGGTCGCCGCGTGCGAGCCGGCCCGACCCTCGCGCCTTCTCTCGCCTCCGCAGCTCAGCTGCCAGCAGTCCTACACCGTGGCCAACGGGACGACGCCGGCGCTGCTGCCCGGCGGCTGCGTGCAGAACCCCGAGTACTACAGCTGCATCGCCGTGCTGGCGCTCATCGCGACCCTCATGCTGGTGCAGGTCAGCCACATGGTCAAGCTCACGCTGATGGCAACGATCACGGGGGCCGTGGGCGTCGTCAACATCCTCGCCTGGCGGCACATCTTTGACAAGTACGACCTGGAGCGCTTCCGGGAGAGCACGTAAGCGCTGCGGCGGTCGGGCCGCGGGTGGGCGGGGGCGGCCCGGGCAGGGGAGGGGCAGTGGGAGAAGCGACGGCGGCCCCTGGGGGTCCCTCGCCCCTCGCCCCCACTAAGCCAAGGGGGTCCAGGCGGCCTGCGGTGCTGCCCGAGTTCTATCATTTCATCTTTGTGGACGATGCCCGTTGACACGCCTGGAGGCGTGGAGCAGCGAGGCTTCGGCATCTGTTTCTTTGAGGTTGTTACATGCCGTCCCAATACGCAAAGTCTCTGGATGGCTTATAAAAGCATCCCATGTTCGTTAACAAATTCGGGGTGCAGTTCTCCAGGGTTGCCCGTTAGGTCCCCAAACCTAGGGGCTTGCAGGCTTCCAGAGCAGAGGGGGAGAAGGTCCAGAGCAGCCTTCATCGCCCTCTTCCTCCCCTTTTAACTCCCATTTTTGGTCGCCTGGCGACAGCGCTCCAGAGGGGAGGGGGTGAGGTGGAAAGCCTTCACCCTCCCTGCTCCCAGCCCCTCTTACCTGCTCTCCGTGGCCCTTTCCGCACTGGAGGGGGCCTGGAACGCCACTGGCAAGCGCAGACGTTGGATTCCCGTGTCTGCACTCGGAGCTGGGAATCCGAATTATTCCTCCCCCCATACTGACCCCACAGGCAACGTCAAGCGTCCACAAAGCGGTTTCCCCAGAATATAAGACCCAGGCCCAGGTGGACCCATGCTCTATTCGCATGGGGGGCAGCCCACAGGATCCCACAAGTGGGTCAGGAGCGCAGTAGGACCCACCTGCCCAGGCGCCCAAAAACTGGTGCACGCCGGCATTCTGCTTTTATTTATATGAAACCATCGTTGTGCATCGCACGGGGCCGTGTAATCGGAAGTTCACGACTGGGAAGGGCTACCGGGGAGGGATGGAGTGCCTTGGTCAAGCCGCGAGCCCTGGGGCTTCGTCTCGATCGCAGGGGAGGCACCTGGGGCTGTGCCGAAGCCGTCCCAAAGGTGACCTGGCCAGCCTCAGGAGGAAGGACAGAAGCGAGGTGGCGCTGGACAGGTGCTGGGGATGCTGCCGGGAGAGGGGCAGAGTTGCTTCGTTGAGCAGGAAAACGCCCAGCAGCCAAGAGCAGAGCCAGGGCGGCGTGGTGGTTAAGGACGTGGGTCTGGGACGCGGGCGATCCGGGTTCTAGTCCCCGCTCAGCCACAGAGCCCACTGAGTGACTTTGGGCCAGCCCCAGACTCAGCCCAGCCTACCTCACAGGGTTGTTGTTGGGGGATAAGCTTATTTATTATTTAAAGTTTTGATATTCCGTCCCCATTGCTACTTAGCCTCGGGACGGCTCACGACAACAGATCAATACATAGAATTACAATTACAATTAAAACTTGGAAAGCTTGAGAGCAGAAGAATGATGCGAGGCATTTTGAGTTCTTTAAAAAAGAAAAAAGTCAGGATATACCTGTAATAGATAAAAATAAAATAATAAAATAAGAGTGGCAGGGGCGGAAGAGCAAAGGTGATACAAAGGGACGCTTTAAAAGTCCAGCTGCATCTCTGAGTGCCAAGCAAGGGCCAGGTTGGCTCTCCCTGATGTCAGGTAACTGAGAAGGCCCCTGGCCAGCCGTTGCATCGGGTTTTGGGGCACCTGAGCTGCGTTTGGGAGGACGAGGCGAGAGGGGAGCAGAGCCTCAGCCGCTTACGATACGGCCCGGAGAATGCGGTTTGTCCTCTCTCAGTTCCCGGTCAACGAGCCGAGTTTGAAGCACCTTTGATTTCCGCTAGGAGGGGCCCCTGGGCCCCGAGCAGCGACACCCCATGTTAATTAATTAATTCAGGGCACAGGTGCTGGGCTGATGCATATAAAATAGATGCCTGCCCCCTGCTGGTTGTGTAGGGTCAGAACAGGGCTTCCCATTCAGAGAAATAACCGGGTAGAGGATCTTCCTTGGACTGCGCCACTTAGCTACAGCATTGCCTTTTGGAACTAGCTGGAACCAAATAAATGCATTTCCCCTCATGTAGAAAACTAGCCTGTAAGCACCAGACTAGCGCTAGTCTTCTACCTAAAGGGACTCTTATTGTTGACATTGTTGCTGTTGCTGTTAGTTTACTCAGGGATGATTCCAGACATGAAACAGTTGGCCAGAGGGAAGGTCTTGGCCGATTGTGTTGTTCAGCTCTCAGGGGCGGCTGCCCTGGATTATGGGTATTGTTAAAACCGCACTTGGCTTGCAGGTACTCGCTGGTTCCCTCCAAGTACTCCATGACGGTCATGATCCTGGTGATGATGCTCAGCTTCTACTACTTCTCACGCCATGTGAGTAGCTTCCCGGATTTCCTAGCATGGGTGCTGTTGCCCCGGGGTTGCCCAGAACTTGCCACCGAAGCCAATGTGCGGCCTTCTCTCCTCTGGTACCCTCCCGAAGCTGCAGGCTTCAACTCCCACCAGCCCCAGCCAGAAGGGCCAGACAACCCGGGAGTTGTACTTGAAACATCGGGCCGCCCTCGGTCGTTTCTGCGTCAGGGTTGCTGTCTGCCCCCTTTCCTTCCTGAGCAGTTCTTCGGGGTGCTGTCTCAGCCCGCGTTCCAAGCGCCTGTCTCAGCTTGCTTTCAGTGCTTAAGACCCCAGAATCTTATGCAGCCATTTTTCCCTGGGAACCTGGCTCTGTTTAGCCAGGGACGGATGGCCAGCAGCTGGCCAGCCGGACAGCCAGACAGACAGACAGGCAGGCAGACAGCTGCCTGCCTGGCTGGATCACATGTGCTCAGGCTTCCCAACTCCAGAGCCAACCATGAGCAATTGGATATGTTAGCCATGGAAGTAATAGTTAATAGTCATAGTGGAATAGTTTATTTTATTTAGGATTTAAAATGATGTCATAAGCCGTCCAGAGACGACAGTGATGGATGGCCCACAAATTTTCTAAACAAATTAATAAATAAATTCTGTGGAGCACAAGAAAGGCAACCACAGTGCAGTTTTCCAGAAATTTAAAAAGTGTAAGAAAATGGCAATTTCATAGTAGGGAAAGGTACTATGGGAAAGGTACTAAGGTACTAAGGTAGGGAAAGGTAAGAAGCAGCAAGAGGGGCTGTTCAGAGGGAAGCAGCGGGAATAATCGGTGCGCTAACTCCTAATGCTCTTCTGGGCTGCATGAACAGCAGTATCACTTTCAAATGAGGAGGAATACTCGGTCCCCTCTGCGCAGCACCGCGTTGGCCTCATCTGGAGTCCTGTGCCAGTTCTGGCTTCTGCAGCAGAAGGAAGATGCAGCCAAGCTGGAAAGGGTTGCGAGGAGGGCGAGGAGGTTGATCTGGGGACTGGAAAGGAAGCCCTGGGAGGAGAGAGGGAGAGATCTGGGCATGCTTAGCCTTGTGAAGAGAAGACTGAGTGGGGGACACGGTATCCCTCCTTAGTAATGACCTATAAGGCCCTAAATGGCTTGGGTCCTGGAGAGCTGAAGGAGCGCCTCCTTCCCTAGGTGCCAGCCTGGCCCTTGAGATCTGAGGCAGAGGCCCTCCTCTGGGAGCCCTCCTTGAAGGAGAGCAGGAGGGTGGCTACCCGGAGGAGGGCCTTTTCAGCGGTGGCACCCCGAGGTTTGCCCAGCGCCAGCGCCCAATTCTTTTTGGCTTTGGGCAAAGAGCTTTTTATTTTCCCGGTATTTTAGCAATTAATTGGTTTTGTCCTTGTTTTTATTACTCTTTTAGATGCAGTGTGCTGTGTGTTATTGTTATGGTTTTGTTCTTGGTTTCCTGTTCCTTGTAAACTGTCCAGATACTTTTAAAGTAACGGACGGCATAGAAATTTTTTAAACAAACGAACAACTAAATAAATAAGTGCCTCCAAGGCAGCCACAAAGAGGAAGGTCAGGATCTCTTTCTCGGTCATCCTGGAGTACAGGACATGGGGCAACGGGTTCAAGTCACAGATTCCGGCTGAACATTGGGAAGAACTTCCTAATGGTTAGAGCAGTACAACTGCGGAGCCAGTGATCTAGGGAAGCTGTGGGCTCTCCCACCCTGGAGGCATTCAAGAGGCAGTCTCAGAGCCATCTGTTGGGGATGCTTGAACCCGGAGCCTTGCAGTGAGCAGGGGGATGGACTGGATGGCCTTACGGGCCCTGCCCAGCCCCACTCTTCCAGGATTCAAGGATTCTACCCTCCTGCTTTGTGCTGGGCTGCTCCCGGGTTGCTGAGATGCCGCTTCCGCCCAGCAAGCGAGCAGCCTCGATGGAAAGGGGAGGCTTTGCACTCCGTGGCGTCGGCCTGCAACGCGTCTCTCCAGTGCCCAAGCACTCGAGAATGCCTCCCCGTGGTTCTTTTCGTGCCAGCAAGTTGATAACGGGGACGGGGGGCAACACGGTCCACGGATGCGGCACAGCTGTTTTCCTCGATTCTGTCGAAAGCAAAACTCTGGTTAAAGGGACAGGGAAAAGAAGGGCAGAGGGGAAGGCACTCTTGACGTGGATAAAGAGAAGTCAGACCAGTGGACCCACCCCCAGCTCGGAGAAGGAGTAGTCATGTCCTGGGGACGTCAGGAGATTTAGAAGGGCCTTTGCTGTTGTCGCCCTCCTGATGTGCTGGACCGCTCCCATGATCCCCCGGCCAGCTTGCTGGAGGACGTGCTGGACCGCTCCCATGATCCCCCGGCCAGCTTGCTGGGGGACGTGCTGGACCGCTCCCATGATCCCCCGGCCAGCTTGCTGGGGGACGTGCTGGACCGCTCCCATGATCCCCCGGCCAGCTTGCTGGAGGACGTGCTGGACCGCTCCCATGATCCCCCGGCCAGCCTGCTGGAGGATTATGGGAGTTGTCCGGCCCATCAGGAGGGGCCAGGCTGGCAGAGGTGGCTCTAGGTGGCGCCAGGGGTGTCAGGTGGGGCGGCAGCATTGCAGTGGGCCTGGCGTGCGCCACCCGGCTTGCAGCCACTCCCGGGAAGACTCTCCCTTGTGCCGCAGGTGGAGAAGCTGGCCAGGACTTTGTTCCTGTGGAAAATCGACGTCCACGACCAGAAGGAGCGTGTCTACGAGATGAGGCGCTGGAACGAGGCGCTGGTGACGAACATGCTGCCGGAGCACGTGGCTCGCCACTTCCTCGGCTCCAAAAAACGAGACGAGGTGAGTGCTGGTGGGTGGCAGGCTGGCCGGCGGGATGGGGCCGAACGTGGCTGCACCGCCCGACTCTTCCCAGCTTGCCCAAGGCTGCGAAACACCAGACCGGCCTTCGCAGTGCGGTTCCGCATCTGTCAAGAGAGGGCAGCTTGAAAAGCCCCCTTGCAAGCGGAGCGATAGCCTCTGCTCATGCAAAGAGTGTGCGAGTGTGGAACCCAAATGGGAGACTCCCGCCCCAAGCCTTCCCTTCTGTTTGTGCTGCACCCCGATTCCAACTGGAGGTCAGGAAACCATTCCTGACCGTGTGTCAATGGGACCAGTAACCCAGGGAGGAGGTGGGCTCTCCCGCCCTGGAGCCATTCAAGGTGCAGCTGGACAGCCGTCCGGGAGGGGTGGTGTGGCCGAGACCCCTGCACTGGGCAGGGGGCTGCACCTGATGGCCCTCCGGCTCGTTCCAGCTCTAGCAGTCTATGATTCCACGATTTTAGGATTCTGCGATCTAAGAGCCAGCCAGCGAGACCTGGGCAGCCTCCAGCTGGGCGACTCGTCTCTCGATGCCTCGTCATGGGGTCAGGGACCAGACGTGGCCACGGTTCCTCTCCTTGCATGAGTCCCTGCCCCCCAGAGGACATTTGCCTAGGGCGGCGGGGGCAGTCTCCTTCAGGCTAAGCTTTATTTCAGAGAAGCTACCAGGGCGCTTTTCATGCTGCGGGTGGAGCTGAAAGCAAAGGCGCATCGGGCCAGGCAGGAACGGGCATGGAGAAAAATACCAGCGTGTTTTTAGCTTGCTGCCTTTACTACCAGTGAGCAAACCTTAGGAAAGACAGTCTTTGGACCCGGGGAGAAGACTGCACAGAAGCCAGGATCCCCAGAAAGGGTGAAAGGGGCTTGCCCGCTGGGGAACCTCAGAGCGCCCGGGTGCGAATCTGGTTGGGTTGGCCGGGGAAAGACGTCAGCCTGCAGCTCTTGGAAGCATCTTGCTGGAGTAGCTCAACCCTCGGTGAGCCTCCAAGAGCAGGCAGACTCTTCTGTTTTTAAGGACAGCCGATTTCACTCGTGCCTCAGAATGCTCTGGTCCTCCAATGTGCCAGCGTGCAGCTGCAACCTGTGGGCAGGTCTGTGCCCGTGTGTGGGCACCAGTGGCACCTGTGTTAGTGCTGCAAGAGGAGGGTTTCTGGAGGGGGAAGGTCATCATTTCCATTGGCCACAGCCACCAGCCACCGCAGTGCGAGGGCACAGCCGTTAGAACTCGGGCGACCTTCGTGCGCTTCTCCCCTTTCTCCGTGTCTCGTGCCAGGAGCTGTACAGCCAGTCTTACGACGAGATTGGCGTCATGTTTGCCTCCCTGCCCAACTTTGCCGACTTCTACACGGAGGAGAGCATCAACAACGGCGGGATCGAATGCCTGCGCTTCCTTAATGAAATCATCTCGGATTTTGATGCGGTGAGTCGTCCCCGGCGAGTGGCAAAACCGCGGGTTGGTTCGTGGTGGGACTGGGCCGCCTCGGTCTGCAGGGTCTGCATTGGCGCGAACTAGAACCCAAGCACTGGAGCACAGTGCAGAGTGCAGGGACTTCGGACTCAAGAACGGAATGGAGGACTTTTCCACAGGACCCTCACACAGCCAAGCGCACCTTCTGATTAGCCTTGCTTCCAAAACCTTCTTTGCTTTAGCAGTGCAAGTCAAGGCAGGGAAAAGCTCTTTCTGTTGTTAGCGCTAAACAGAAAGCGGGAGACTGAGCTTTTGAGAATATTGTGTACAGTTCTGGTCACCTTACCCGAAAAAGGGCATTATTGAGTTGGGAAGAGTGCTGAGAAGGGCAAAGAAGGTCGTGCCGTGTAAGTATTTCCCCCATGCGGTGCAGCGAAAGCAGCTGCAACTGTTGAGCTTGGGGAAAAGGCGAGGAAGGGGAGACATGATAGTGGCATTGAAAACAGTGCACGGTGTGGAAGAAGTGGGGAGGGGGGTGTTTTTCTCCCATAACGCTTGAACCCAGAGGGGTCGCCCCATGAAGCCGATGGGTGGGAGGTTCAGGGCAGACTTCCTGACACTGCATATATGCCTGCATGCCTGGTTGCTCAGGGGCCTGGATGGGCGACAGCCTCACACACATCCTGCCAGAGGGAACCTGTGCGCAGCTGGTTTGCCACAGTGCGTAGAAAGCCGGGCTGGACAGACCTTGGGTCTGTCCCCGCAGGGCTCGCCTTAGGTTCTTCCTCTTGCCGATGCACTGCAGCTCACCCAGAGATCGTGGTCTTCCTCCCACCCACCGAGCTGCCCTCCTCTCCGCTCCTCGACGGCCACTGCCCCATGCGCCATGGGAGGTGGGCGGGCTGGGAGCGCCAGAGGGTAACGCTGCCGTGATTGGCTAAGGTGGCCTTCGGAAACATGAAGGGGGGGTGTGAGCCGTGCCAAGGACTGAGGCCCGGAAGCAACATGCTGGCCAGCGTAGCCCTGGAACGCATCAAGGCAGAAGGCTCAGCCACTTCCCTGCACGTACAGACTGCCCCTCCCTTGATGGACTCCTCCTCTTTCACCAGCTCCAGAGCCAGGAAAACTCCCTGGAATTGCCCCCGGTCCAGCCCTCAGGGCTCTTTCACTACGGAAGGGGTTATTTGGGCGTGCCTGTCTATCCAGTTTGCTCCACACCTGGGACATCAGGGCAAAAACCATTCAGTGCACAGATCTGTTGTCCGATTCCGGACATTTCTTTTTTCCAAGGCAATGTAGAACATTGCCAGGAGGGGCTGGTTTTTTGGCAGCAGGACACCTGTGCAAAGAGCGGCCCGCATCTGAGCACATCCTCTTTGCGTGCTTGCTTACTGCATTTTTATACGGTTTTTCCACTCAAGTATTCAAGGTGATTTTCAAGTGAAAATATGTATTAAAATAGTAAACATCAAAATGTACGAGATAAAAAACATCTCAGGTTGCTGGCGAGTCATCTGAGGCTGAGGATCTTTTTATATCCTGTCATGAGTGGAGCTAGCTGGAGCCGGGGGTCAGACTAGATGGCCAGGGAGGTCCCTTCTGACTTGCTGTGTTTCTGTATGCTTGGTGGAGTGAGCGAAGAGCCTCTGGATGCCAGGGCAGGATTGATGTGGCCTTCAGCTTCCAGGACGTCTGTCTGCTCCTGTTCCAGGGCATTCCCTGCTGGCTTTTGCAATGGGTCTGTTTGACCCTGATTCTGCCGGATAATTGTGTGCATGGGATTGGGGGTGCGACTCTTTGTTCCTGATCCTCACAGCTCCTGGATGATCCCCAGTTCCGGTGCATCACCAAGATCAAAACCATTGGCAGCACCTACATGGCGGCTTCAGGCGTGACCCCTGACGTCAACACGAACGGCTATAACAGTGCCGTGAAGGTAAGCAGGGAAGAAGCGGACGGATCGTGTCGCGACTCCCAGGACGCGGGCCAGTGCGCCCATCGGGGTGCCCTGCAATTTCTCCCCCTGGTTTTCCTTCCAAAACTGTCAGGCAGTGAATCCGATGCCAATTCAGGAGCACGTGGAGCCGACCCTCTCGGACTTTTCGTGCGGAGCTTGTTTTGGCTGCAACAGGCGGGACTGTGCTCAAACCGGGATGTCTTTGCTGCGGCACCTGCGTGTTACATGCAGTGCTTGACTTCTGACATAACGTATGCGCTCAACTGTACCTTGGCTTCGCTGGCTCCCTTCTCCCGAAGGACTTGTGCTTGGCTCAAGGACAGACGCATGGGCTAAAATTACGTGGAGTGCTGCTATTTTGAGGTTATATGTGGCCTCTCTTTCAGGACGGATCCTTGCTAGGAAATGACCCCAGCTTTGCTCAGGTGGAAACGCCCCTTAGCTTGAGACAGCAAAGGGATCACGCACAGCTCCCCTTTAACCTATTGCTTCTGGAGTGAAGCCAGGCCTGCTGGCAACCTGGGGCACAACCGCTGCACCCCAGTAGGCTTGAGGGGGAGGGCCAGCCCACTCCACTCCCTGGGGTGGGGGGAGCAGGCCCACAGCAGCAAGGGGGGGGGCATCTTTGTGTACTGTCCGCAAAGGGACTTGCTGGCTAGGGAAGCCGGCCCCCTTGTGGCTGGAGATGCTGCTGCAGGCAGCGGTTTATCAAGCAGCAGCTTTGGCTTTCAGAGATAATGCCTTGCCCCAGATTTCTCATGCGTTGTGGAAGCAGAATAAGGTCTGCACTGTACTGGGTGACACCTGTGGATTGCTTCTCAAGTGTCCCCAGGAGCCGTGGCAGCTTCCTGCTGCCTGCAGCAGCATCTCCGGCCACAAGGGGGCAGCCTTCCCCAGCCAGCAAGTGTCCTTTCGGAGGCCGTCTTCCTAGCTTGTCCCTGCAGTTTGGGGATATGTCTGCTAGTTCCCGATCTTTCAGAAGTGGCTTGTGGATAAATGCTACAATAAATAGAGGAGCGTATGAACCCCGTACAGCAAGCATGCTTCCAGAGGAGGCGTCCATCAAGCGATGCCACGCCGCGAATTTTAAACACTGCAGCATGTTAAATCCTTCAGCAGAAACTGGATCGCAAACACGCAGGACTGACGGTTGTTCCTCTAGTTTGAGCTCTGAGAGCTCTGAGGAGGAGACAGAGGCTATTCTGAGAGGGTTTACGGACAAGATTCTGAATAAGTCGTTTCCTTTGATCGAGGGTCTCAAAGAGGGGTGGTGGGGCCTTGCACCCGAGACTCAGGAGTAGGACATGGGCTTTAAAAATGTCCGTCAGGTTGATTAATTATGGTATGATATGTACTTCAGGAGGTTCAGCCCATGGACCTCTGCAAGGCAGATCGCAGTAGGAAAGGCGTGGGTGGATTTGTAGCTCGGAGATGGAGAGTTGCGAGGCGGGTTGGGAGCAGGGGTGGCCCTGCTCTTGGGAACTCAGCCCTCCTGCCGGGTGCTTTGCTCTCCTCAGAAGGAAGACCTTTCAGACAAGGAGCGGTGGCAGCACCTGGCAGATCTTGCGGACTTTGCCCTAGCGATGAAAGAGACGCTGATGAACATTAACTACCAGTCCTTCAATAACTTCATGCTGCGAATAGGCAAGTGGGCGCACGCATGCACACGCGCGGATGCGCAGACACATGGGCACTGAAATGAATTCTGGGCACAGAGCACCTCCGAAAAGAAATTAGGGAACGGCCATTGGAAGCTTCTGCGTGGCGTGGAAACAGCAGGGTCGTAGTTTTCCCACTTTTAATGGTACAACCTGAGCTCGATTTTAAACCAGAATCGGGATAAAGAAAAGCCGGTTTGTCTTCTCAGCATTTACAGTCAACTTACTGTTGGGAAACATGATGCCAGCCAAGATCCTTTCCAAGGAGGGCTGGAGGAATGCAGAGAGCGCAATGGTGGTGGAAGGGGCCCCCGGGAACAAGATTCTGCGCTCAATTATCATTTGGTCTGATCCGGCAGAAATTTCCTGCTGCTCTTACGTCCTCCCTCAAGCTCTCTGCTGAGCACAGTCTTAGCCAGGCCCTGCATGAGGGGATGGAGACTTCAGAAGTGTGTTTGCGTGCCTTGAATGTCTCTCTCTCTCTCTCTCTGTCCCTGCATGGTGCTGCTAGGCATGAATAAAGGAGCGGTCCTGGCAGGGGTCATTGGTGCCCGTAAGCCTCACTATGACATCTGGGGGAACACGGTGAATGTGGCCAGCCGGATGGAGTCCACAGGCGTCATGGGAAACATTCAGGTGGGGTGTTTGTCCTCTGCTGCGCTGGGGCGGGAAAAAAAACTGGAAGAAATAAAAATGCAACCAAGAATGGAGGCAAGGGACAGGAATCAGGAACTCGGTCCTCGTCTCTGTCCTGGTTGTTTATTTATTTAGGACATTTATAGGCCGTCCATCGCCGTCCTCTCTGGACGGCTTTCAATATAATATAATCTAGATTCTAAACCAGATAAATTAACTGTACCATGACTGAATACATAAAATAGAGTAGTTAAAATAAGTTAACTAAATAAATATGCAATTAAAATCAATTGACATTAAAATATTGGTTAAATACAAAGCTCTTGACCTGGCGCCGAAAAGCATATAAATACGGCGTCAGGTGGACCTCTCTAGGGAGTGCATTCCATTGTTCTAGGGATAGGACTGAGAGCAAGAGGAAGAGGAGGATGGAAGCTGCTTTTGGGTTGTAGAAAGGGAGGAGGAAGAAGAATGGCTGTACATCTACTAAATAGATAAATAGCAGACGAGCTTAGAAACTGGCTTGTGGGAGAGAAGGAGGGAGTTACAAGTCCATGGAGGGGCTGCATGAGGCTTTAGCAGACATGCGCAGTCACCCCAGCACAGTGCTCCTTCTCCTGCAGAGGAGCAGGATGGTGCCTCTGCCGCTGTCTCAGAGCCCAAATAGGCCTGCTCAAAAGGAGTGTTTATGTGTAGAGGCGCAGACCAAGATACGGGTGTGGCAATCCGTTTTTGTTTCAGTGGAATGTCTTTCCAGACAAGCCCGCTTAGAGTTGTAGCTTATGGTCTAGTTTGACAATGGTTGTCCTGAAATGGCAACGAAATGCTCACCGGGCCAGGGCAGTTCCCCTGTGAGGAAAGGGAACCTTCAGGGCTTTTGGATTAGAAAAAAAGGCACGGGGCAGGAAAGACGAGATGGAAATGTATGCAATTGTATGTGGTTTGAAGGAGGCAGCTTGGGAGCAGCTTCGGACCTGTGGAGCTCCTCCCATGGAGCTGGCTGGAGGGAGATTCAGTTCAGACTAAAGGAGAGGCTTCTGCACATGGTGCAGAGTTAAATTATGGAATTAATTTTCACACGATTTAGTGAATTTGGACAGCTTAAACAGGAGTCGACCAATTCAGGAATGCTACCCAAAGCTACTCAGTCTGATGGCTAAATAGTAAGAATCGCGCAACATCATTTCCTAGGATCACATGTGGGAGGTTGGAGCTGCCCATATACTCTCAGACAACCCGTTGGCCACTGGGTGAGCAGAATGCTGGACTGAAGGAGCCTCTCTGCTTGTGGTTGTTTCCATTCTCCCGAACTTTCAATTAGGGATGGACAGATTCTGTTTTGTCTGTTCCATCCACTTCGTGGACTGCCAGAAAACTTGCATAACATCGGTCAGTCACATGGAGAAAATCAGAAATGTTTAGGGGCCTGTGAGGAGGTCGTTCCATCTGCACAAGTGAAAGCTGCAGAAATCCACCCACTTCCTCGTAAAATAAAGTCAGGTTACTGCCAGCCGAACTCTGGAAAGGCCCAGACCTGTGCAGTGCGGTACTGAAGCTATCTGCACGGTCTGTCCGCACGCCGAAAGATGACTACAGGATGGTCTGCACCCTGTACCTAATGCTCTCACCTGAGTTTTTCCAGCCGTCACTGTCTTCAATTTGCAGCTTATTTTCTTCTGACAAAAGCATTCTTTTAAGGAGAATTGTTGCTGCGTGACGCTATTTGATTGGTATTACAAGGGGCCCCCTGCCTGGGAGCACCTGGCGTTCCAAATCATCGTCTGTGGCCTGAGCCTGCATTCCCTGGGCTGTGTGACCAAGTCACATGCTCCTGAAAGCCAAGCAGAATTGCATGACCTCTGCATATATACTTTTTTCCTTCCGGTGGGGGTGCGGGCCGAACACAAAGCCAGCACCGTATAAATTAATTCACTGTTTGGCTGGGTGAGATGATTTGAAGAGGCAACGGGGGGCACGGTTTACTGCCGGCACGGAGCAATCTAAAGGGAGGCAGCCCAGACAGGTGGGCAAGACCTGGCCATACCAGCGCGATGCGTCTGTGTGTTCTCCCCTCACAGGTGGTGGAGGAGACCCACTTGATCCTGAAGGAGTATGGCTTCCGCTTCGTGCGCCGGGGCCACATCTACGTCAAGGGCAAGGGCGACCTGCTGACTTACTTCATGAAAGGCCGCGAGAAGCAGGGTTCCTTCATCAATGGCTCCTGCGTGACTTTGCCCCACCAGGTGGTCGACAGCTCCTGAAGGCTTCCAAGCGCCACGCCGCTGAGGAGCAGGGGCCTCTTCGATGCCCGAGGGCAGGCAGCTCTGTCTCCGGACGGGAGATTGCTAGGTACTCCTCTCACACCGTTAGATGTAGAGGCGCCAACCCATCCTTTCTTCTTGGAGGCTTGTCGTTCGGAAGGAGGCCCCCTTTGCTATCAGTGTCTGCGTTCGCCTCTTGATTTAGCCAGGGGAGCAGGAAGGGGGTGGTCCTGGGAGGGGGTCCTGTCCTTCGCACACGTACGTGGCCTGCTGCACTTTTGGGACTGGAACTGGGAGCGGGAGGCAGAACAACCGCGGCGCCGCTTGGGTCGATCACCTTGGATGCATCAGGCCACGCGAGAGGCTGTGGCTGCGCAAACTCAGGCGGGCTCGGGCCATTTGTGAGCCGTTTGTTCCCAGTCCAAATGGAGCTCCCCTTTGCCACAAAACCACTGTAGGTAAATAGGAGGAAAGGAAGAAAGAGCAAGTGCAATCTATTTCTTTTGACTGTAAAAAGATGTCCTATTTCAAATATATAAATATATATATATATAAAAAGACACAGATTAACTTTATATTTTTAATTGTGTCTTAATTCTGAAAGCGAGGCGCCTCTTTCAGGCTGCACTTTGCCTCTTTTGCTGCCCTCTCCTCTGCCGACGCTTTAAAAGGAAGAGATTTATACAGCCTGGTTCAAGACTGTTTTTATTAAAAGCCTTCATCCGATTGTTATGTTGGAATAAAAAAGCATTACTATTTCTCTAGTTTCTCAAATAGAATCAATTTAGTTTTAATGTTATGCTGTGTCTATTTTCCTTTGTCGAGTAATGGGGGCTCTGTCACTTCGGGAGGGGGCTGGAAAGGTGCCTTACCTCCCAGTCAATACGCGGCTGCAAAACGTAGGCTGACAGCTGGTGTGCCTTCGGTTTGGCCAAGACCCATTCCAGCTTGGCCTGCCACGTGGTAAGAGGCAATAAACCCTTCTGGATTCTTGATGTGCTTCTGCAGAGGTGTCCCATTTGGAAAAAATTTGGCCAAGTCCAGCTGCGGCGTCCAGCCAGGTCTCCAAATCCACCACCAGGGCCACCTTTCTCATTACTAAGCAAACCACAAATGGTTTATTTTGAGCCGTTCTGTGCTTAAAGAGGAGTAAGCGGCGGAAAGCGGCCATGCTGTACAGATGCAAATCGGTGGGCAGAGGTGGGTGAAGCACATCGCCACTGATGGCCCAACAAACATTAAAACATGGCCTGATTAAAATTCCAGCAGCAGCAATTTAGCAGCATGCTACTTAATAAGCAGCAGTTTAAAACAATTGTTAGCAGTAATGCTAATGTTATTTGGTGAACTTATTTATAGCAATTTTATTGGCACTGATAAATGAGACTGCAAGGCAATTAACTCCTAGGATTAAATAAGGGCTTAAAAAGAGCAGTGTTGGAAAAGCAGCATTGCTTAACTGGAAGGCATGGTAATACTTGCCCAGATATACCTAGCCAGTACCAAGCTAATCATGCAATGACAGAGAAAGCCCCTGAAAAAAATGGATTTATTGGGTAAACCTACTGCTGAAGTAGCTGCCTATACTATCAAACTCAAGAGAATAATCAAGTACTGAAATGAACTCTCATTCTGCCAGTAATACTCTTTATTTCTGTACCTCCGCATCGCCAGAGTTCTCTGGGGAGATGCACCTGCTGGTGGCCCGGGGGCGGGCGGGGGGGGGACGACAGGCCACTGTTTGCTTGTGCAATCTTGATTTTATTTGCCTTTCCTGGATCCGCCTCTCACCAGAGCAGTCTTGCAGTCTTTTTCCGATTGGGGTCTGGCGCATTCATCCAGATAAGAGCAGCTGCACTACACACGGCCTGGACAGAAAAGGAGGTCTTCTGGGGTGGGTGAGTGGTGAGTTTTTGCTCTCCAGCTACAATATTTACTGCTCGAAACAAAACAGTCACGTGCCCCAACCTCCTATGTGTAATCTGAAATCTGTATGACTCTGAGCAGAGCCCAATTCATTTAAGTTGGCAAGAATGACCATGCAGAGCAAAGTCAGAGGGTCTCTCTCCCTGCCTCTTGCTTTGTCATCATCTTTCACCTGCTAAAGAGATCTGGGACGCTCAAAGGCTTGTCCACAATTCTGTGCCTATTTGTTTGGTGCTAATAAAGGCTGCCTGCCCATGAATTCTGGAATTTTTCTTAAGGGCCAGCGTGGCTCATGTGGTTTTTACATACAAGCATTACTGCTTAGCATGTTTGTGCTTGGGAATCACTGGACTTGTATCTATCATTTCTTAGCAGCCATGCTAGCCAGGGAGGGGCAGCCCGGCATAAGGCCTGGGTGCAAAGGTCTCCCAATACCCACAGCTGAAAAAATCAGAGCAGCAAGTGGAACTGGGGAGCTCTCGCCACCCAGTCTCCGGGGAGCTGCCAGTCAGGGCAGACGGAACTGGGTTAAATGGGACCGTGTTTTGGCCCATGGCAGCATCGGCTGCTGAAAGAGCAGAGTTTCTCAGGGGCAGACTCTAGAGCTAACCCAAGTTGAAAGAGGCCGTGCTGTTCCTTTAGCTCTTCAGAAATGTACTGCTTGCTTCAATGAAAAGTTCAAAGTGTTCTTTTTCCAACACATGTGGCTACAAACACAAGAGCGGTCAAGCCTCGCTCACTGCCCAGAGAAAGAAGGGCTTTGGGATGGTTATGATCCCGTTCGCCCAGCAAAAGGTAGAGCCTTTAAGCCGTCATGAGGCAGGAGGGCTAGGATCGGGAGCCCCATGTTCCAGCGGGGACCCTTTTAACTTGGAAAACTCTTGGGGGCTTGCCAGCGGTTCTCGCACAGATTTTGCACTTGGGAAAACACGTAGCAAAACAGAGGCTGTGCAATTAAAAGGAAAAAGGAAACAGGAAACACTTGAATTAAGCCGAATGCCTCTTACTAACTTCTCTAACCTAAATCATCTTGATAGAATTAAGTACAAATGCTTTGAATATTACTATATATCTTTGTACACCTTTTTATTTTGCTTGCTTCATGTGTGAACTTGATTATATTACAAAAGTTATAAAGTAGCAGAAACTTAAATTAAAAAAGATTAAAAGCCATGTTACATACCAAAGGTTGTTTACAACATTTCAGTCACTTTTGCAAAACTCTCAGCTGCTTCTGAAATGGGATTTCAGCCACCTCAGCCCAAGGCCAATTCTCTGGGGAACACCAAGAAACTTCCCCTTTCTTCTGCTTTCAAATTTGGACCATTAGAACACTGGGGAAGTCTCAGCAGCAAGGGGTGAGCCTGTACGGCAAATGACGAACCATAAGCCTGCCTTCATGGTCAGGGTAGCAGGAAGGATTCTTCCACACGGCTGCCGCGGGAACCTCCTGCTGAAATGACTGACTGCAGATGGAAAAGCAAAGAGGCTGCTATTCCACCTTGTCTTGACTCAAGAGGAGGTGGTTAATCCAACAGATTTCAGTGGTGTGTGCTCCATCATTCTTCAAATTTACGCTGAAACTTTGAAAGTGCAATCTTTCCCCATCAGGGTAATATCAAACTTCAGCTTCCCTAGACACTCACTCGTCGCTTTCTGAGTGAGAAAAATCCATAGTGCTCAGGGCTGCCTTTTGTGCTTTTGGAGAGAATCTACACTGCGGACGCCTTGGAAGGAGGCCTTCTTCCACGGGAGGCACGGCTGTGGAGGGAGCAGGCGACTCCAGCGGGACCAATGGACTCGGGCTTCCTGCTGACACGGTGACGGAGCTCAAGGCCTGGTGGAGAGGTTTCTCGAGCAGCCAGGCCTGATGAAGGGCTGCCATCTCTGCGGAAGAGCCAGGCGCGTCTTCTGTTGAAGAAGAGGGACAACCAGAGCCAGCGAATCAGATGGGAGTGGGCCCCGCTCTGCCAGGTCTGCACGCTTCTCCCTGCCTGAGCATGTGACCTCGCTTCTGTTGTTGCCCCCCAGCCACGCAGATGGGCAGTTAAAATGCCGGTGCTCAGTATGACGGGGCTGAGGGGTCGTAACTCCACTCTCCACCAAGCCGCGAGCGGCTGCTCTCTCACCTTCACATGTGACAGTGGCTTCTGTGGGAAGGGTGCTCACAGGATCTCCATAAATGAGCTTCACTGTGAAAGGAAAGGGTGCTGCTTCTGACACACCGTAGCTGAATTCCAGTAGGTTGTGCAAGGAATTTCCTCGCAAGGGTCCTTTCAGGAAAGCAGCAAAATGTTCCTGCAAGCGAAGGAGAATCTTCAGTCAGCATGTCAGGGCCAGAAGCTCAATGAGGCACCGGGGGGGGGGGGGACTCTGGGCAAGAGCCTTCTCCCACTCATCTGGCTCCTCCGTTGGGGGACAGGCAGATGCTTGTTCTCTCCCGTTTTAAGAAGATTTATACAGGTTTTTTTTTAAAGACTTGAAGGTTCTCTGGGGAAGGGGTAACGCGGTTTTGCATTTAAGATCCGTCTGCACTGCTTGGGGGTTGCCTCCTGGTAAGTCAAGCGCTGCAGAAGCCCACAGATCATCTTCCACTATTCATGGACGATTTTATTAAGAGGGGGAGTTTATTCTGAAACAGCAGCCCAGCTTATTTAGAGGTTTTCTAGCTTCACTGAAAGAGTTAGTTCCAGCATTTCTGGCTGCAAGCTGCAGAGAGGGCAGGTGATTAAAATCGGAGACTTCTATCAGGGTTTGAGGCTCGTGTGTGAGAAGAGGGAGAGGAACAGTTCAACAGGAAACAATCCGCAGCGCTCCTGAACGTCCTTTCGTGACTGTCGACAGAGCCACGGCAATTATGTCATTGCGAGCGCCACTCACTGCACAGAAGCAGTATGAACTAGCCCGGCAAGCCACCCGAGGACTCTCTCAGAGCAGCACAGGTTCTCCTGACAGCTGGCTTTTTTGAGAGGGGCGTGTGCGTTCACACCTGCGCAACCCTGCCAAAAAGGCCTGGCTAGCCCAGCCGAGAAGAAAAAGCTGGGTTGCCGCGTTGTGTGAACCCAGTCCCTGGCTTGCTCAAGGCCACCCAGTGGCCAGTCGGCAGACTGCAGGTTATGCGTGCGCAGCGGGTGTACTTACGCTGTACACGGAGGCCTCCGTGCGGCCACATGCGGCCATTCCAGCAGGTGCCCTTTTAAATACTCCCACGGGCGAGACTCAGGGTGCTACTTTGAATGCAAGGATGCTAAGCTGGGATGGGCGAGAGGTGCAGCAAGGGCCAACCCAGCGCTGGTCCGAAACGGAGCTCCTGGGACATCTCACCTGCCCGTCAGCTGCATGAAGCAGCACGTGGGAATGAACGGCAAAGGGGTACAAGAGGCTGCGCTGGGGCACAGGGGCTGGAGGAGGGTGCTGGGGGCCATGAGGGAGTTGCTGGGAAATGGGACAGAAGCCCGGGTTTAGCCAATTTAAAGGCAGTACAGCCGAAATTTTAAATATAAAAATTTCTAGGTGGCTCTTTAAAAAGGATCCATTTAAAATTACAGCTGTATGTATACCTATTCCCAAGTCTCTATCCAGTTTTGCAGAAGTGAATCCATACGTTAAAACCACTGAGTTAAAGCCTGTTCTTCAACTTCTGAGGTTGAGCATTATATACACATACGGCAACCAGGTCATGAACCGCGCTTACTATTCTGCGAATTACGATTGTGCTAATCGAAACCATGCAGGCATTACCCTCCAAGCACAAAGGAAAAACTCCTCCAAGTGGCAACTCTCAGCCCTTGTTGAGGCAGAGGTGACGGCACTTAGAAGCAACCTGACGATCGGTGAGGGGACCCTGACGCCGGCGCCTCAAAGCTGTCCTCGGCCCCGCAGGGCCCTCGTTGGCAGGGCGAGAGAGAGCATGCGGCCCACCCCTTCTAGTCCCCCCCACCCCACAGAGCCTGGGGAAGAAAAAATCCTTCCGGCTGCAAGCAATGGGAAGGAATCCATTCACAACGGCTCCAGGGCCGAGCAGCTACGAGGCCTGGCTTTTAGGGAAACTGCCCCTCCTGCGCAGTGGCAGGGACCACAGAGCAGAAGGCGCCCGTCCCGTTTCATCTGCGCCTTCTGGAGCACATGCTAGGATGCGCGATCTCTGACGCCAGGTCCCTGGAGCACCCGCAGGGATGGCAGCTTCTTTCACTCCTACCTTTAACTGCTCTGCCTGGAATTTCCTCCCCGCGTACGCGTTCAGGTGATCGGAGAGCTCGGACAAGAAGCGCTTGAGGTCTGTTTGCAGGTACTTGGCGGCGATTTGCTCCAAGGGGATGAAGGCCGGGACCGAGTGGTGCTGGATCTGGACTGGTTCCTGCATAAGGAGGTCCAGGTGGTAGGAGTCCAGGTAGGTGCCCTGGAAGGCAGTGGTGATGCACAGGCAGGCTCTGTGCTGGGTCAGTCTCCCACTGAAGCCTAGAAGAAAACATCCGTGCACGCTGGAACCCCGTGAGGGCAGAGGAAGCTGTTCTGAGACACGCTGCCCTGCAGGAACGGGACCCGAGGGGAGCAGGAGCCACGCTTTCCTTCTCGGACGCATGGCTGGGCCGATTTCGTTTCCTTTTTATCGTTTCCATCCTGCCACGTGGCTTTGCAGAACTCTCAGGTGCTAGACTGCCTGCCTGCCTGCCTGCCTACAGCCCGTCTCCAGGCCTTACCTCTGGTTGGGCTCCAGAGTCAAGGATCTGAGAGCAGACTTCAGTTTTATGGGAAATCTAGAGAATTATGAAAAAATAGGGCTATTACGTGGTAGGATGGGGTGGATTTGTGGTGGATCACAATTTAAATAATGATCACCAGTAAGACGCGATTTAAATCATGGTTTTCGACATAATTTGCACAGATGCCTGCCTTACCTGCAAGTTAAGAAACCTCATTAAAATATTCCCAAACAGGCTCTCTTTTACAGCCTGCTGCCATTTTAGGTTTTCTCCTCCAGGGAAAGAATATGACAAACCTCAGGCTATACACAAAAATATCCAAAACCTTGCAGAGTAGTCTGCTCAAAAGATTTCGCTTGCATTTTTACTGCTTGCTCTTCACTTCTTCTGCAGATCTATTCCACTCCCAAGAATCTTTCACTTACTGTATTTTTTGAAACTTAGGTGAGGGGTTGATTCTGTGCACATAGGTTTGCAAAGGAACAATGGGATTAAAAATGGGATCTTTTTCTCAACTCCGTATGTTTATTTTATAATATTGTTGCTATGAAGAAGAGGCATATGATCTCTGCAGACACAAATCCACAATTTTGAGAAGTGTAACACCAAGCATCTGTGATAATATATTCTAGATAGAAAAACTGCCCATTAATCTTACAGAAAGCTCTGGAAGAGCATGACATTGTGAAAGCATTAATGGAGTTAACTGACCAAAAATAAAAAAATGAAATAGAAAATAAAAAACAAAGATGGCATGAATGTACGGCCTCATGCTACATAATGAAAAATTAATCCTTATTTCATGATGAATAACCTCTAGACTATAATGTATCGTAAACAGCAAACTAGATAGATTTTTCCTCAAAAAGCATTTTATTTTAAATAATCCAATCTAGATTTTAAAAATGATTGAAATTAAAAAAAAATTTAAAAAATCAATGATTTTTACCCACCCTAGTGGGGGAGACGGAGACTAGCATAATGCTAATCTTGGGAAAGAGGCAGGGAAGTGGGATGCTGAGGGTCAAAAGGCTTCCCAAGCTGTGTGTTATGTGCCATCATCTCTGAGTTACAGCGACCCTAAGAAAGAAAGCCCTCCCAGACAACCCTGCCGTGGCATCCCTGATGAGCTGCTCGAGGTTCAAGGCTGCAGCTGCCTTGAACCTCGAGTTCAAGGAGTCCCTCCATCTCTAGTTTGGGCTTCCTCCTCTCCTTCTGCCTTCGGCTTCCCCTAGAGTGACGGTCTTCTCCAGGGAGTCTGCCTTCTCCTGATGTGTCCACAGCAGGCCAGCCTCAGTATCGTCATTTTCGCTTCTAGGGAAAGCTCCGGCTTGGTCTGAGCTAGAATTTTTGAAACCTTGTGTTCTCCACAGTCATGAGAGTTACAAACATAATCATGCATTCAAGAGAGGGAACATAAATTGAGATAGGTACTCCCTGCCGTCCCACAACTTCTGTGTTTTTCAGGACTTATCCAAATGCTAAAATAACTAAAATGAAGACAACAAGGCCAGGAGATGACACAACAAGGCCACTAACCTCTAGCTTAGAAAACGAGTCTTGTATGCATCTAAGGGAAGTACCTGTCAGCCGAAACAACTGCAGCAAACCCTTGACGTTCCCCATTTTCCACTCCAAGAGGGCTTGTTGGCTCAGCTCTGTAGGTGCCGCTGCCTGAGAATTACTTTCTGCAGAGTCTTTGTGCCTATTGAACTACAAAAGACCGGAATAAGATCGCTTTGCTAGAACTAGCTGGTTTGTCCACATTGTCCTTGAAACCTGTTCAAGTGCTGGCATTTCCTGACGGGAAGCTGTTACAGACACTAGCAGGGAGGCCAGGACAGAGACACGGCACTGGAGGAGAGAGAAACGCTTCTGCAAGATGATCAGGTCAGGCGTCCCTCTGGTCCAGCACTCTGTTCTTGCAGGAGCAAACCAGCTCCACACAGGACCCCGTCAGCAGGATCCCTTCAGAGGACAAAGCCCCTCCTGCCCACGTTCTCCAAAGAGCCTAAATAGCCAGGGTGCCCCACAATTTCTTATGGGAAGAATGCGGGAGCAAAGATCCCTTTCTAACTGTAATGGGGGCCCAGCATAACTGAGGCTTCAAACTAGGAATCACTGTAGAAACAACCAGTCTTCTGGAGCTGAAAGCTAGAATCTAAAGCTGTTTTCGTGTTGCAGCATAAAGTTCACGTCGCACCATTTATTCTCGTGTGTGACTGCTGTTCTCTCCACTCAACTGCAAGAGCCACGCTCTGCCTGATGCTTTAACCTGAAGGGCAGACGCCTGAGGTCAGGGTACGGCTGGCACCTACCCGAGAACGACAAGCGTTCAGCTTGGCCCTCAGCTGATCTCTCTGACGTTTGAGTTCCTGGATCCTGGCTTCCATCCTGGCCACCTTCTCCGCATGTTGGCGTCTCTCCCCTTGTTCGAGGGCTGCAGTGTGGGCACTAGCCTCCAACTTCTCCAGGTGGGATAAGACACCTGCAAAGGAGATGGGCAGACAGAGAAAGCAGTCACCGCTTGCGGCTACTGCAGAAGCCATAACCGAACAATTCGCACAACAGCGCCCTGAAAGATACTTTTCTTGGCATTGAAATCACCCCATTTATGCCTAGATTTCTCACGTCTTTACAGTTTGAGCTAGTGAGGCAAAGAAAGGAGAGTTTACTGTGCAAGCCCCATTCTGAAAATAAATTGTAAAAGTCCATGTACATATAAATGCATACATAAAGAATACAGAGGAAGACACATAACTAAATATGGCACATTTCAATCAACAGCAAGAAAAAATCAAGAACTGGTTAAAACCATGTGGATAAGTGTAGAAAAATTGCAAAATATTATATTGCAAAAACCTGCAATGTTTAAACTAGAATAATATTGATATATTGAAATGTGAGATAAAGGAGAAAATGCATGAATTTAGGAAAATAAGATTATCATGGTTTGGTAGAATAGAAGTACGTAAGATGAAACGTAAAATTTTATCTAAAATTTAACTTTATGTTTGGGATGTTACCAATTAAGATATTAGGATAAGAATTAGAAGATTGGCAAAATATAATTTATCAATTTTGTAATAAGAACAAGAAAGCTAGGATTAGTTTTAAAAAGTGGTATAAACTACAAAAAATGGGAGGATTAGGTATTCTGAATATAAAATTATAGTATGTAACAAATCAAATAAGGTATTTATATATCAGATATCATATTACAACCTGAAAAGGTCATATGGGTAGAATTAGAATTTTAACAAATCAAGGAATTCTTTTTAAACCAACCTATTCCTTAAGAACATGGGGCAAATTTGGAAAAACTATAGGGAAATATTCATGCCAACAATCCCAATCACAGCTATAGAAGGATTTCCAGAAAATTTGAGAGGTAATTTGAGAAAAGTATCAAAGGACAAACAAGTTCTCAGATTGTATACATGTATAATAGCTAAAAGATAAAGGTGGTATTAGGAAAAGAAAAATTAACTTGGCTTAATATTATGCATTTAGAACAATGGACTAAAAATGGGTAAAGAAAAATGGCAAATGCAGAGATATTACTAAATTTGAAGAGATTTTATTACAAAAGGAGAAACAAAATAAGATGCAAAGAAGAGGGATAATAATTGAGATTGGCAGGATTATTGTTAGAAGTGGAAGATTATTATTAGACTATGACCCTGTTAGGAAAAAGATTTAAGAAGGGAACCATATCAGGAATAATGAAAAGTATGGGATAAGAGATTATTAAAATGTATGTTGATTAGAATAAAGGAAACCTGCAAATTACTATGAAAATGGTATGTAACACCAGTAAAATTATATTATATGGATAATAAGTATCCCAATATATTTTGGAGATGTGGTGAGAAAGTAGGTAGTTATTTTCGTATGTGGTGGGAATGTGAAAATACTCAGAAATTTTGGAAAGTGGTTTTAAGATAATTAGCAAAACATTAAATTTAGATACTGAAGCAGACCCTGGAGTTGCATTATTATCACTATTCTATGAGAGGAATTGGAAATGGAATATTAAGGAATTAGTAACACATTTATTAATAGCTATAACAGTATTAAAAGTGAAGAATTGGAAGGAAAATTGAGATTTCCAATTAAGTGAATGGTACAAAGAAATTTGGAATATAGCTATTAATGATGAATCAGCATGTGAAAAACAGGTTGACAAATAAGAATAACTTTCTTAGTATTTTTTTTATTTTTCCAACATATACAATTACATAGAAAAAATACAGAATAAAGGAAAACTAACTTTAGTTTTGGAAAGTTTCAAAATAAAGGAAAACTTTCCTTTTGTTCACCAGAGCTGGCTCTAGTGAGCAAAATAAACAAAATTGCTAAGGGGAATTGCAAACAATGCGGCCCATATACTGCAGCCCCCAGAACCAGCTCTCTTCATATCTTCCCCCCCTCTATGAGAGTTTGCAAAAAAGAAAAACAGAATCATCATTCCATACATCAACAGATTTTCTAACCATTTCAAATTCTCATGCTTTCACATTCCAAAATCCCCTAGGCTTCCATTAATCATGATAAAATCTAATGTTTTATCTAATGTTTATATTTTTAATTTATTATTATTATTATTTTTAATTTATTATTGTAAGCCACCCCGAGGCTTCGGCGAATGGGGCGGCATAAAAATGTTTTAATAAATAAATAATATAAATAAAATATCAATTTGTCATTAAATTCCTCTAACGTTCTTCTATATACATAATTAGCTTTGCCATCACTGCACATTCTGCTAATCTATTTTTTCCACTCTTCAATAGCTGGGGGGACAAATAAGAATAATTTTGATGAAATTGAGGGGTTGTTTATCAAATACATATTAGCAAAAGGAAATTTATTAAACTTGCACATATTTCTGTGCAATTTTGGATAGGGAAGGGGTCTTCCTGAGAAGTGAAAGAATGAACAAGAAAAAGAGAGCTACATACAGATATAAATAAATACGTTAATGAAGGTTCCAGTGTTATATGATTTAATTACTTGCTTTGATTGACTTGTATGATTCAACAGATTCATATTGTAAGAGTTTTCCTTTTTATTTTTCGCTGTGATTTATGCATTTTGTATTGTATTAAGTTAGTTAATACATAAAAATATTTTAAAAGCATATGAACACACACACAGCTCTCTTTACAAGCACTTGTCCAGAAATCACCTGGATTGTCTGTCAACTTACCATGCCGTACAGAGACTGTAAATTCGCCCATTTTAAGTTCTTAAAAACAGCAGGCAGAAAAGCCGTTTCTCCTTTGATGGTTTAGGGACTGGGTGCCGTTTCCTCAGGTCCGTACAGAGTGACAGCGCTGAGAGAAGAGGATGCCTGGTTAACGAGGGGTATCATTCTTACAAAACACAATAAAAACAGGGTGATACCATCGCACTTCTCTATTTTTTAATATTGTGCACACCGCCCTGCGATCCCCCCGAGACGATGCGCCGTTTGCGCGTCTCAGAAACAACAAGCAGAAAAGCCCCTGGCCCGAAACTCGCCCCGGCCGGGAGCTCAGAGCGTGCTCGGCCGCGGCGCTCGCTTCGCCTTGCGCAGCAGCTGGAACTCGGCCGGCGGTTTATTATTATTATTATTATTATTATTATTAGAACATTTCTATGCCGCCCCTTGCCGAAGCCTCGGGGCGGCTTACAACACAATAAAATACAATACAAAAATAACAATATAAAATTAAAATTAACATTATAAAATAAATAAAAAGTATACACGATATAAAAGAAGTCATAAAAGAAAAGTTGACAAAACCCGAGGTGGAAAACGCGCGATCGAAAGGCGCAGTGCTGCGCGCCGCGCAGAGGGCCCGGCCGCGCAAGGGCAGCGGAAAGGCCGGCGCTGGCCGGAACCGGGGCGGGCGCCCGGCGGGGAAAGGCGGGAGGGAGGCCGGGACGCGCCTGGGGGAACGTGCCACGGAGCGCGGGGGGCGCGATGCGAGGCGTCCCCGAGCACCTCCCCACCCACCTTTCCCAACGCGGGGCAGGAAGCGCTCCTCGCCGCCGCCGCCGCCGCCGCCGGGGCTCGGGGCCGCCCGCCGAGGACCAGCGCGGACACGGAGGGCGCTCGCGGGCGGCCGCCGAGGCGGGAGGGGCGCCGTCCGCCGCGGCCGCGCGGCAGGCCTCCGGGCAGGCAGGGCTCGGCCCGTTCGGCGCGCGGCCTGGGGCGGAGAGGCGGGCGAGGCGGGCCCGCAGGTCCCGGACGCCCCGCTCGACCGCGATCAAAACTCCCGCGCAGCCAACGGCCGGAAGCCGCTGTCCGCCCTCGGCGCCGAAGCGCACCTCCTCCCGACATGCCCCGCGCCGGCCGACGGCGTCCCGCGGGGGACAGTCCCCTCAGGAGCGCTCTGGGCGGCGTCCTGGCCCTGGTGGCGAGCGAAAGGCGGCCACGGCTGTCTGCGTGGAGCCAGCGCCTCGCGACGACGCGCGTCCCCCCGACGGACGCGTCATACGACGGCCATCAGGCGCTCCTTTCGCTCAAGTCCGCCTTTCCGTACAGCAAGATGGCTGCCCCCGCGCCGTGCGACGCAGGCTCCTCCCCCGGTGGGTCCCGAACCGGAAGGCGCCCTTTCCCAGGAGTCCGCTCGCCGTTGCGCGGCAACGGATGGCGGCGGCCGCCCCCTCCCCGGCTGCCGGGCGGCAAGATGGCGTCGCGCGTGCTGGTGCAGTACGTGGTGCTGCGGGGGGACCTCCGGCGCGAGCCCCTCTCGTGGCCCCTGGGGGCCCTGGTGGCCCAGGCCTGCCACGCGGCCCTGGCCGTGGTGCACGCGCACTACGCGCACGCGGACACCGCGGCCTACCTGGCGCAGGGCGGCGGCATGCGGACCGTGGTGCTGGAGGTGCGCGGGGCGGGAGGCCGCCGGGCGGTTCTGGGCGGCCTCACGGGGTGCTTGTTGCGAGGCTCGCCCTTGGGCGGAGGTGGCGATGTCGCGTGAGCCAGCTTGCGTTCCTTGGAAGGAGAACAAGTGGGAGGCGAATATACGAAATAAATGGGAGAAAATGGTTTGTGGGGTTGAAATATGGAGGAGGAGGAGGAGGAGGATTTGGGGTCCTTTGCGGGAAAATAGGCGGAGTGGTGATTCCCTAATGCGTTGGTCAGCCTTGCCCGAAGTTTGGGGTGGGCCTGCTGCTGTGGGCGAGGCTGCTGGGAGTGGTGGCATCTTGGCCGTGGCTCTTTCAGGGGCCACAAAACTTTGGTCGTGTTTCTGCAAAGGAGGAAACGGGCGGTTGATGCCCCTCTGGAAGAAGGGCGCCTTCTGCCCGGCCAGCCCCATGGGCAGGTTGAGGGTTTTCCCTGGTCTTGCCCACGCTGGCTGGCAGTGGCTCTGGCTTGAGGGCCCTTTTAAGTGGTGGTGGTTGGACCTGGGACCTCCGTTGTATAAAGCAGGTACTCAGTGGGCTCTGGCAGGTGAGCACAAAGGCTTGCTCCCTTCAGTTATCTACCTAGCACTCTCTCTGTATTAATATTTGAAGAAAATGCCATGCTGTTAGAGGAGGATCTCAGTCTGTAATTGTCGTGAGGCTGTTTACTTGGGCACCCGGCAGGTGGCATGCATGTCAAGGGGCATGCACCTTCAGGTTATTTGGTTCTAAAATTGCTCTAAGGGTGCAACTCTGTGACTTCCTGATGTCCAGGGGCTTGAGATCTCAGAGCTGAGACTCTAAATGCTGGAAGCCCGCCCTGCCCTCCTTGCAGCTGACTTGGAAAGAATTGTACCAGTCGGTTCTCTGAGATCTCAGCTGGGTCTTGGAGAGGGTAAAAGTGATGTGTCGGGATGAAGAGGAAGCTTATGTGGTTTTCTGCTGACACCGGACATGAAGGAGCGCCTTCTCCTCTATGTGCTCTCCCACCCTTAAGATCGGAGTCAGAGGCCCTCCTCCAGGATCTGTCCTTGAAAGAGATTAAGAGGGTGGCTACCTGGAGGAGGGCCTTGTCTGCGGTGGCACCCTGATTGTGGAGCACGCTCCCCAGAGAGGTTTGCCTGGTGCCAACGCTTCTTTCTTTTTGGCATCAGGCGAAAACCTTTTTATTCTCCCAATATTTAAGTGTTAATCTGTTTTATTTAGTGGTTTTATTTTGACATCGGAAGCTTTGCAATTATTACCCTTATTTTAATTTTCTTGTATACATTTGTTGTAAACTGTCCTGTCCCATCTGTGATGGGATGGTATAGAAAACTTTTAAATAAAATCAATCCCCTGCATAAGATGTACGGAAGCCTCCGAGCTCGCAGGCTTGCTTGCAGTGAGGTATGAGGTTGTGCCCTAGATTTTATTTTATTTATTTAGGGAACTTCTATGCCGCCCCATTTGCCGAAGCCTCGGGGTGGCTCACAAACATAAATAAATAACATCCTATAAAACAATATAAATTAAGTTGCCCTGGCCAAAGAATAAAATAAATAAATAATATTAACAATTAAAATAACGTTTGAATAAAAAGGTCTTCGCCTGGCGCCGAAAAACAAATAAGGACGGCGCCAAGCGGACCTCTCTGGGGAGCGCATTCCATAGATTGGGTGCCACCACAGATGTGTCAGTGTACCTGAAGCCGAAGGGCTAGGGGGCAGATCCATGGGATACCCCTCCCCTGGGGGAGGGAGTGACTAATTCTCCCCTGGGGGCTCTGGAATACATCATGGCTGAGGCTATGCTGAGGGAGTCCCCCCCCCCCTTGGGCTTCATTCCCTGGGGGGACACAAAGTGTCTAGCCCTGGTGCTTGCTTGAGGGCTTTCGCATATCGTCATATGGCTCAGAACTCAAGAGCTGCTTGTTTCTTTGATTTGTATGCTGCTCAATAGCCCAAAGGCTCTCTGGGCAGTTAACAAGTCAAGGAAGTATAAACATAATCACATATCACAATAAAATAAGAAAAGCAGTCGCATTAAAATCACTACTGCAGCACTGTAACAACAAGCAGCAGTTAAATTGAAACATGGGCACAGAAGTAATATAAAATACAGAATTTTTAAAATTAACTATTGAAACGCCTGGAAAATTTAAAAAGTTTTTATTTTTTCCAGCACGAGAAAGCAAAAAGGGTAGGTGCCAGGTGTACTTATTTGGGGAGCTGATTCTATAAATGGGGTGCCACGGTTGGTGTGAGGAAGTTCACAGAAGGACTTTTTTGTCTAGTCCTTTTCTGTTGCCAGTAAAAAGCCTCTTAGGGTTCGGGGGCTTTCCTGAGCAATGTGGGGGTTGCAGCTGAGTGGAAAGGACTGGAAAATTTCTTCCCATGAGCTTCCTCAACTAGGAATCCAAGCCTGCGTTTTGTTGCGTTGACAAGTCACATTGCAAGCCAAATTTAGGTGGTGGGGAGGAATACATCTGGTTGCTCAGCATTTGAAACATGTGTCTTCCTTGCGATCAAAGGTGCAGCAGCTGTGCTTGCCAGCGAGCTGTCCGCTGTGTGCTTCTCCCAGGATCACGTGTGTAGCATGAGGTACAGGAAGACATTTCTGCTCACAAGTAACCCCACTGCTTAGTATTGCCCTTGCTGTTTCCCTATATGTGGCCCAGCTGCTTTTCTTATTTTATTGTGGTAAGTTGCTAGCTTTTATTTATGTTAAGCAGATGGGCTTCTCTCTTAATCCGGCTGAAAAAGGCGGGGCTGAGTTAGTCCTGCTATACATGGTGCAAGGCACTGCCGCTCGATCGCCGTCGTTGTTGGGCACTGCAGTAAGATTGATCTCCCCCTTCTCCTCAGGCCCCTGATGAGCATGCCTTGAGCGCATTAGCAGAGACTCTGCAGAAAAACGGCATCGATCACAAAGTGTGGGTCGAGCAGCCAGAGAATGTAGCAACGTGCGTGGCCCTCCGCCCGTACCCAAAGGAGCATGTGCATCGCCACTTGAAGACCTTCAAACTGCTGAAATGATTTTCCTGCTCTCCGGCCACTTGCGGGTGGACCTCTGCTGGACCCTTCTGGGTACGGGTTTGTGGGCACGGCCGCAGGGGAACGCTGGAGTACAGCAGTATCACTGCGGGACTTGAGACTCTGGTCGGGAACCGTCGTCTCGCGGCCTGTCGCTGCCCGTTACGCACTTTCAGGCATGGTGCTTTTGTAGCAGTGATTAAAGAAAGCCATTGAGCAGCAACACAGAACTCAATTTTTCGTATTTGGTATGATGCACTTTTCTCAGTTTAAGAAGCTCTTGGGGCACCTGGATCAATTTAAAGATGGGGTTCAGGGTAGCAGGGAGTTGCGCCTCACAAAATGCCCTATGGCTTGCTCACCTGACTAGCATGTTCATGTTAGAGATAAACATTTTATTTGGTCAGATTGCTTGGCAATCCTAGGTTCTTCCTTGTACAGTAGCATTGTATTAAAGGTTGCATAAATGCAGGAGGGACCGTGGCAGTGGCTTGTTTCGCCTTGTGGCAGAGCGTGAGTGGCACTGACCGCATGGACCTTGGTTCTGAGGACAAAGCTTGCTTATTGGCGGTGCCTTCCTGGTTGAGGCACAGAGGGAGGGCCTCTTGGGTACATCGAAGAGGCTTGAGAAGCTGGTCAGGGCAGCAAGTTGGCTTCAGAAGCTTGTTAGAGACCTGTGGAGCTTCCAAAGGCCTTCGGTGGCATCTCTCGTCGAATGCTTCTGAGCGAACTTGGCAATCACGGAATAAGAGGATGGGAGTGCTTAAAAAACAAGCAGCAGAGTTGGAATGAACTGGTACGACCACTGCTGGGGGATGCAAGAAGCGGTTCTTCGCCTAAGATCTGTATTGCGGCCGATGCCTTATAACTGGCCCACGAGCCATCTGGAATTAGGAGAGATCAATGAGGTGGCCGTGTTTGCTGGTGGCACCGAAATGGTTTACGGTGAGTATGGCAAAAGAAAGGGCGTGGAAGCAGTTTCTCCAAGCAGGTTGTATGGGCGATACAGTGTAAGTGTGGAGGGTTTACACTCGACAGTCTCCCTGCCCCTGCTCCCCGTGCAGCTTCATCTCAAGGAAGGGATGTGAACAGTTGTAGGAGAGGGGTCCCCATGTATGGTTGTTGTGAAAAAGGCGAATTGTACGCTGCACACCATTAGCCAAAACGTATGGAAGCAGGCAGAGAGATGTTTTTCTTCCTTTCTCACAGAACCAAGAATTTGGGATCATCTCGTGAAGTTGCATGGTGTGAGATTCGGGACAGACAAAAGGAAAGGACTCATTACACAGCATGCGAATGATGGGACTTTCTACCACAGGGAACGTGATGGCCCCGACTTGGATGCTTCGTGGACAATTAGGCCGACCGTGCCTGCTAGTCAGGGTGGGCCAGTATCAGGGAAAAGGGCGGCTGCCGCGAGGCGGCTCTTGGGTCTTGCTTGTGGCTTCCCAGAGGTATCTGTCTGGCCACCGTGGGACACAGGGACACCAAAGGACAGAGAACGCCATGTGACACGGACTGAGCTGGTCTGGAATGGCCTCTGGAGATGGAGGTGGGTGGCTGGAGCCCATGTTCCAGGAGGGAGGCAATTGCCCCAGGTCAGGTGCTCCAGCCCCTGCGCTGCGGGAAACCTCAGGTCCCCAGAGGGGGGGTGGCCGATGTTTGCGGGGGCAGCTTTGACCAGGCCTTTGCAGATTGGGAAGAGAGCGCTCTCCGGCCTCAGCCGGGTGACCAGTGGTCCCTAGGATGCTCTTGCTGCCTCTCGGAAAGACCATCAAGGTGAAGGGGAGACCCTCTGGCCCAAGGAGCCACAGAAGGAACGGCGGGCAAGAGGCTCGCTTTGCTTCCCTTCCAGTGAGGAGACACGCAGGACTTCGTTCCTGAATTTCGCCCCTCCTCCTCTTGTGTCATGTTGTTCAGAGCAGGGTGGGCAGAGGGCAGGGCTCCGGGCTCCCAGAAGCCCCTGCCAGCACAGCCAGTGGTCAGGAAAGCCACGAATTCCAGCCCCAAACATCTGGAGATCTGCTTTCTGCCCGCCCCTGCTTTACAGCAGGCACCAGGGAGCAAGGACTGTGCTCTGTTTGTAAGCTGTTCTGGGCGTGTTGGGAAGTTGGGGGGGCAGACGTGCTTTGAAGAAGCTTGTGTTCTGCTCTGTACTCTGCAAGCACGTGTGGAAGTGTTGCAGAGCGCCGCTGCCCACTCGTCTGTGGAGTATCCAGGGCATCTCACCAGTCCCCCGCTGAAGGATGAGGGGCCCGGGGTGGGGCTCCTTTCGCAGCCTCGGAGCTCTGCTTGCGCTGGCTAACTCTGCACTGGCCGCCTGGGGCCGTGAGGCCACTCGCCCAGCCTTGGGGTCGGGGCACGCAGCCCAGTTGGCCACCAGAGCTGTGCTGGCTGGGATTATGCTCTGCTCCCGCCCCGTGACTCCCGGGAACTGGCAGGTGGTGTCCTGGAGGTGCAGATCCCCCACACAGGAGCTTCATCATCAACCGTGAGCAGCTAGCAAAGCCCAGCGTAGCCCAAGGCTGGCCTGCAGGCCCCTCTGGCGTGCCTCCACTGCCGAGTTGAAGCTGGTGTTTCACCTCGACGCGGATTTCTGCACGATTAAGGCCTGGTGTGGGATCAGGAGGCAGGAAGTGTGGCTCTGTCCTCCCACCCACTGCCCCAGCTGAGGGAACAGAGTATGTCTCAGAGTCCCCATCCGTGTTCCTTCAGAGCACCCTCACCCTTTCCTAAACCCACCAAGAGGCGCACAAGAGCAGGGGGACATCTGGGAAAGAACTCGGGGTGGGCCCTCCAGCGCAGGGGGGGCCCAGAGATGCTTTGAACTTCATCTCCCCACCCCCAGCGCCTCCACCTGCATCAGCTTTTATTCACGGCCCTTCTCCCCATGGGGGGGGGAACCACCCACACACCCCCTCCCTCCCTCTCCCACTGTCCTTCTTTAAAGCAATAATGCAACATTAGCCACCAACTTTTATCTCTGTTTTTTAAACTCTTGCAAATTCAATTAACAAAAGCTACACAGTTTTGTTTTCACACATCAACAAAATTTCAGAAAGAGGAAAGAAAGAACTCCCCCCCACCCCGTCCAAAAGAAATTCTACTTAAGAGCAACCCCCAACTAAAAAGAGAAGGAAACCAATTTATACAAGAGGTCTTGAGCTATTTACACTGAAAGGCCAGGGGAGGGCAAGGAATAAGCTTGTCTCCCATTCCACAGAGAACTGCCTTTTTATTATAATCATAATATTATTTTAAATAGTTTTAAGCTACCTTGGCTGTTAAACAGAATCAAAGCAGAGAGAACCAACTTTTCAATTTTAATCGGAATTTTTAGAAAATCTACAAGGTTGGCCAGAGAGCAGCGTGGCTGCGGGCGCACGCCGCAGACCCACCATTTAATTTTGTCTGCATTTGTGATGCAGCTTCCCCATCCGCCAGCCCCTCGGAAATTGAGCCCAGCAGCCACGGTGGTGGCGCTCAGTGCTTTGCTCTGAGCCACCTCTTCCTCTCCATTAAAAATATTGCAGTTTCTCCCCAAACTGTACGTGCGTATTTTATTTTCAAAAATTATTATATTAGTTTTTGTATGAGCTCCCTCCCACCGTTTCTCATATACACAGAGCCTCTTTCTCACTAAGGAGGCTGTCTATATACCGGCATAAAACATGGAAAAAATGGTGGGTCAAAATACTCTTGCCATTATTCTTATTATTTTTCTTTAAAACTGACAAACTCACGATTGCTAGAAAAAGCTGATTGCACAAACAGATTTGGAGGGGGGGCAGGCGGTGAGCAAGGGTATCTGTTTTTAAGAACAGCTAAAAACATCCCTTCCCAGAGAAGAGACCAGTGCGATGATTCACCCAATTTCTGCTTTGCTGAAGATGCAAATCAGTAACAGAGCCAGCTGAAACTGAGAACTCGGAACTCGACTCGCTTCCTCCTCCTCCTCGTCCCCCACCCAGCAAAACACCTCCCCTCGCTCTTGCAACCCCCTGTCCCCACCCCCACAAGTAACTTTCATCGGGGATAAGAAGCCAAGCAACTGATTACAAAAATAAGGATCATCTGTAAATTTTGGCTCAACTGTTCTGTTGTCACTTTGCTGACATCCAACACTTTAAAAAAAAAGAAAGAAAACAAAACGTTTTTGTTGCTCCAAACACTACAAGAGCTGAAGAATGGCTGCAAGTTTTGAGATATCAAAAATCTCAGAAAAATATATAATATATTTATATATATTTATATATATCTCTGTATGTCTTATTATTTAAATTTCACATTCCTTGGAAAAGCGGGTTATTCAGTCAGTAGCTGCTGAAGGAGGCTTTTCTGCTGGGCTTGTGGGGTCTGGGGGCCTGCGGAGCTTTTCTGTGCCCCCACCGGGCCGGGCTGGTTCAGGTACGAGTCCCCACCTACCAGGTTGACCGTACACTGCACGTCCGCGAACACCTGGACCTGCTGGACCTGCTGGGACAAGGAGAGAGGAGAGGGGTGGTTAGACGGGCCCGGGGGAGGCTCTCTGCGGATGGAGCAGGTACTACGGTTAAGTGGAAACTCACTAGAGAGAATTCCTCTAGTCTGTAGCCACCACAGAGAAGAAGAACTCTTCTGTCTTCTTGCCCTACAAAAAGAAAACTGCTGCACTCATTTGGGTCAGAGCTTTGAAAAAGTCACACGTTCCGCATTTCAAGTCAGGCAACCTTGAGTCTCTCCACACAAGGGGCAAGACGGGAGCCCAAGATGGGCCAGCTGGCGCGCCGGTCGTGTTGGGCAAGGACACAGCACGAAGGGCTCCTGCCGTGGCCACGGGAGACCGGGCTCCCAGCCTGCCACGCTCGCCGGCCCTTCCTGGGCCCCTGGGTGCAAGTTCCCAGCTAGCCGAGAGTAACGGAGGTGCTGCCTGCTCTTCGGCCTGTTCAAGAGGCTGCCCGGTGGTATTTCTCCAATAATCCTGGATATAAAGCCAGAATCCTGGAATGCACTGCAAAACTCCATCCCTGCAAAACCCCCGGCTGCAGCAGTTCTTGTCTTCTCAGGGTCCTCATATCTGCTCTCAGCGCCAGAATCGGGTACCCAACCATTTAGCTGAAACTCTCGCAGGAGAGGCATCCTGCTGTTTCCTAGAGTGTTACAGAATGCGAACCGGTTCCTGAAGCTCGCTCTTCTGGAAGACCTGCATTCCAGCTCTCCCTCTGCTCAGCCCTCAGCTTTTCAGTGTCCACCTCCGGGATTCCTGCACGATTCCTGCTGTTCTTGGTTCCCGGGCACACCCAGTTTCCATACACCTCTCCACCACACCCGTGCCCACTGGCTGCAGACACCTCCCCCCCATGCGCACAACGGACCCACTGTGGCCCCTCCGTTCCAGAGTGAGCGTGTTCCTTGCGGGGTCGTATGCTTGAGAATCCAACTCTTGCTGCAAAGAAACGTTAAAAGCTAAAGATGAAAGTTTGGCTGAAGAGCAAAGTCTTTCCTCTGGCCCTAAATGGGTGAAATTGTCCTGAACATGAAAGCTGTGCGATAAAACCCATGATTGTACAGCCTTTTTAGGACTTTTTGGTGGGTAAACTACTTCTCTGTTTCTTTCTGGGGCTGAATTGGGGGGCTTGTGGGGCCTAGAATTGTGCCAAATCTTTCTTCGGCGTATCCCCCGTGCCGCCTATCTGCCCAGCCGGCATTCTGATCAGCAGCTGGTTGTGGCCGTGCCAGCGTTGCACCGACTGGAGCTGGGGCATCCTCAGGATCTCAAGCAACCACAGCTGAAGCGTCAGATGCAGATATGGCTGCATCCTGGGGCCACGCTCCTTGCCCCCTTCGCTGAAAATGGATTTCAGGGGTGCCAAATTTGGGGGCTAAAAATACACATGAGAATATCAGATCCAACAGAGATTCAGAGGGCCACATTTCCCTGCCATCTCGGAGCAAGGTTGCGGAGGCTGGCGCGCTGCCTTCTGCACATCTGTTCCTCCCTGATGTGGGGAGCTGTGATGCCCACTGGAGCCTGCCCTCCGTGTATTTGGACGGATGGTGCAACAGGCCAAGGCACCGACCGTAGGAAGGCTGTGGGGCTCTTTAATGGCAGGCTCTTTGGGACGTGACTGCAGACCGCCTGAACGGGATTCCAAGATCGCTTGAGAGCAGTTATTTCCTGTCGCCCTACTTAAGGCCCAGTGAGCTCAGAGACATGGTCGGTCCTTCCGAGGCCAGCAGCGTGGACAGGCAGAGTCTCCGCTGCCGAGATGTGCCATCAACCACGGCTACTGGATGGAGAGCCTGTCCTTGACAGCCACTCCTGCTCAGCACCATCTTGCCTGACTGTAACCGTTACAGTTTTCCGCCACAACAGAACTCGGGAAATGTGTTTCCGGGGGGGGGGGGGAATATTCCTAAAGGGACAATGCGATGCATGTTTAGAAAGAAAACGGTCTTGTTTCTGCTTAAACATGCGTAGGCTTGTGGCCCAAATGCGTTACAGTACAGCCTGATTCATACAGGCAGCAGAGTTTATTAAGTATTTGGATTTTTAACAGATTGAATGCACAGCTGTGCCCGTTTTACAGAAGACTCATGCTAAAAGTGAGGACGCCATCCCAACTACAAAACAGCCTGAGGTTGTCAAAAAAGCAAAAGCACTTGTGTTGACCGTAAGAAAAATGACAAAATCCACGTCACTGAGAAAGCTTTGTGAAACCATGCAAGCTTTTGAAATGCTACATTGCTTCTTCAGGAATGATGTTAAAAGGCATAAAGGAATGTGGGTTTTGGAATCCCAGAGGACGGCTTCCGAGACACAGGGCAGGCCGCTCCATTTGGAAGGGAGATCGGATTTGCCAAGTCAGGAACTGCAAAGAGATGGTATGCCTGAAAGCCCCGCACACGGCCCTAACGAGGCGAAAAGGCAAGAGAAACGTTTTAAGCACGAGCTGCTCGTTTGCCCAAAGGACGCTGCTTCCAGGCTTTTTATGTACGGTTGCTCTGGCCAGTTTTTAAGTGGTGGGGACGAGTGGCCCTCGCATCTTTTTCATCCACTGCCAAGCCTCCCATGTTTCCGCACAACTTATTTTTTTTTTTTTATCCTGCAAAAAATCAGTTAGAAAAAGCAGAATGGCTGCAGAAGACCTTCTGGTGGTTGGTGCTGAAACTCTCCGCCTGGGAGCACCCGTGCCTACAGCCGAAGGCAAGCAAGGATGGCGCTGAGAGAGACGGCACCGGCAGCGGGAGGTCTGGCCAATTTCCTAGGTGACATTCAGGGTGAGAAGCAGGCCAGCTGGGTTTTCAGTACCCGCTTCAGCCTGGCCGTCGGCCTGGTTTTGGCAGGGAAACTGTTTTGGCTGCCCGGAAGGATGTCTTCTACCGGAGGGAGAACAAGAAGAGTGACTTGATGACATCTCCAGGGCCTCTGGGCTAAGGAGTCCTTCCGGTCTACCCATCCAAGGTGGGGACTGGGGGTCCTGCTCACCCCAGGAGTTTTGCTGGGCTGTCTTGTCTCTTCTCAGCTCCTTAACGTGACATGCTGGGCTGGGGCCGCGTGGGGACAGGCGGTGTGGTGCCGGGTGTTCCTTCCTGCAGCCTGCTGTGCGTGCCCGCATCCTTTTCGGGCAATGCTGAGCCAGGGACTTGGGACCGGCTGTGAACTGGAGGAGGGCCAATCAGGTGGAGCTGGGGTCCTGACCAAGGGGCTGGCCAGCACGAGAAATGCATCCCCAGGGGAGGCGGGGATGCTCGGGCAGCCTGGCCACGGTTGGTCCTGCGCCACTAAGGTCTTTGTTTGGACAACGACGGGGCTGCCCATGAGCAGTGTTCGGAGGACACGGTGGGTATGAAAGGGCAGCGCTGGGTTTCCGTCCCGGGACTGACGCGGGGAAGCCCAGCTGCGGGGCTTGAGCTATCCATCCTGAGTGCATGGGCACAGACTCCTCCAGGGACCGCCCCGCCACACTGAGGCACCAGGATCCTCACTGGAGGCTCTTCCGTGGTAACACCTGGCGGGGCTTTGTTTTCGTTTCCTTCCAGAGCCAGGTGGAGACCCAGCCTCTGAAAGGAACTGCAGCCGGCCGTTTTATCTGGCCGCCTTGTTGTTCTCGCTGGCCTGTTCCCATCATTTATGGTATTTTTGTGATTACTGGCTGCTGGTTTTAATTACTTTATTGGAAGTAACTTTGGGATGTCTGCTCAAAAAGTGGCATAGAAATATCTAAAATAAAATAAATTGGACCCAAGAACACAGGCAAGCTGCCAACTTAGGCTCTGATCAGCTCCAGCTTTTCCAGTCCTGCTTGTTCTGCTGAGAACAATTCTTGTGTCCCTGCCTTCAGGGGTGGATATACAGCCAAGGCGCATGCTTGTATCCGCTTGCCGGCTGGTTCAGGGGTCAGTGCAGGTTTGGAGGAAGGAAGAACATGTCCAAGCTTTGCAAAACAGGATGCAGAATTTACGGGTCACACAATTGGACACACACACACACACACACACACAATCAGCCTGCCCCTTTCCTACATGCGGAAGCAGCCTTCCCCAGCCAGGTGGGCTCCCCGTGCGAGGGGCTGCACTCCTGGTGTGTCCCAGCGAGTGATGCCTGGAGGGCAGCAGGCCGGGAAAGGCTGTCCGAAGCATTACGGGGCCCGCTCTGTCTGCCTGTCTGTCTGTCTGTGTGGAAGAACCTTCAGCTCCTTCAGGATATGTGGTAAAGGCACTCCCCACGCCGTGGCTCTAGGCTGGCCAACAGCCCCCAAGGAGGAACCTCAGGGTGTGCCGCTTTGGGGTGGTCGTGGTACCCCGCACTGCCCAGGGAGGGGGTGAGGGATCTCCACTTCACATGGCCACGTGGCATGCAGGACTCGAGGTCAGAGAGCTCAGAGGGGAGACCAGGAGTGCCGGAAGGCCGGCCACCACCAGTCCACACCAGGGCCGTCTCCAGTGTGGCGCTTTTTCCACCGTCAAGCACCTCGCTTGCTCATGGCCAGAGTTCAGCAGCGCTCAGTGTTTCCGGAGGAAATGCAAGGCGATGGAGGCACCCTTTCCAGGCCTCCCTTAGAGAGTTCTGGGCGTAGGAGCGTTTTACTGACCTGGGCTCCGTCTGCTTCTGTTTTCAGAAGGTCAGAGGACAGCTGGTTGCAGTAGAGGCCAGTGGGTCTGAGAGCCGAGTCGTTGACCTGTGGGGGAAAGAGAGGCGGCAAGTTGGACATTCAGGAATCGCTTGGCAGTGTTTCCTCCCATGCTGGTATCTCGTCGTGGGGGTGGGACTCAGGACGGATAGATGAATGTTGGCGGTGACACACACCGTGTGACAATCCTTTCCATCATCTGCCGGGAGCTCAGAGGACGCCTGCTGGAGCAGACGGGGGATCTGTGTTCAGCACAGCCCGTGGGAAGCCCCCAGGCAGGGCCTGGCGGCCACCCGCCATGGTCGCCCCGCCATCACGGGCTTGCAGAAGCCGGCCGGCGCTGAAGAGGGACGGGCCTGTGAGCTCCCGTGCCCGCGAGCTCGTGGCAGGCTCTGCTCCACAGATTCATTTAATGCCCCTTGGCAGAGATCTTGGGCAGTGACCACTGTGGCATCTTGCAGCAGGGGATTCCAGGAATGAAATTTTACGTTGTGTGAAGGACTCCGGTTTGCCTGTCTAGGAAAGACGGCTGCTCAACTGAGGCACGATCTTTGGCTTATGTGCTTGGAAAGACCCTTCCGCCCCTACCGAGATGATTCTTGCTTTTGCAAGGTGGTGGCTAGAAAGTCGGAATGAGGCCCGCGAGACCCGGGTTCCATCCCCACACAGCCATGAAGCTCCCTGTGCCTGGCCCAAGGACTCAGTCTCAGCCTAGCCTACCTCACAGGGTTGTTGCTGCGAGGATAAAATGGAGCTGCCCAAGCTGCCCTGGGCTCTTTGCAAAGGAAAAAAGGTGGGGCAAAAACACAGTGTAATGATCATGTGTTAGACTGTGAATTGCACTCTCCAGATGTGCTCGTGTGCACCAGCCCTTCTGGTTTTGGGCTGCGGCTCCCAGAATTCCAGGCCATCAGCCCTGCTGGCTGGGGCTGGAGGCAGTGGAGGGCCAGACTATTCGGTGGGGGAAATACTGGGTGTCGAAAGACTAACACAGCGGGTGGCTTGCACGAACACTCGGGGCAGCCAAGACAGCCTTGTCTTACTAGGAGCCGCTGAACTGCTTCCAGCTCATTTCGGCATGGGACTTGTCCCCGCGTCCCCTGCTCGCCCGCCCTCCGCCTGCCAGCGGAAGCAGTTCTGTGATGGAGTCGACAACCTTATACTGGGAGAAAGCCCTGCTGATCTTAATGGGTTTTGCTCCTGAACAGGTGTGGAGAGAGATGAATCCAGGGGAATTTATCCCAACCAAGGTAACTGGTGGGGGACAGAGGCCCGGGGGGGGGGGGGGGGTCTTTCAGTGGACGGATCAGCCCTCCCGTTGCAGATGCTGCCTTTGCTGGGCAACTGGACCGGAACTGCGGGATGGTGGTAGAACCAACTGCAAGTTGCGGGTCCTTCTGAAGGAGGCCGCCTGCCTTGGAAGTGAGGTACCACGGACGGCAGCTGCCAGGGAGTCTGGGGAGGAGGGGGCTGTGGCACCCAGCGCCTGCTCTGGGGTCTGCCGGGCAGGGCGCCTGGGTCATTACGAGAGCGTGTTCACGCACGGCATTGAAGCTGCCCCTCAATCTGCCACGCTTTACATGGCCGGGAACGAAAGGCGACGGAGGATTCGTCCTGCCCAGCTGGTCCGCTGCTCACAGGCCACGAGGAGGACCGGGGCCCCTCTGCCCAGGCACCCTGCCTCTGGTGCTGGGGCGGCCACGGGCCACCGCCTCCTCCGCCTTTGGGGAACGCTGACGGGGGGGTGCGGGAGAGAGGCCTCTGCACTGTGAGTGTTGTCCAGAAGCGCAGGGAGACCTGCAGCCCTGCAAGGCCAGCCGATTCCTCGCTGCTCGAGCTTTCCTCGGCCTCCCTCATTCGTCCCCCACAGCGTTTGCCGTGACCGAACTGTAACTTTTAAGTGGAGCCACTCTGGCTTGTTTTGGCGGCGGCGGATCGGCCAGGCTGCCCTCCGGCTGATGTAAAGTCAGCATTTACACTGCGAGCCCAACAGAGGCACGAGCTGCTTGGAGCCTTGTGTGAGAAGCACCCCTGACTGGGACACCCCCTCCCCTCCCTCAACAGCTCAGCCCCAGCGCCAGCACCCAGGCCGGAAGTCCAGGAGTCCGTGCGGGTAACTTGTGGCCTTCCGGATATTCTGGCCGAGAACCCGTGACCCCTTGCGCATGGGCTCCGACACACCCGGAGGGCCACGAGTCCCTCCCCCCGAACTAGGCACTGGGCTGTGGAATGGAATCTGGGGCACTGGTCCATGCGGAGCTTCCGCAAACAGGGCAAGAAAGAGGGGGGAGGGCGCCGAGGGGGTGTCCAGCAGTCCCCTGGCTGCTGCCCCCCATTGCCCCCCCAGCCACCTCCCCCAGCCCCTTCCCCACCCTTCTCCTGGCCAAAGCGCCAGTTCCTCCCGCCACACGAGCTCGGCGAGGCCACTGTTCCCGGGGGCCTTTGCCTCGCTGCGCGCGCGCGTCCTGGGCACGAGGGAGGGAGAGGCACCGACCTGCTCGGGGCACAGCTGGTTCATCTGCAGCGAGTTCATGGGCATCTGGCCAGCCATCGGGTTCATGCTGGGGACGGTGGCGTTCCCTCCGGCCATGGAGACAGTGATGTTCATGTTGTTGTACATTCCCGGCTGGGCTGGGGGCGGCTGGGCCTGTCCCGCCTGGCCAAAGACGCTGCGGGTCGAAGGAAGGAGTGAGGCGAGCGTTACTCGTGGCAGTGAGCTGCGTTTCCAAGCAGTTTACGTCACCAGAAAATCATCCTGTGCCCGTTCCTCGGGTCGGGTAAGCCAACGTGATGGAAGCTGGATGCTGGGGAGGCTCCACTGGGACCACTCGCAGCAAGAGCTCCCAACTCCAGCTCCCATCAGTTCAGCTTGGACTTGGAGATCGTCAAGGGTGGCCACACAGGGAGAAAGGGGAGGGGTTGGGTGAGCACCGCTGGCCAGGAAAGCATCCAGAGGCACGAAATGCGAGGGGGGCTGGGCACATGGGGGGTGCTTAGCCTGGGGAAGGCTCATGCCCTCGGGGCCAGCGGCCAGCTCTCTGCAGCAGAATCAGCCTTCAGCAGGGCTCCGGTGGCGCCTCCGCCAGAGGAAGGGGTGGCTGGGATGGGTGGCCAGCCGACCTGGGGGAGTGGTGGATTGGCTGAGCCCCCCACCCACCGCCCACCTCCCTGCCGGCCACATAACCGGCCATGCCCGGTCTGGGCTGAATGCTGGAGCTCACGGAGGGCAGGCCAGGAGGGCGGGCGAGCGAGCGAGTGCCCGGCCGGCCGGGTGCGGAGCGGGGCTTACCTGTTGTTCCCCAGGGCTCCCTGCTGCCAGGGCTTCATGTCAGGAGACTGGTACCCTGGCGTGGGTGGGGCCGACTGCAGCAGGGGGCTCTGCGACGGGGGCAGCTGCGGCGACACCAGAGGGCTGCTGGGGCTGAGGGACGGGGCGAAGGCCGCCTCCCCTTGCGGGCCCATGCCTGGAGAACGACACAGTCGCGGGCCTGAGAACGGGCCTCCCGCTGGGACTCGGCCCGGGCCGTTCCAGGGATCCACAGATGCCCTGCTCCCGGGGTGGCACTTGCCAGGTCGGGGGGGGGGCACCGAGGCCCTCCGTGGGGCTGAGCTCATGCTGGGCCTGATCCCCCCTCCGGGCACAAGCCGAGCGCCCGGTGCAGCAGGGCCACAGGGGGCCACCCCGGCCAAAGAGGCATTGCACGGGTGGCTCGCACCAGGGCTGGCTCGGAAGAAGCCGTCTCCCCCGTCGCCCAGCACGGGCCCCTGAGCATGCCCCCGGAAAGCGGCCATCCCCCCTTTCTGCCCTGGGACTGCAGAGGGGGCCACTGGGGGCTCCCGCCACCCACCCCCACCCTCTCTCTCCCTGCAGCGAGGTACAAGGGCAGCAATCCGATCCCCTCCCCTCCCCACACGGGCCCAGCTGGAGACGCACCTGACCCCGAGTACTGGAAGATGTTCTGCTGCATCTGGGGGGCCATGCCGGAGCCGAACTGTCCCCCGACGCTCCCCATCATCCCCCGGTTGACCACGCCGTGCCGGCTGGCCAGCGCCCCCTCGGGGTTGGAGGCCAGCTGGGAGAAGGGGCTGGTGGAGGCCGGCGGCGTTCCTGGGTTCGTACCGTAGTTGGGGGGGAAGGGGAACTGCTGCGGGGGCGCCTGGGGGAGGCGCCCCGCCCCCAGCTGCACCGGGGCCCCGGCCGAGGGGGGCAGGGCGCCCCCGAAGTTCTGCTGCTGCCTCATCGCCATGGCCCGGTGCTGCATCAGCTGCCGCTGCCGGTGCTGCTGGCTGTAAAGCTCACGCTGGCGCTGGGCCAGCATCTGTGCGTTCAGCGGGGGCTGCGGGGGAGAGCAGAGGGGGTGGGCGTCAGGCGCCGGAGCCGTGGGGAGGGACTGTGGGCGCACCCAGCACGCGGCCCAACGCCCCCCTCGGGTCCCGGGTGTCTGCGGGGCCATCGTTCGGGACCTGTGCCTTCCTGCTTGGGTGGCTGGCCCCCGCCGGGGAGCGCTGTGTGGGGAGGGCCCTCCGCTTGCCGGCCTGGACTTCCCTCCCCTCGGCTCCGTGGGGTAGCCCCTCTGGGGTCGAGGTCATGGCAGAGGGAAGAAAAAGGTCCCCCTCGCCACTTCCCGCACGGCAGGCGTTCTCGCAAACCCCGCTGTCCGCCTGTCCCCCTTCCTTGCCGCTTGTTTCTGAACAGGCCCCGTTGCTGTGGCTGCTCCTCGTGGGGGGGGGGCGCCCCGGCCCCTCGTCACATGCACGGCCCTTTTCGGCCTTTTTTCAGCTCACTAATGTCCCTCTCAGGTAAGGCGGCCAGGACTGAGCACCCCTCCCAGGCATGGAAGGGGAGACGGCCGGTGACCGGGATCGCGTGGGCCAGATCCACAGCGGCTGCGGGCCGTCGGGACCCCTTGATGATCGTGCGCGTCTTTTGCGGGAGCAGGGACCAGGCGTGACGCTGCTTCACATGAAGCGTGGCCACGGTCACTGACCAGGTCCCGGGAAAGTCCACGCGGGCCCCCCCAGCCAGGGAGGGGGGATTTGAAGCAGCCCCCTTGGGGTGGGAGAAGGCGGGAGGGCAGCCCTGGGAGCCCCTCCGGGCACTTGAGCTCTGCAAGGCACGGGGCAAAGGTGTGTGCGGGAGTCGGAGCCGCTGCAGCTCGGCCTCTCCCCCCGTGTGGACAGTGTCTGGCTCGGAGGAGGGGGGAGGGGCTCCCCCAACCGATTTCCAGGAGCCCCACGGCGGTGGACAGAGGAGGAGGGCGCAGGGGGCAGTCTCGGAGCCAGCCCTCCCCGGCGCAATGCCCTCCAGGAGCAGAAACCCCAGGGCAGCCGTGCCACTGGCCTCGGGGGCTCCCTCGCCCAGGCGGCCCTGAGCATGTGGGCGTCCCCAACTGCTGTTTTCGGCACAGCTGCCCTTTGGGAGAACGGAGGGTGGGGAGGGACCCCGGCTGCTCCCCCCGCCTGAGGGGCCGCCGCTGGCCACCCACACGGGCTCCTTCGAGGTCCCATCCTGACTGCTCACCAGCCTGTTCCTCCCTCAGGCCTCAGCGCTCGCCCAGCACTCTTTCCCCTTCCTCCAGACGGGCTGGATTACAACTCCCCCAGCCTGGGCTAGGACCGTGGAGGGGGATGATGGGAACTCTAGTCCTACCCATGTGGGGAGGCACCAGGGTGAAGGCTCCTGGCTGGCGCCGGCCGGGCAAACGGTGCCTGCGGGGAGGGCCCGTCCCCCGGCCTTCAAAGTGGGGCCGCTGCGGCATTCGCCCGGGTTTGCAATTCCAGGGGGCGACCACACGTGGAATGCCACGCTGGCGCCCCGCAGGTGTGCGGGACCACCAGCTGCACTTTTGGGAGCTGTAGTCCTGCTGGACTGGAAATGGGGAAGGCTGGTGCACAGGGCTGGGCAGCGCACCTCAGGAAGCAGTGCTGGGGAAGGTGCAGAAACGGGGTGGGCGGTGGTCCCGGGGCTGCAACGGCCCCCCGCCAAGGAAACACGGCGAGGGCGTGGTACAGAAGAAGCGGGAAGGCCGCTTGCCCTCGTCCAGGCCAAGCCTCCCCTGGGCCAGCCACTCGCGCTGTGCCCGGGCCTCCCTGGGCCACCGTCACCGACGTCGGGGTGGCGGGGGGGAGCGGCCTGCAGTCGCCCTGGCTGCCCCCTGGGCTCGGAGCCGAGCAGCGGGTATTCCCGGCTGCGCTGGGCCAGGGCGCCTCACCGGCCCGGCAGCGCTAAGGCGAGGGAACCGCGCACGATCCCTGCCCGCGGCCGAGCACCATTAGGGTGGGCACGGCGAAACAGCAAAAGGCAGAACCGAGAATTCTCTGATGAGGAGGGCTGCCGGTCTGCACCGCAGCCCCTAGTGCACACACGCCGGCGGCTCCCGAGGCCTGCCCTCTGAGCGCCGGCCGCGCCTGCCGCGGGGACACGAGGGCCCGGGTTACCTGCGAGGCGATCTGCTGCATGCCCGCCCGCATGCCGATGCCCCCTGGGGGGGTCCCCGCAAACTGGTTCAGGTCCGGCTGCCGGCTCTGGTGCATCAGCTAGAGGGTGGCGACAAGGAGGGGTCAGGCACGCTGGCCGGCCAGCCGCCTGCGTCAGCTCCAGGGGAGGGGAGGGGAGGGGGGCTTTTCCTCATTCTCAGGAGGGTGCTGCAAACTATCCCCGACCCCATGAGGCACCCGCTTGCCCTCTGTTCAGCTCTCTGTCGGGAGCATAAGATGGAGCTGTTCAAGCTGCCGCAAGAGGAAAAAGGAGGACTCGGATGCAAGGCAGTAACAGCGACAGAAGCACTTCCACAAGGATCTCGCCTTCCTCCCCCCCGCCCCGCCTCCCCACGGCACGGCACCCGGATGTGGGGCGGCAGGGTGGGCGGAGGGCCTGTTCGGAGGGTGCCGGGCCCGAGCGGGGCTGGACTCACCTGCTGCTGCCCTTGGAGGCGCTGCTGCAGCTGCAGGCGCAGCTGGTTGGGGGCCATCGGGGGCCGGCTGAGCACCTGCCGGGGCTGCATGCCCATGCTGGCCGGGAAGGGCCCGCGGGGGGGCGGGACCTGGAGGGGCACGGGCCCGAAGGCCTGCTTCTGCCGGACCATGCCGGGGAAGGGCCCCGCGGGGGAAGCCGCCGAGTACGGCTGCAGGTACATGCCGGGCTTCTGGTCCATGGCGAGCGGTGGCGTGGGCGGCGTCGCTTGCTGGGGCTGGAACCTCTCGGTGAGCGCTTCCAGGCCGCCTCCCTGCTCGGGGAGAGGAGGGGCGTGAGGGGGGCGTGAGGGAAGAGGGCCCGCCAGGGGCAGAGTCGCCGCAGGGTTTCCTCCCACTTTTGCCGACACCCCGAAAGGCTCTGAAAAGTGGCAAGTCCTTGGTCCGCGTTCCACCGTTGCCTGGCAGCCAGCGCAGGTGTGCTGCGAACTGGATACCTGTCTCATGGCAACAGCCCACCTTGACCCTGGGATGAGCACGTCTGCAAGCGCTCGCTGCAGGTACGCAGGGCACTGGAGTGACCTTGCAGGTGTACGCCTTTGAAGCATGGCGCTCGCCACGTAAGCACCTCCCGTCTGTCTGTGTGTCTGTCTGTCTGTCTGTCTGTCTGTCTTCCTCCAAAAATACAAGGAAGGGCAGAAAAGAGGGTGAATCCCCTTTGGGTTCTGTTGCTTTTCTATAGGGCCAGCCTCCCGGGAGTTTGTTTCTGCTGGGAGAGATTTCGGTGCCTGGCGCTTATTTCAGAACCCACAGATACTTCTGCCTCCGGTTCTGCAGTGAAGAGGGCCGGAGCGGGCAGTCCGAGGCTGCCTCCACCACACGGCCCGGACCAGCTGGCCCTCCACTGCCAGGCGCCTCCGGGCAGGCCAGACTGTCACGCCTGGTGTTGACGGCACTTCTGGGGTGGCCGGGGGGGGGGGGGGGGAGGCTGTGCAAGCAAACAAGCTGCTCTCTCAGTCTCGTCCCTCCCCCGCCCCCAAAATGTGGGGACTGTAAAATTCCCCATGCTGTTACTGAGAGAATCTATGCAGGGCTCTCTCAACCATCCAATGCCGTTCCCTCCTATTTCTGCCGAGTGCCTTCATGAGCGATGCTTCCCAGGAAAGCGCAGCGGACCCGATTTCTAAAAGCCAAAGGCTGTGGGGTCTCTCTCTGGAGCATGGTGCTGGGGGAGGGCTTGGCCGATGCCCTGGACCAACGGGGACAAGCTGGCAGGTTCTGGGTCAGCTCAAGCGGGGCTTTCCCTGAACGCAAGAACGGCCAAAGTGAGGCTTCCCTACTATGGGCACATCGCGAAAGGCCGGGCTCCCAGGAGAAGACCAGGCGGCCAGGGAAAGGTGAAGGCAGAAGACGGAAAGGGAGGCCAAAGATGGGACGGGTCAGTTCCCTGCAGGAAGCCACGGCCTTGGACTTAGAAGAGCAGAGCGGAGCGGGGCTGTTGTGGGCGGGACGTTTTGGGGGGCTCCCATTCATAAGGTAGCATAAGCTGGAGGCGATTCGAGGGCACATGCCTGTTCTATCCAGCTGCGTCCAACTTGTACCGCTTGGCATCTGCCAGAGGAAGCCAAGCCCCCGACTCTCTCCTAAACCCTTAAAGACAGCATTTGTCCCCCCAGACTGAGCGGGCTGCCGGGCTCCCCCTCGCAAGCCCCTCGGGAGGTTCCCAAAGCGCGTGCTGAAGGTGGTGAGGGCTCGCCAGAGGCGGCCAGGCCCTGCCAAGTCCCTGCAAGCTCAGCCCTCCTGGCTTTCCGAGGCATCTCGGGGCAAGCAAGATGCAAGGGCAGTGGCGGGGGGGGAGGGGACGCTCCCTTGCTCTTTGGGACGCCAGCTCCAAGCCCAGCACTGCCGTGGCACTGGGCTGCCCAAGCCGCATTTTCTTTACTTGCAGTGGGCCAGTGGCCAGGCGTGGAAGCCAGAACTGCAGTAGCTACAGAGACTCTTTCAGGCAGCACGGTTTCTAATGAGCAGGCTGACCTGTCCCAGGGATTCGGGGCTCTAATCCTGCTAGGAAACAGCTCAAGGTTACGCTGCGCTCAGGTGCGCTCCCAGGCATCCTCCGCTCCCACCCCCGTGCCTGCAGCCCCGGGGGCCCAGACAGCCCTCTGACGAGCAGAGCAGGACCTGGCCTCTGGGCCGAGACACAGACGCCCCGTCGCCGGAGAGGCGGCTCGCTACCTGGACCAGTTTGTCAATGCCGAGAGCTCGGTCCAGTTCCGCCAGCTCGTTCTCGTCTTTGCCGCTCAGGAAGGACACCAGCTGCTCGAGAAGGGCCTTCTCGTCGTTCCGTCCCTCCGGAGTGGTGGGGGGGCAGAGCAGTTCGTCCAGCTGAGAAGTGATGCATGGGCTGGAGGACAGCAAAAACCAGGGCGGTGAGAGGAGCAAGGCGGTTCGCGCCACCGGCCCGAGGCCTGTGGAAGAGGGGGCCCTTGCACAAGTGCCCTCTGGGTCCCGGGGCTCCTGATCATCGAGGGCGCGACTGGCAGCATCTGGGACCCGCCACCACACGCTGCAGGGACGGCTCTGGTTTCCGAAGGGAAGGGGGAACCTGTGAGCAGGCGAACGGGGGCCTGCACGTTCACAGGAGGGGGTGTGGGCAGTGCCGGGGGAGCCGCCTGTGGGTGTCCCAAAGCCACCCGCTGGCCACCGATGGTTAGAGCGTGCGGGTTAGGAGGAGCCGCCTCCGACCCTTCTGAGGGGTGCAGTGATGCCGGTGAACCTCGGAAGCCACAAGGGAGGCAGTGCGTGGGAAGCGTCGTTTCTGTCTAAACATGCGCAGGATCACACGTTCAGTGAGGGGCCCCCCCCCCCCCCCCGTGGTCGAGTGACGCTTCCGTGCCAGGTCCATTTGGATCTGGCTTTCCTAACAGCTTCCAAGGAGCGGAAAAATAACGCAACTCAGTCAAAATAGCAGACTGTATTGGGAAGCATTATAATGATGCAAGATGGCAGTCAGCAAACCTCACTTTAGCTGGAAAACGCCCACGACGTGGTCTTGGGCACCTGGAAGGCTAACCAGCTTGTTTATGGGCAGGAGTCCACTTCGCCGGACGCAGGGAGAGTCACAGAACATCTCAGGTTTAAATAGGGCTCATGCACTGGTGCACCCAGTGAGAACTGTACCCAGTGAGGCCAGAAGGAAATTGAAGTAAAGGCGCTGGCAGTTTACTGCCGGCGGACAGACAGAGCTGGTCAGGGAGGAGAGGAAAGCCAAAGAGTTCCCTCTCCGGCCTGCTGCAGTGGACCCACACAACACAATACGACACCTGAAGGAGAAACTGTCTCACAGAGTGTGAGTGAAACCGCCCAGCTGCAGGCTGGACGGAGCGTTCTCTCCAACTGCATGAGGAGGACACCCCTTTCAGGGGCTGCGCAGCATCCCGGAGCTGCTGGGGCGTTCAAACCGATGCATTCACTCACAGGAACACGAGGTCGTTCAGATTCTTGGTGGGTCCAGCCCCATATTGCCAGCGCTGAGCGGCAGCCACCTCTCTCCAGGTTTCAAGCAAGACCCACTCAAAGCCCTACCCTGACTGGCCGGGAACCGAACCTGGGAACTTCTGCATGCAGAGCTGGTGCTCCACCGGTGAGCAAGGAGGGGCTCTTGTATTTCCCAGCCCACCCCTTTTTATGGGGCCAGAGGAAGTGCCCCAGCCCCGTTAGCTCTCTGCGCAGCCCCAACCCGCAAGTGCCCCAGGTGTAATTAACGAAAAACATGACATGGAGGCCGAATGGAACCACGGCCGAACGGCAAGGAGATCTAAATGGCACTTCCCAGAGAAAGGGACGTTCACTAGGAACCAGCAGCTGCATCCCTCCCACCTCCGCCTGTTTCCCAGCCCCACTTAAGGGCTGCCCCACTGCACAGCCATCCAAGCGCTCACTCGCTCCGCCGCACAGCCCGGGATGAGAAAGGGCAGCAAGGAGGAAGTCCCCGGCCGGCCGCACTTTCCCCGGCGGATTCCCCGGGCCGGGCCGTCACGCGGTTGCTGCAGCTGGTCCATTAAGCATTTCGCGACTCCCGGGGCTCCTTGCGGGAGACCTTTGCCGGAGGAGGGGGCCGCGCCCTCCGTCCCCGCCTGGCATCGCTCTCCCAGCAAACAGCAATCACAGCCCCCCAGGGGAAGCCCGGTTAGTAACAACTGGGCGCGCAAGAAGCCGTCTGCATTGCGCTCCGCTCTCGCTCAGAGGCAGCTCGCCAAATGAAGCGGGGGCAGGAAGCCAGCAGCCTGCAACAAGATCCTCTCCCCCCCAGCTCACGCGCCGGCGCCCCCCCGCCTCTGCCAAGCGAGAGCCCCCCTCTCTGAAAGGCCCCTTGGACTGCATCTAGGGAAGGGACACAGGGCGGCTGGGCGGAGGAGAGGGGCAGGCAGGGAGATTCCTGCCCCCAAATCCTGCCTCCAAAAGCCACCGCGCATTCCGCCCGGGCCAGCTGACTCCTTCCCTGCCCCCTCGGCTGCAGAAATCACAGAGGTTCGCATTGGCCGGATCTTCCTTCTAGTGCCTTTTCCTTACCCCCAGGGGGCAGATATTGGAGATGCCCGGCCGGGGGTGGGGGGCGGGCAGGCAGATCATGCACAGCTTCCATGCTGTGGTTCAAGGCAAATATTTCCTTAGGAAACCCGCAGGCTGCTTTTTCTTGCAACTTTCCTTTCCGTTTGCAACTTTAGACACCAGATGGCACAGTTCTAAGCATGTGGAACAAAGACATCTCCCCGTCTCCTCGGAAAAGTCTAAATATAATCAAGGAGAAGAAAGGGGCCCCAAGACATTCTCCCCGTAAAACATCCCAGTACGGTCCCTGTCCAATCTTTTCTTGAAAGCCACACAAGGGGGAGTTGAAAAACAGTGTTACGGCCAGGATGACCCTCGGATCACTTCCAACGGTGACACCTCATGATGATCCTGGCTTGTTTAATCAGTGAGGAAGTGGGGCTGAGGGGCAGCTTCCATAGTTAGTCAACAGGGATTCTTTGTCCCTGGTATGCTATTGCTACATCTGAACCCAGACATCTGGGTTGTTTAGGGGTTAGTCATCTAGAATCTCCCCAGGCTTTGCTGCTTTTGAAAACGGGGATCTTTTACATATGGGCAACATTTTGGCTCCAGTTTTACAAGCTGGATTAAAACTTGGTAGGGGCACCCAGGGATACAGACAACCATTCAAGGACTAGAGTGAGCCAGTGGTTCAAGCGCTGGACTGGGACGTAGGCGATCTGGGTTCTAGTCCCCGCTTGGCCATGAAGCTCCCTGGGTCATTTAGGGCCCGTCATGCACTCGCAGCCTCCCCAGCTTCACAGGACTGCTGTGAGGATCAACGGGGAGAAGGAAGAGGACTTTGAAGGCTGCCTGGGGCCCCTTGCAAGAGAAAAAATGGCCAGATGCAAGTATAATAAATAAGCAGAATTTATCTGGCCGACAAGCCAAGCCAAAACCTGTCCGTCCCAGCAGGAGCTGCGGCCTTTGTCATTCTTCCAGGTCTCCTCCTCCGACCCAGTTCAAAGACTTGTTCCCACAGCCAACTCGCTCCGCACGACCCATGCGGCCCGCTCCACCTGCGCCTCTGCTCGTGCACCTCCTTGTTGCCTCTGCTGCGGGCCAGGCTGCGTGACAGCGCTCGTGGGGCACGACAGCCGGCCGAGGGCTGCTCCTGGTGGGAGTCCCGTGGATTCGGACCGGTCTCCCCAGGGTGGCTCGTCCACAGGGAACGAGCCGCCTCAAGGACCCCCGAGGTTGCTGCTGCAGGGACGGCACCCAGGAGGGGGCCTTTGGCACTGAACCGGAGCAAGCGATGCCTTTGGAGTGGGGGGGGGCAGTCTGCCGAGGCCACTGGCCAGAATGGTGCCCCCCTTGCCACGGGGCTCCCGGGGGGGTGGTGCCAGCTGCTCCCAAAGGGCCCAAGCGGCACAGGAGGGCAGCTGGCCCAAGCACCCCCCCTTGTTCCCAGAGAGAAGGGGTTTTCGTCGCTTCCACAGCCAGCTGGCAGAGCTCTAAGAGGGGTCCTGGCAGAGCAGTGGCTCTTTGTTTCGCTTTCCTGTTTTGGAGTGGGACAGGAGCCGCCACGTGTCCCTGTCAAGCCTTCCACCGCCCTGTCAAAACCTCCTTTCCTAAAGGGACCTTGTGTTTTGACAGCTAGCTGTCAAAGCGCCTCCCCAGAACACAGAGTGAGCTGTGCTTTTGCTCTGAGAGGTCTGGGGAAGCGTGTGGGTGAGCTGCGGGGAAGAGACGGACCGTGCTGCGAAGACGATGCGGATCCCAGACACGCCCCTCTCGTGTGCCAAAGCCCTCCTGCCCTCGGATCCTCTTGAAAGCTCACCTTTCAAGAGCTGTCAAGAGAAGCTGGCGGGAGAAAAACAACTCGGTGCTTCTTGGGGGCCTTGTCCAGCGCTTCCCGCCGGCAGCAGGCTCTGCTCCCGGCAAATTGTCTTGGACGCGGCTTCAAAACCCTGCACTTTTGCAACTGTGGTTTCCAGTTGCGCAAGCCTCGCTAATTTAAAAACAATAATTATGTTTCCCTCATTAAAAAACCAAAGTGTCTGACAGCTGCAGACAAACCCGTCCAGGTGTCGCTCAGGCACTCGGAAGGGGCCGTCCAAGCAGCCAGTCGTCAAGCTGGCCACACAAAGGCAAAGGGGGGAACAAGCTCCCCTTGTGCTGACAATGGCTCGCACGAGCAGCACAGGGAGGAGGGACGGACGCCGTGTCCGCTGGGGCAACTGCAGGGGACAGAGGAGGGCAGGGGAGGGCCCAGCGGCACATGCCGACTCTGCTGGCTTCCCTGGCACATCACAGGTTGTTCACGTGACACCCAACCTGCACGGCCAGGGTGGCCTGGCCTGGCCTGGCACGCGAATCCCCGTGCACCCTGCTCCTGAAGCTGCTCTCCAGGTAGGAGGCTGTCCCCTGAAACCGCCTTTCAAGGAAAGCCCTGCCTCGCATCTCTGACCACCAAGGGGCCCGGCGAAGGCCGCTGTACTTACTCCTCTGGCTTGTGCATCGGTCCTCGGCCGCCAGGGGCCATGGGGTTCTCTGCCCACGGGATCTGCTCCCCCATGGCCGGTTGCCCAAATGGATGGTCCGCGACACCCAGTTCCAGGTCAGGCATTCCTGAGGAAGGTGATGAGAGGAGAGAAGCAGGCAAAGGTCATCAGGGCCTGGAGCAGGGGCCATGCCCGAGGGCAGGGGAGACACAGTAAACCGTGGGTCATCTGGAAGGGTGAAGACTAGCCCAGAGGGGCTCAGTGTGGGGGGAGCTGGCCATTCCACGCTGCAGCCAGGCCCCGCCGGCCGAACAAAGCAGATCCCCCCCGGGCTCTGAAAGGTCACCTCCCTCCGTGCAGAGAGGGCTGCGTGCCGTGAAGGCTGCATGCCAAGGCCTGGGCAGTCGGGGTGGACACGAGGGGGCGCCTCCACGCATGCCGAGAGCAGGGTGCTCCCAGGGCGCCTTGCAATGCTGCGTCCGCATGGCGGGCAGTTCCCGCGTGGTGCTCGCCAGCTGGGCCTGGCAGGGGGCTACGTTGGCGTGCCCAACACTCCGGCTGCCTGAAGCCAGCCAGCCTCTTGCACGGCTCCGCCTGATGCTCGGTCGACAATGCGCCCAAAGGGGCTTCCCGCAGCTGTTCGCAGAGCCGGTTGGCAGGCTAAGCTGGGGACCGGAAGGTCTCCCTCTCTCTCCTTGAAAAACAGCGCTTGGGACCACAGGGGTAGCCAAGTCCAGTTTCACAGGGCCAACCCCCACGGCTGCTGCTGAAAGCCAAAAAAACTCGGGGGGAGGGGGCGGGCTGCAAGGTCCTGTTGTCTGGGGGTCTCTGGGTCTCCCACACAGCCATCCGATGCATGAAACATCGCGGCTGCTCCCAGCACAGACGCTGACCGCCCTGTACTTTCAGGGCTCACTGGGAGACTCTCCCTGGCCACTGATTTGATACTAAGGGTTGCTGCAGCGATAAGACCAGCTTAAACACCTTCCGGGGCTTCTGGAAGGAAAGGAGATCTGCTGCTCTTCTTCTGTGCCATCACGTCGTCCTCAGCTTAAGGTGAGCCTATGGATAAAAAGATCTCCTCTTCATGACACCCCTGCTCTGCTCTTATGAATTCAAAATGGTGGCTTCCTTGATGGATTCCATTCATCCCTTATTTGGGCTTCCTCCTCTCCTCCTGCCTCCTCCTCCTCCTCTTCTCCAGGGAGTCCTGCCTTCTCATGATGTGTCATAAGTATGACAGCCTCAGTTTTTGTCTGTCTGTTTGGGGGTTTGTCTTTCTTTCTTTCTTTCTTTTTTTTGCTTCTAGGGAAACTTTTGGCTCGATTTCATCTAGGGCTGCTTGTTTGCCTGTCTGCCAGGCCAGGGTATAAAGAAGATACAGGAGGAAGGAAAAGTCAGGACCAGGAAAGCGAATGCGCAAGAGTGAGCCGCCCAGTAAAAGGGGCTTCCGGCTCATGGCAGCCCCGCTTCTGCCAAAGCGACGGGGATCTTGTCCACCCTCTGAGGGTTTGCGCAGGCGGCTGCCTGGGGGAATCCAGGTGAGACTCCTCACACTCTGTGGTGCTTCCATCGTTCAATGATGATTGTGCAAGATTGCACAATATTCTACTTCCTGCACACAGAGCTTGAGAAACGATAAGAAGCCACTGGGCCTGCCCAGAAGTGTGGGGCAGCAGTTGCTGGCCAGAACCCAGAGCTCTCTGAGGTCACCCTTTTGGAAAGGCCTGTCTTTCAATGAATGCATCTTTCAATGTACCAATCCGAGGGCGAGTCCTTCCGGGGCTAAGGAGCGGGTAAAGGAAAAGTCGGACTTTTAAAGATGCGTTTTCAGCCCTGCCTACTTAAAAGATGCTGAAAAGGCCACACAGGATGAAATCCAGGTGAGCACAGGGGGATGCTCAGCCGGCTGGTGCTGAGGGGGGGGCCACCTGCCTTGAAGGCTCACGCGCTCGCTGCTGCTCGCCAATTAACCAGCCCGTTCTCGTGCGGCCCATCAAGAGATCCACTTAAGGGCCTCCACAGAGGCAGACGGCACCCGTTCAAACCCCAGCAAGGGGGTGAGCCGATGAGAGGCAACGCTCGAAGAGCTCATAAAGTTCTTCTGGGAGGGTGCGCTCGCTACCCAATTACGGACACGCACCGCTGACAGACGGGAAGTCGCTGCACAACGCAACAAATGCCATGCACGAGGAGGGGTGCTTGTGAGGGCCGAAATGGAGAACTCACACAGCATCTTCTCCTCCCTCTGCTAGGCAGCCGGGGCACGATCTGCCAAAGAGGTTCCGGCGCGCAGGAGCTTCCCAGAAGCACCGCTCCCATTCCCTTTCATGGGGTCCGTGTGGGGGAACGGCTTGGCGGATCGTGCCCCCCAGGTGAGGTTCCTCCCCCTCTCCGCAGCGGTGCCTCTTGGCAGTGTCACCAGTGACGCCCCCTTTCACCCCCACGTAAGGCAGCCTAAGGAAGACCACATGGCTGGAGAGCGGCAGCCATGCTGCATTTCCTGCCTGGGGGGGCGGGGCGGGGGGCAGAGCCCCATGCGAGTTCCTGCCACAGGCTGACTCTCAAGGGAGGCAAGCAGGGAGAACCCACGGCATGGCACCCGAACCTGGCTGGAGTCTCAACAGAAGGAGCAAAATACACTATGAATTAGAAGTGGGTGAGAAACATGAAGCAGGTGTGAACGGTCTGGAGATTATTAGTGGATGGATGGGACGGGAAGTCCTTGGAAGAATAAAGAGTTTTTCTGTAAACTAACAAAAGGAACAGTCCACAATATGCGAATGGATCAACTTCGTATCTGGACATCCTGTTTGTGACGTGGGGTATATAATGTATGTTCTCTGTACCTCTTTTGAGACTCTGACTCGGGAAAGCATCTCCCCTCTGTCTCTCCTTGTCTAAAGTACGCTAGAATAAACTGTTTGGCTCTGAGTCTCGTCTCAGGCTCCATTTGCCTTGGGGTCTGGTGTCCACCCGGGATTTGCCCTGGCCAGCGACCGGCTGAGGCTGGTCCCAGCAGGCTGCCTCGGTGCCGGTGCTGGGTTCCAGCCTGCCTGCGAACAGCAGCAGGCCCGAGGCCCTTCAGTGCCGGGGGGGCTGGTTCTGCGGGGGTGGAGGAAAGCCGCTCCGTGCTCGCCACACTTACGCGACCAGTAATACTAACACTCTGGTCTTTGAATCTCCGCCCAGCGCCCCTTTCCGAGTGTCGGTGTGCAAGGCAAGCTTTGCATGGTGTCACTGAGTCAGAACACCAGCCACCCCAGACTGGCGAGTCGAGTCGCCTTAATTGAAGAGGGCTCATTTTGTTCTTGAACTGGCTGTGCAGCGACAATGAAGTGTTCTTAAGGGTTGCTTGGCAACGGGAAAGAACGAACCGCTGGCAACAGCAGCGCTGCGGTTGAGCACGGCTGAGAAACGGTGCAGGCCGTGCGGGGAGCAGCTGGCGCAGGTACCTGCCCAAGTCGGGCCGGAATGGTCCTTCTGGAATGTCCCACCAAACAAGCTGAATCGGACGGTGTCCCTTAGCTTTTCAGGGGGTTCTGACTTCTTCCCCTCTCATAAATACAACACACTCGCTGTCCTGGGAGCACAGCTGCCCCTTCAGTCCGAGGCAGCAGAAGCTTTTTCCAAAGGAGGGTCCTTAACCCTGGCAGCCGGGCCAAGCCGACCAACCCTCAGCCAAACGGGCAACACCAGGCCCGAGAATCATCTGAGGCGGGCTTCCACCTGGAGCCCTTCACATGTCTTGCACTCCAGCTCCCATCACGCCTGACTATCGGACAGGTTGGCTGGGGCTGTGGGGAACTGCAATCCAACCCACCTGGGACGGGGGCCTCACCGAGTTCACCTTGTCACTTGCTATTCCTAGCATGCTTCTGGCCTGGAAAAAGACATTGCAGGCTAAAATTTGCAGCACCGGCCTGCAGTTCGGCTTGCTCAGAGCTTTTGCTTCTTTCGAGCACCACCTCCTCTGATCTTTGGCAGCCTCTGCCCTTATTCGGTCTGGCTGCCTGAGATATGGAGAGCTGGGTGGGAGAGGAGAGGTTCAAGGCGTCCTCAGCCTGTCCAGGGAAATCTTCCGGATTCTCTTCCCCAAGGCCAGGCCAGGAGCACTGCTGTGTCACCCACCATGGACACTGCTTGCGCATTGGCCCAGTGTGCGTGACCACATCCTCCACGGAAAGCGTAAAATCGCAACTCTGCCATTGTGTCGGCTGCCCACGCAAACTGGAGTTGGACTGGATCAAAGACTCCAGCTCCAAGTAGGGGAAAGGGCACGGGAAGCTCCCGGAGGCGTCACCCAAAACCCAGGAGTGCTGATGCCCCAGGTATGACCGAAAAGGCCAGGGCAGCTCCTCCCAAAGGTTTGCCTGCACCTTCCTCCTGCACCGGCTCAGATCTTCCCTTCGTGTCACTGGGACACTGATAGGAAGTGACTTTTCTAGGTCCCACTGCAAAGATCCTTTCTCCACTGTCGTTTTCTCCTGGAGGACGTGAGGCTGCCCTGCCTCGCTTGCCAGAACTAATGCCAGGCTGGTTCTGCCACTAGTTCCCAGCATGGAAGGGACTAAACGGGGACGGGGGAGTGACCAGGTGTGGTGCTGGTCGCACTCGAAAGACTCACGCCTCGTCCAGTCTTGGGTGGCTCTGGCTGACCTACCTCGGAGAGCTGCTTTTGGGGGAAGGCATCCCTCTGGTAGATGGACAGCCCTTTCCTTCCTCCCATGCCTCTGCGGCTGGGAAGAGGTGAGTCCGCGCGCTGGAATACAGGTACTCACCTGTGTCAGGCTGGAAGGGGCTTGGTCCAGCAACTGCCCCCCTGCCCTGCTCGGAGGGCAACCCGGGATGAGGGCTGCTGCCCTTTGTGGCAGGGAAGGGCGCTGTTCTGAGCTGCACGGGCTCCATGGGGTCGCAGAACTCAAAGGGGGTCCGGCCGGCCTGCATGCCCTGCCCGCCATTGACAGCTGCAACAGAGAAACAGTCAGTTCAGGGAGTGGCGACGAATCGGCGTGCCTTTCCTGGCGTGCCCGAGGAGCAGATGGCAGGGTTGTTCCCCAGACAAGGGCCGTGGGGGAATCTGGTGGCCTGCGAAAGCCAGCGCGACCTGAGTGGTGCTCTGGGAAGAGTGAGGTGGAGCTCCCTTTCCCCCAGGTAAAACCAAGAGACAGGCAAGGGCTCTGCCAACACAGAGCAGCTCAGATCGACAGCTTGGGGCCTCGCGAAGATGCCAGAGCAGCCTTCCCCAACCTGGAACCCTCAAGCTGTGTCAGAGGGCACGCCATCATCCCCCAGGCAGCATGTGCATGGGCAGATGATGGGTACTGTAGTCCAACATGCCTGGGGAAGCACCAGGCTGGGAGCAGGCCGGAGCACCAGGTTGGGCCGTGCAACCAAGTTCCAGCATGGGCCAGAGTCTCTGCGGAGCTCGCCGGAAAGCTCGGCTCCTTCCCTGCCCCGCACGGCATTTTTCGGCAAAGTCGGGCAACCCTTTGCAGCGCTTCACCCAGGCCGACACTCCTCAGTTGCAAGAATGCTCGTACAACACTGGTCTAAATGACAAGTAGAACCTGCTGGGGTGAACAATTCTAACTCCAAAAATCCAGCTGGCTCCTCTCTCGACTTGACCTGACATTGTGACGCGCTGCTTTACAGTTTTAGCGAAGGCAGGCCGTTTAAATCACACCCATGTGTATTGTTTTGCAATGTAGCCAAACCCCACATGCAGGTATTTTTATGAGGGTCACACAGCCATGCACATGACTAGGAAAACTGTTGGGAAAAAATCAGATTCAGATTTGTTAAATATTGCCAAATTTATGAGAATTTTAACACACGCCAGGCTACACTCCCAGAGTGACGTGTGCAGTAACCTTCTTGGGGTCCAAACTCGTCAAACAGGTTACCTTCTCTACTGGAGCAAACCCCAAGGAAAGTGGCCAGCTTCTGCCTTCTCCAAGACCCATTGCTGAGCAGAAAAACGTCTATAGTAACTCACAGAAACATAGAAACAGAGCGAGTCAGAAGGGGCCTCCCGGGCCATCTAGTCTGACCCCCGGCTCCAGCCGGCTCTGCTCACGACATGCCCACCATGTGCACGTCCAGCCTGTCCTTCAACTCAACAGCCTGCCTGCTTCCTACACCCAGCAGAAGACCGATCTAATCTTTCTCCTTAGCCATCTTGTAAGTCTCATTCTCTGGGATCAATACGGTACTGATCACCTCGTCTAACAACCTTTCTGTATCGATGTCTCCTTGTCTACCCCAGGACTCCTGGCACGGTCTTGACGTGTCACGGGCTTCCGAATGGCCTTAAACCCGTTCTCCCGAAAGGCAGCCCCCCCGCCCCTGCCTGAGCCTTTGGAAAGTGTTGCCCTGCAGCTTGCTAGCAGCGCCCGTGAGGGAGGAGTCGCTGATCTGACAGGAATCCGCCAGACAGGTGGTGGGGCAAATGGTCCTTTCGGGCAGTTCAGGACTTGACGGCTCTTTTCCGAAGTGCCAGGGGGTCCCTGCTTGCGTGGGGACACAAAGCCCGCCTCTTTGCTGCTTCAGGAGCCTGCACGACTGTCATTCACAGACAAGGTTTCAAGAATCTCCTCTCCTGACCCGAGGCAGGTCCGCTCCCCTTGAGCAGGCTAAGCCATCAGAGCGGCTGATGCTCCGGTTCAGAGTGCTTCTCAACAAATGCAACGTTTAGCAATCGCAGTTTCCCTGCAACCATGTCGTTCGATTGGTTCAGAGCTTCTAAGGAAAGGGCTGACGGGGGTGGGGGGGATGATGACGGGAGCAGTCTAGCACAGAGGAGCCTCTTGTGGCCCAGATCACCTGCTGCCTGGGCTTGCTTGGTGGCCAGCAACAGGCAAGGACCACCTCTAGGCAACCAGGCAGAGAAGCACTGCCAAAACAGCTTCCTGCCACTTTTCTTCCCTTCCCCTCTTTTCCCTGTCTAAATCCAAACAGCCAGAGAGGCCCGGGGGAAAGAGGAATGCCGGCCTGGGACTCAGGAGACCCGGGTTCAGGCCCCAGCTCAGCCACGAAGCTCCCTGGGTGCCTCCGGGCTGGCTGCTGAATCGCAGCCTAGCCTACCTCAGAGGATAAAACAGAGAGGAGGAGGGCCTCGGCTTCCTCGCGGGAAGGAAAAGGCAGGATATAAACATAATAATGCATACTTGATATAAATGAAACAAACAGTCCTGCGTTATTTAGTCCTAATGATCAGTGAACTAGTTCCATGATGCCCCAGGTCCCAAGGAAGCGTGCAAGCAATGCTGTGGTTTGCTGCGTGTGGCCACACTGGGCCAGTGACCAGGCGGGCTACGGGCCCTGCAGCGGCTCTGCCACAGGCCGACTTGCAGGCACAGGAGCGCCTTGCTGGTCGGGCAGAAAGCCCCCCTCGCCCAGCACCCGGCGCCCAGCCTCCGCCTCCCGGGGCGCTGCTCCCCCAGCCACTGACTCGCAGGGAGCACCACCTCCTTGCACCTGGGGCTTCCAGTGGGCGAAAACCAAGCCCCCCACCCCACATCCTGGCCCCGCCAGCCCTGCCAGCCCCCTGTGCGCTGGGTGAAGAGGGGCTTTCTTGCCCAGGCCCTCGGCCTTGGGCTGCTGGTGGCCCGGAGAGACGCCCAAGCTGAGGATGCGGTGAAAGGGGCAGGCCACGCCTGCCTGTGGGAAGCCCCCCAGTAAGCAGGAGTACAGCAGCAACTGGGACGCCGAGGTGCACCGCCTCCGAGAGGGGAGGCCTTCCAAAAGGCCATCAGGACCTGGAGCCACGGAGAGTCTTCTCCTCTGGGGGCCTCGGCAGCGTGACATTACGTGCGTGCTGGGTCTGCAAAAGGGACGGGAGCCAAAGCACCGTCCACCCCTACCCCCGCCAGGTATGGGACCGCCCCCCCCATCCTGGCAGCGTCCATGCCAACGCAGCGGGGCCCCGTGTCGCCCTCCCCAGGGAAAACGCCCCCTCCAGGCATCTGAGGAAGGAGGCTGCCCTCGTTCCCTTAGATGAAAAGTCGTGCTTTTCACGGGGCTCTGGCTGGCGCCCAGCCACGGCCAAAGCGAGTGCTGACCGTCTCCCCTGGGATCCGGAACGAGGCCTCCTCATGCAGCACACCAAACGCGCCCAGGTCAGGCTGGCTTTCGCAGAGGAGCAGGGCTGCTTACAGAACGTGCAAGGGGCCCGTTCAGCGCGGTCTCGCTCTCATGCTCCCCTGGCCTGAGTGTGCCAGCCTCGTGCCGACGGGGAGGAAGCAGCCCTGAGACTGCACAGGAGCAGGCCAGGTCCAGCCCTGGGGCTCGGAAAGGTAGGGCGGTTCCCCGGTGTACATACAGCTCATCCCCGTGGGAGTCCTCGCCGCGGTGCTGGGCTGGAGGGACGGGGTCAGGACCTCGGACTTGACAACAATGCCGCCACTTCCGGCGGTCTCCGAACCACACAGGCCTGATGGCAGCTGGGCTGCTTTATCCAGCGATGGCAGGATCTGGTCCAGGTCGGATGCGAACTGAAGGGAGGAAGCGAGGCTGCGGGTTAGCCGCTTCGAGGAGCAAGAGGCACAGACCGAACAGGCAAGGCCATCCCGATTGCTCTGCTGGGTTTCCCAGCCCCCTGCCCACGCCTCCCTTGCTCTCCCTCGCCATGTGGCCCTCGCCTAAAGGGCAAGACATGTGCAATCGGAGCACATAGAGGTGCTCCCCAGAGCGCAACCCTGGCGCTCTTGATCTAGGCCACATCTAGGCTGCCTTTTGGAAAGGGGCTCCCAGGACTCTAGCTCAGAAGGACCCTGCAGTAGAGCAGCGCACGCTCTTGCGGTGGGTTTCTCTGTCTTCTGCTGAAGCTTTCTGTACACATCCAAAAGGCCAGAAGATAAATCTCCAGGAGAGCGGCGGAAAAACCGAGCCCATGGTACACAGCTGAGGCCCAGGCTGCAGCATGCCGAGACGCCTGGGCCAGAGAGAAGAGGCACCCTGGGACACGGGGAGGGTGCCCAGCTAAAGCTCCTCTCCGTGGCCTTCCCTTGCCTGGCTTTTGATGGCTCGGAGGAGGAGGGCGAGGTGGGGTTCCAGGCGGCCTCCTGTGACGTGTCTTTAGTTTTCCTCTCCCTTTAAGGCTGCTGGGCAGGGGCAAAACAGCTTTAGGACCCCAGGAGAGGGGGCAATGGTCAACCTTGCACATTAAGCCCGCAAGCCTCAACAGAGGCCCATTTTCTTTGTAGCCCTGCCGCGGTCACATAGACCCACCAACCCTACCCTCCAAAAGGGGCAGACAGCAACTCCTATCTTCCCCACCTAGCCTGGCCTCTGGGCAGGACCGGCGCTGTCCTCCGACGCAGTGGGAGTGCGCCAGGTTAATAACTGGGAGGAAAATATCCGGCCAGTTCTGGTCCATTTGCATTACTGCATTCAAGGTGCTGGTTTTATCCCATAAAGTCTTACTTGGGACCATGGTACTTGAGGGAGCGTCTCTTCCACCACGGTCTACCTGGGCATCACGTCCAACATCTGGAGCCTTCCCCCAGCTGTCTACTTGGAGGGAGGCTCAGGGGGGGCTTTCTCGGTGGTGGCCCTCCTCCACAGAGCGATCCCTGTACCGAGGGTCGGCTGACACCAACCTGTCACCTTCAGTTCCAGGTTAAGAAAGGCCTTTGCGCTGAAGTTTCTAAACTTCTGTTCACGGGGATTGCTCACCCCAGGCGGTTTTCTAGAGCAACTCTTCACGGTATGCTGCTCTAGCTGCTTGAAACAGGCGGCATGAAAATGAAATCAGCAACCCCAGTGACAAAAGGGTCTCCGCAGTGGGCAGGGATGTGACACTCCCCCCCTCAAAAGCCTCTCCGGCCCCTTTACTTGGAGGCCCCCCCGTCTGGCTGCAGCCGCCAGGCGAGGGGCTCCGTGCAGCAAAGGACACCAAGGGACCCCCTGGCCTGCGGCTCTCCCTTTCTGGCCCAATCCTGACTGGTAATGGGTCAAATTATAGCCTGTTTCTCCTGCTCTTCACCTTTCCCAGCACAGCTTATTATACCTCAGTTAAAAGAGGCCTTCCTTGCCTGCAGACCTGAAATCCAAGACACAGCACTGGAGGTGGGGAAAGCGCTAGAGACGGGAAGGTGGGCGGGGGCAGAGTTCTTACAACAAGCGCCTCCACCTCCATTGAGGTCCCCCCGTCCTCCCTTTTCTTGGGCATGCAGAACTTCCAAAGCAGGCTGTCCAAACGGCAGCCCCCTTTCAAGCGGATGTTTTGATTGCCTCATCAGGTTTTCTTCCTCCGCACAGGGACATGCCTTTGTGTGTGCGTGTGTGCAAGCGCGCGCCTCTGTCAAAAATATCCTGATTAGCCCTGCCTGAAATAAAAGGAAATCTGAGCTCTGACGGCTGTCAAAGATCTGTGCTCTCTAAAAAGGAGTGGCTCAAACTTTTCTACCACCCCAAGCACACGGAGCCTTAGAAAAGGGAGGGGGGAAGGCTAGCGGCTCACCAGCCGTCAGGAGAAAGACACGTGAAAGGCCCACCTCTCTGCAGCCCCCGTGGGGGCAGTGTCCCCGGGGGAGTGCCCGCTCCCTTCGGCAGCGCCCTCACATCAGCCCAGGACGCTGGCCAGGCGAGGCCGGCCAAATTGGACCCGCGGAAGGGCATGCACGGCTAGAGCGCCACTTTTAAACAATTCTGAAAATATCCTGCACACTTGGGGCGCAAAAAAAGACGAACGAAACAGCTGGTGAACGAGAGACAGGCCTTCCAACCTGCCACTTTGGCGCTCTGGAGGGGCCGGCTGGCTGCTAGCAGAGAGATTGCGGTAGATGGCCTAAAAAAGAGGGGGATGGGAAAGCCGAGAGAAATGCTCAAGAACCAATGTGAGGATCCCTCCACAGGTGAGCTCAGCAAGAGTGGCAAGGGGTTTCTGCAGCTCTTCCCAGCAGCTTGCGAGATGCTTCCTGCAACCAACCATGGGATCAGAAGCACTTCCTGACAGTTGGGACCCTGAGGGTGTGGAATGGGCTTCCATGGGAGGTCGTTGAGGCCCCATCGGTGCGGGTGTTCAAGGATAGGCTGGACATGCACATGGTGGGTATGTCGTGAGCGGAGCCGGCTGGATCTGGGGGTCAGACTAGATGGCCCGGGAGACCCCTTCTGACTCGCACTGTTTCTGTTTCTATTTGTGCTCAGACAACATGACGCTCTATTGCGGGTCCAACAAGCCCTAGAACAAGCCAGTGGTTGCCAGGTTGGTTGACTGCCAATGAGCAAGCCACCCTGAGGGAAATGGCCCGTGTGTGTATGACCAACGACCCACCAGGGCTTGTAACCCACGACGGGTTGTTGGCATCAGGCAAGCCCAGCCGGCCCGTGAGCAGACTGCGCCCACGACAAGCAGCATCGCTTCAGCAGTTACCTTGGACTGCTGCAGGTACACGCCGTGCCCGGGAAAATCAGATAAATCCACCACCGTCAAGCAGCAGCAGAAAAGCACAGAAGGACTGCTCGTTACATTCTGCTTGATCCACAAAGCACCACCAGTTCCGAGAGGAGCATGTGCAAAAGTGAACATCCAGAAATGTTCCGAGCGCAAAAACACTGGCAAGGTGAGATGAGCCTGCTTTGAGCAGAGACTGTTCCAGTTTGGAAACAAGACATTTCAGCTCTCGCACCCACATATCAAGATGTCGGAGAGGCTGACTCAGTCTCACACATACGACGGGAACAGTAGCTCCATGAGGCACGGCACAGCAAGTGCAACCTCCGTGCTCAGGAGAAAGAAGTGGGTCATTTCTGTTAGCTTTATGCATCCATGGTATGAAGCAGCTTCCCCCTCCGTACCTCGGCATTCCTGCTGCGGACACCGGGACTTCACTAAAACGATCGGCATGGAAAATGCGTATCGGTCCCTGGGACGTCCTTACGCAGCGCTCAACCGGTGCCAACACCGCGGTCCTTTCGGTGTAAGGTTGAAATTATTTGCCTGGGTGCTCTCAAGTACCGTGCTGGGTTTGCACGGCAGCGCTGCTTCTTCTGTTTATTGCAATTTGGGTTTATGTCAAGCTGTAGTATGATCTGCCTACCCCAACTGGGCCCTCTCCGGCCAGTGATACTACAACTCCCAGCATGCCCCAGCCAGCCAAGGCAGGGAGTTGCAGGTCAACACGTCTGGAGGGTGTCAGGTTGGGGAAAGGATGTGCCATAGGGTGACATTTCAATTTGTGCGTCTGCCACTCTATTTTGGTTTGTATTCCTCTTTTTACTGCCCGATGTCCCAGGACGAAGGTCAGGTTAAAATGCTTTTATCAAGTAAGTATTCAACACGGAAATGAAGCCCTGACTGGTGGTTCTTCTTCTTTAATAAAAGAGGAAACGCTTTTTCTGCAGGGGGAATTTGAGAGAGGAGAACTGGGAAGGCGAAGGGGCTTTTCACCCATGAATCTATCGCTTTTTTCTGAAAAGATGCTCGTGCATATGGAACCCCTGTGGTGGGAAAGGCAGTCAGGCGGAGCATTAAGCGGCAGGAGAAGGGGCCAGTGGGGAAACTGTCAGGTGCCGCTCCTCTGCTCTGCACACTCTCTTTCGAAAAAGCCGCTGGGGTTTGGGAAAGCCCCTGCTCCTGTGCAGATGGCGCACACCTGGGCATCTTGGGTTTCTCTTTGCCCAAAAGCAAGACAGGAACGTCCTTCCTAAGACAGCATCTGTCACCTGCACTTTTCGGTAACGACCCATGTTAAAAAGCATTAGGAGAAAATGTGAGTATCTTCCTGCTGGCACAGGGTGGGGTGGTGAAGTTGAATCGAGCAGATGCACCCCTTGCACAGTGTATGGAAGCCGTCGCGAGGCTTATGCGAATGGGACGGCGTTCCAAAACTCCAAATAAATAAATAAACAAACACCCCTCTTCAAAGCACACCCCGACTTGCACTGGGCTTGTGTCCTCCGGCCTCCCATGAGAGACGAACTGCTGTGGCCTTGAGAAAGAGAAGCAGAGCTGCCCAGATACCGCTGGGAAGGAGAGGCCTTCTGCTCCCGGCCACCTGCTCACCAGCAAAACAGGACGCAGTGTGGGATGGCGCTGGCCCTTTGCTCAGACCCACGGTTCCTCCCCTTCTCTCCCTCTCCTCCAGCGATCCAGCTGCAATACCTTCCCCCAGAGTTATTCAAGGATGGCCAGGAAAAGGGAAAAGGCAGCCCTGTCCTCCAAGATGATTTCTCTGTCACTGTACTGACTCACGTTCCTCGGTTTAGCAAGCCCCTGACAAAGCACAAGAGCAAGAGAAGCACTTGAAGACAGAAATGTGATCTAATGAGACAATTAGAGGGGATGCGCTATCAGGAGGGCTCGCGACGCGACTGTGCCGAGAAAGAAGCCACCTGCGTTATACTCAACAGGTAAAGAGCAAAACAACGGCCCTCAAGTACGAATAACCCCCGGCAGCTGCGGCAGGCTGCGCGAGTGCTACTCGGCCAATTTGTGTGGCACGCTCACTGTGTCCTCGAAACTGCAGGCAGGCTCACTGTGCCCACGAGGTAAGATCACCGGTTCGGCTGGCGGCGTGGGGGCCTCCCGGATGCCCCTCCATGACGGCCCACAGTTCTGGCCTGTGCTGCGGAAACCAAGGCAGGTAAAGGACTAGAGAGGGTCTGCGCAGACAGGGGAGTGTGCAGAGTGCCTGAAGAGGCCCCGACAACAACCCCCAGGCTGCAGAGGAGCCTCTGAGGCTGAGCGGGCAGCAAGGACAGCGCAGGATTAACAGCAACGGCCGAGAATTTGGGCATCTCAGAAATGTGAGACACCAGAGAGAAAAGTGCTCCCGGGAAGGATCGCATGCAGTCACCGTTTGGTCCATTCTGAACTATTCTGAGCCTGAGCTTGTTAGCCGAGGCATTTTTACCATGAGCTGGGCCTTCTTATTCCTCTGCTGGATCTGCAGGTTGCCTGGAAGGGAGATGCATCAAGCGCCTCACGTGGCAGTCCTTGCTGACTCAAGTCCAAAAGTGGACTCTGCAGCTTTTCCTTCATGAGGACCCTCTCCCTGGGCCTCCCTGATGGAGAGGATTAGCGGCCTCATTTGTGTTGTCCTCTCCTTCAGCTTCCACGAGAACAAGGCACGGTGGGCTGGGTGTGTGAGCACAAGCCGGCAGCCTCTCCTGCTCAGAGAGACTTACAGTAAGCACGGATCCGCGGAAAACTCTGCTGCAGGTCACTGAGGCACAATAACTCCACTAGGGGAGATAATAGGACCTTCAAATTGCTCCCCCCACCCCCGTTAAGAAACAGAAGCAAGACTGAATGTTTGCCCAGTCCATTCACAGACTTGTGCCAAACTGGGCTGCTGATTTCAGGAAAAACTGGAGGTTGGTGGCCTGCAGGCTAGAGGACTGTTCCCTGCTGAGGAAGCCACAGAAATGGGAAAGTCTACAGTGCCGCAGTGCGGAGGGTCATTTGCCGCTTGCAGGCTCTTTCAAACCATGCCACTGTCTGAAGTCATCCAATGCAAAGTTTCTGCTGGTTTCGTGACAAAAATGTTTCCCCAGAGCTCCCAGTGAAGCTCCTTGCCTGCAAAATCCCTGTCGGGGGGCCTGGGGGGAGGCTGAGCAGCATCTAGCGGGGAGGTCTATGCCCACGCCAAGGGCCGCTGAGAACATGCCTCCGGCACAGCGATGCCTCCGGGAGGCCCAGCGCGGCCGCAGCACCCCGCCGAACGCAAACCTGAGGCAAGCCCGTGTGGCGAGAGATGCCCCCTGCCTGCGGGGAGCCCGTGCAGAAGCGGCAGCGTGGGCGAGGCGTTCCCCAGCCACCGATCCCGTTTTTATACTGCCCAACAGGAGACCTCTCTATGTGGATTAAAAGGGTAACGCATTTTACAGTGCAGCGCCACGTGTATGCATAGGAGCCAATTACACACCCAGAAACTGAGGGGACACACAGAGGCCCCCCTTCCACCATTCACAACGAACAACCCCACGATCGGATTAAAGAACCCCACCACACACCGCCAAACGCCCAGGAGCAGCGCATGTCTGAACCTGGCATCAAGGAGTGAACAGTGTGGATGCCGGGCAAGAGACCTCCAGGGGGATCATTCTGCAGGTGGGGGCTGCCACGGAGAAGGCCCTGTCCCTCGTGCACCTGTATCCAAACACATGTTGCGGCGCGTGTTTCCCTTGTGCAGTCGCCCTGCCTCCGCCTGCATCCCACCAGTTCCCAGTGCTTGGACTCGGGGTGGGGGGGTGCATCCATGGTGGACGACCTGCCGGGACAGACGCAGAATGCACCCTCGGACTGCTCATTCCCGAGAGGGGTCCCTGCCTCAAGCAGCACCTCGTGACGCTCGAGGTAACAACGCGGGCCTCTCTTCCCCTCAGAGCACTGCACTGCTCTGGCGGCAGCGGCCACCCTCCAGGCTGTCGGGCAGGGGGGATCCGTCCTGCTGGCCAAGCTTCCTTTTTCAGGGGAGGCTCAGGACTGAACCGGGCACACTGTGCCCACCGAGCAGAACGTCCTACCACCGAGCTAGGCCCCACTACAGAGCCGGAGCCGGAGCCTCCCGCCCTCGCCCAACCTGGGGCCTTCCCGCTCCGCTGGGCTGCAACTTTGCTCACTCGACTCAGATCCCAGGGATGGGACCCGATGGCCCTTGCCCATGGAAACAGGTCCTCAGCCTGGCCCTGAGGCGGCTGGGTGGGTGGCTGGCAAAATCAGCCCGGCTGTTAAACCAGGCTGCCCGCAAAACCCGGAGCAGAGTTTTGGAAGCCTGCCATCGACTTTGGAGTTACTTGGGCAAAGGCCCGCATTTTTCCGCCATCCCACCCCCTGGATCCCACTGAAGAGCTGGCTGGGGGCCGGCCGGAAGGGGGAGGGCCGCCTCCCCCTGGTGCTGCCCAGTGCACTGGCACCACCACCTTGCTCAGCACCGTTCACCTCCCGGGACTCGTAGAGAAAGAGAACCCCGTGGCCCCGGCCTTCACTGCGGCATATCGTCCTCCAAGGCAATCCCCAGTAAGGAGCTTGCTTCCAACTTCACGCAGATTTTAAAGAACAAGGCAGGTTAATCGACGGGGCTGTTCCAAGCCTCCACTTTCAAAGCTCAGTCATTTAGTACCTGCTCATCTTCCTCTATACCTGAGTGCTTCCTTTCCCCAACCTCAGCTAACAAAGGGCTTCTCTCTCTGTTGCTCCCACTTCCCACTGCCTTCCAGGAAGCTACAGAATCAATCAATCAATCCTGAAGGGGAGCAGCTGCAGGAAAGGAAGAAAAATCTGGAGTGGATTTTTTTGGGAGAAAGGGAAGGGCTGCATTTTCTAATCTGCAGAGCTGGTTTTGAAAACAAATGCCTGCTGCTTCCTGCCTGGGTTCACAAAGGAAGCAGGAGCAATGTTTGGTTTTCAGATGGAGATGGAAACGCAGAAGCAGAGCGAGAAACGTGGCCATGTAGGGACCTAGCTTCCCCAGCCAGCCAGCCAGCCCAGCTCAGCGCATGATCATTCCGGCCATCAGCCAGTCTCCTGGGCTCTGTAGGAGCACCAAGCTGCTGCTTCCTGGGTGGAAAGGACCTCTGCACGTGTTCGGAGGCACTTCCGCTAACCGCTTGCTCTTGGAAATAACTTTGGCCACTAAGCACAGGCGTAGTTTGAGAACCCCTGGCTACGCCGGCTGCGCATCATCCCCCTGCTCTGCATCGCTGCGCAAAGTGCCCAGCTGCGGCCAAGGAGCGCCTCGCAGCTGGGGGCAGCAGCCCGGCCTTTTCAGGGCCGGGGCACCGCTTCGGTGCTTGCGCTGAGAGAGAGGAAGGACCCTGGACGGGGAAAGCCCACCTGACCCTGCGGCTGCAGCTTCACCTCCTCTTGCGCGGGGGGCTTCGCGAGCAGGGCCGGGGCCGCGCTGCAGGAATCCAAGTGCTCCGCGCTCTCTTTCACCTTCACGTCGTCCAGCCTCAGGGTGGGGTTGGCCACCAGCTCTTTCTCGTCCTTGTCGAGCAGGTAGCGGAGGAGCTGGTGGTCCTTGGACTCCTTCTTCACAGCATCTGCCTCCAGCCGGATGTCGGGCGTGCCGGGGGCCTGGCTCTGTGAGGCGGCGGCGGTGGCGGCGGCGGCGGCGGCTGCCCCGCTGGGCCCGCTGTCCTTTTTGTCTTGCTCCATGGACAGGTTGCTGATGTCCGAGGGGCTGCCCTCCTGGAGGAGCCGGTGCAAGATCTTGTGGCGCTCCGTGAGGGAGCTGTGGGAGGAGGGGCACGCGCTGCCCACTGGGGTCCCGGAGGCCGGGGTCCCCGAAGTGCCTGTGCAAGACAAGGGCTCTTTGCAGCTGGTGTCCGCGTCCGCGTGCCGCAACTGCTCCTGGGCCGTGGAGGCCAGGAGCTGGACCAGTTTGTGGCTGGTGACCTGCAAGCACTTGCCGTCGCCCTCCAGGAGCCTGTCCGCGCCGTGCAGCAGGCCGGGCTCCAGGGGGGGCTTGCTGTCGCTGGGGCTGCCGTCGGGGCGGCCCAGGCCGCACAGCATGGAGGACATCTCCTTGCCGTCCTTGGGCTCCGTTTTCATGGGCGGCACGCTCATCCGGCCGGGCGAGTTCTGGCCGCCCAGCTGCCGCAGCCCGGGAGGCGGTGTGGAGTAGCCCACGGCGGGCCGGGGCCCCTCGGCCAGTCCCTGCATGGGGTTCAGCGGGGTGCCCGGGTAAGGCCTGCTGCCGACCGAGCCGCTGCCGCTGCCGACCATGCCCGCCGGGGAGTGCGTGTGGGGCATGGTGGGAGAAAAGGGGTTGCCCGGCATTCTGGGCCGGTGGACCAGCCCGGGGCTCACCCGGTGCCTGGGGGACATGAACTGTGGCGGGGTGACCCCGGGGCTGCTCAGTGGGGAGCCGCTGAGGTTCAGCGCGTGGGTACTGCTCTGGGGACCAGCCTGTCCCTGGCTTAAGGCCACGCTGGCGCCCATCTGGCCCACAGGGGAGCATCCGAAAGCGGCCTGGCTGGCGGGAGCACTACCGCCGCCGTGCAGGCTGGGTCCTGGCGGGTGGCTGGTGCCGGTGGGCAGCGCGCTGCTGCTGGCGGGCGGGAGAGGAGCAGGCAGAGCCAGGCCTTGTCCCGGGGAGACGCTGGGGTTCAGCGAGGGGCTGACGCGGGGAAGAGGCATCCCAGGGTTCGTGCTCTCTTGGGGCGACAGTGTGCCGTGTTCCCTGGGGTGAGAGAAGAAAGGAAGAAAGCGTTGGTCATCCGCACGGAAGCGAGCTGCCGGCTCCTGCTTTTCTCACTGTTCCAGCGAAATCTACCCGATCAGTTCCGGTAGAACAATTCCCATGTAACAGCTGCGTGTCCCCACGTGACAGGCACAGGCCCACCAGAGAATCCTTCCGGAAGGAGCGGATTCTGACGGAGGGAACGCCTAACAGATGTAACTGGGGAAGCCTGACAAGCCGAAGGGGCGGCAAAGGGCTGCTTACCTCTGCAGGTGTCTCATCCAAGCACCGTCTTCCCACCCTCAGAATGCCTGGCGCCGGTTCTGAACCCCAAGCCCAAACTAAAGCCCATGCTCCCAAGCTGACCCTGGGATTCCATGGAAAGCCCTCCCTCCAGCAGGTCCTGGGCAATGGGCCCAGAAGGGACCCCCCCCCCCAGCCTGCCTGCCCGCCTGCTTCAGGACGGCTTCACGAAGGAACCCCTTGCAAGAATGTGAATGGCTGGACTGAGCCCCTCCTTGAAGAGGAATCGGCAGCTGGCGGGGGCCGGGGGGAGGAAGGCAGTCAAGAACGCAGGAAACACCGTTTTACACAAAGAAAGAATGGACAAGCGAGGGAGCAGTCAGAGGGCTGGTGGTGGGGCGCTGGCCCGGAAGCCAAGCCATGCGAGGGTCCCATCCCAGGCTACCCACCAGGAAGGTCCGTGCCCAGTTTAACAAGGCGGGAGCTTCTTCATGACAAAACCCGGAAGCGGAGCTGCACACGGAGCCAGAGGCAGCCTGTGCCGTGCCTGGGGCCTACCCTCCAGGTGGCTTACAGCCACAGATTTTGTGAGGGGGGGAATCACAGGTGCTCCAGAGACAACATGGAAGTAACCTCAACAACCTGCCAGCAGGTAGAAGCCCACCTCACGAAGCTCCCTGAAGGTCAAAACGAGTGGCTCCTCCCCTTATCACCAGAAAAGCACAAGAAAGGGACGGAAAGACACCTGCAACGCCACAGTGCACCTGACTGCCCAACGCTGCAGGGGTGTTCAGCCTCTTGCATCCTGAAGTCCAAACTCAGTCTCAGGGAAGCTTTCGCAAGACCTCTTCTAATGGTGGGTGGGGCAAAATGGGACAGGGCCGAACCTACTGAAAATGTCCATGTATTTTAGCCTGGAGTTGGTACTGCCAGTAACTAAGCGTTAGGAGAAGGATTCCCCCTCTCTGAATGGGAGAAGAAGTGCAAAAGCAAGGGCACTACTCTCTGGCTGGCCATTGGGGGAAGGGGAAGGGGGCAGGCCCATTGGGAGAACCCCGCGGGCCACAGTGGCCCCAGGGCCAGAGGTTCTGCACCCCTGTAGAACCCTCCAAGCTGGGTTACAGCCTCTCTTGAAGACAGATGAAAACGGAGTGAGAGGGCTTTTCTTTCCATAGAAACAGAGCGAGTCAGAAGGGGCCTCCCGGGCCATCTAGTCTGGCCCCCAGCTCCAGCCGGCTCCTCTCACAACATGCCCACCATGTGCATGTCCAGCCTATCCTTGAACACCAGCACCGATGGGGCCTCAACCTCCTCCCAGGGAAGCCCATTCCACACCCTCGGGGTCCTGACTGTCAGGAATTGCTTCCTGGCATCCAAATGGAACCTTGGCTCCCTGAGCTTGGCTCTGTTGGAGCGTGTCCTGCCCTCCTCTGCAGGGGAGAACCGGTCTCACTGCTGGCTTTTCAAACCCAAACAAAAAGCTCAGAAAGTCTGGAAGCGAGGAGCAGACACGTGAGAAGCAGCGCCCTGCTTTCCAGCTGCTGTCATGGCTGAAAACCCCATGGCGCCTCTGTGCTCTCCCTGACCGACCGAAGGAGGAGAGGCGAGACACGGCTGCCTGAACCCCCATCTTCTGTGTGTCCTCAGGATGCTCAGGGGAGCCCTGCGCGGCAACAGGCTTCCCTCAAAAACAGTGGGAGGAAGTGCAACGCCACTGCAGAAAGCAGAACGGGGGTGCGGGGCCTGAAGGCAAGCTCCCCCTCTTCCTCCATGAGGCTTTTCTTCAGGATTAGTAGCCTGAGCTGATGGGCCCTACCCACGGGACAGAGAGCCTGGACTGAACCAGTGAGGGATGGGGAAGCGAGCCAAGACATGCATGTTGCGCATGGACGGAAAGCAACAGAGGGAGGGAGGGAGGGAGGGCGGGCAGAGCAGCCCATCCAGACTCACCTCTCGATGATGTGGATGCCCATGATGAACGGCTGCATCTCGGGGCTCTGAGGGCAGCAGAGTTTGCACTTGGTGTGGGCGCTCAGCACCGTCCCGTCGCTAAGTGTGAACCGGTAAGAGGGGCTGAAGGCCGTGCCCCGGGTCATCACTGGGGAGGAAGAGACGTGGGGGGAGGGGGAGAAAGGGCGGCTTTATCCACTGCCGGTCGTCGTCGATCGCGTGGGCTCCGGTTGGGGCTCTATCGCAGAACGACCCGCGATCTCGCCCACCCCTTTTCGCGGCGATTCCCGCTTTACCAACGCAAGAACGGAGGCCAAGGTGGGAGCTTCCCAAGGTTATGCAGGCAAGTTTATACGGCAGCAAACATTTGAAGCTGGGTGCCCTTGCCCCTCCCCACTTTTCCCCTCTTCCTGCCCCACCCCTGGCAGCCAGGAAGTGTGGCCCACAGTGGGAGGGAGACCACTCAAAGTCGCCCGCTCCTTCCCTGCAGCTTTGAAATCGGGAATCTCCTCCCGCCACCCCAGGACTATGGAAGGCATCCATGCACAACCCTCAGAGAAGAGGGCACATCCGTGAACAAGCCGGCGTGCGAATCTCCCAGTCCAACAATGAGCTGGGCTGATCCACCCCGCAGAGGAGCTGTGAAGGGAGTACAAAGCCCCGCCCGCCCGCCCGCCCGTCTTTCAGGACATTTATGTTCCCCTACAGCAGCCCCACGGGATGTTGGTCCGTCGCCCCCCTACAGCCACCCCGGAGGGAAAGGATGCATTTTATTCCAGAGCAGCTGCCTGACATCCAAGCCGTCTCAGGACACTCGCCTGGCCAGAGCTCTGGAGCTCTGGGGTTGCAGAAGAGCCTCCGTTCTTTCTGGAACTGGAGCAGTCACCATCAATACTTCGTAGTTGTGTTAGGAGAAGAGCGGTGGAAAATTCCATTCCAGATCTGTGCCACCCCACAGCTAAAGCTCTCTGGGTGGCTTCTCAGCATCTTATCTGACCCGTTCTCCAAGGGGCTGGGGGACTGGCGATCCCAGGCCGGGGCCCTCCCACATGAGCGCCGCGGCTGGAGAGGGAAATGGACCCGGTGCACCCAGCTCCAACGGAAAGGTGCCGGGCTAGGAGACTCTGGGGCGTCTCAGTTGCCCTGGCATGGCTTGGCTCGCTCGCTCGCTCCACCTCTCACTTCCCGAGGGGGCTGCAGGAAGGCCTCTGGGCTGGCATGCCACCCACAAGCGGGAGGCCCACTGCCCCCCCGCCCCGGCCTGGTTGCCACAGCAGTGCGGAGAGCTGGCCGGCAGTCCGCTGGAATTCTATTGACCGTGCGGGCGAGCTCCCTCCCCGAGCCCGTGGGCTGCTGGCGTTCCTCGGCCCGTTCAGCGGCTTCCTCTGCAGCGCCAGCGCCGCTGGCCCGCTTCCCCGGCCTTTTATCTCCGGTCCGGAAAACACTCATCCGGCAACAATGGCAGTGTGAGTGGAGAGCGGGTCCTTTACCTTCCTGAAAGAGCTGCTTGGCGTACGAGGGCTCCCTGCCCTGAGGCTGGAAGAAGGCGTAGATGCACTTCCGCACCAGGTCCTCCCAGCCAGTCCGGCCTGCTGCGCGCAGGGAGCTGGTGTCGATGGAGATGATCTTACCTGTGTGGGGAGAAACGGGGGCGGGGGCGTCACGAAGGAGGCGGCCAGTCAAGCAGCGCGCCGTGCGTGGCAGTGGCTCTCCACGGACCTGGAAGCAGGGCTCGGCCTGCCCTGCTTCTCCGCCAGGAATGCGTCTGGTCCCCCTCTAAGGAGCTCTGAATTGGTGGGCGTTGCGTCCACCCGTGGCAGAAAAGGCCACGGCTGACCATGCAGTGGGTGAAGAAGATCCCTCCTTGCTGATGCCGGAGCACAGGACATGGAAGAATCAAGTCCAGCTGCAGCAACCCAGATCCAGGCTGGGCATCAGGAAAAGCTTCCTCACGGTCAGAACAACATGGCAGTGGGACCAGCTGCCCGGCGAGGTGGGGGGCTCTCCCACACCGGAGACGTTCAGGGCGAAACCGGGCAGCCATCCGAGTGGGAGGGCGTGACTTGGTGTCCTGCAGCAGCAGGGGTGGACTGGATGGCCTTCAGGGCCCCTTCCGACTCTGCTATTCTATGATTCTATGAGTGCCCTAAATCCCAAAGGGAAGTAGGCACAATTGCCTGTGCTCGCATTCATCCTGTTACCCTGGCCTCTCTCGTGTCCCCCAGCTGCATGCACTCCGGGGCAGGGAACTGATCTTTGCCTGTGATGTGGGGGGCACTGCCTTTTCTCCCCCATTTCTTTGCTCACTGGCCCTGGCCCACACCCCGCTCTACCCCTTGTGGTGGCCACCACATTTCCTTCTGGAACTCCACACGGCATCCCTGGGAGGTGCTCGTGGGGGGGGCAGTTTCCAAGTTGGAAGGAAAACGGCAGCTCCCCTGCCGGCACGGCGGCCCCTGCATGCACAGCGACTGCAGACTGCGGCCCAAGGGGGTGCCCCAGACATGCTGGGTTCATGAACAAAGTCTCTCCATTCTACAGAGCAGCAAAGACCCCAGAGTAGGCCAAGACTTGCCCGGCCCTCCAGCCTCGCCCGAACTGGTACCTGTCGTATCTTGCTTGGTCATGAAGGACTCCGATGCTGCGGGGGCCGTGGATCGGGGCAATCTGCGTGCGATGCAGATCAGGCAGGACTGCAGATCTGTTGAGAGCAGAAGAACCGCGAGGTTGGAGCTGGGAAGGACGAGGCACAGGGTGGGATCTCCACCCACCCGCCCCCCCTTTATTCACATGCTGCTTCCCCATAAAGCTGGGCTTGAAGTGGCTCCCAGCAGAACACGCGAAAGGCAGCGAAAAGTATTCACAAGGCAGCACACAGCAATCTGTGTAGCCGTATTTACAAATAGAACAGGAGCAATTACAAATAAACATGATGTTGGCAGATAAGCACCTAGTGGATTGAAATATCAAGACATGGAACGTTCCATAAAACGGTACCAATAAAACAAATTCATTGAACCACCCAGCACTGAGCAGGAGAGAGGATGAAGCCCAGGACAGAAATATTAAAACACGGGAGGACGACCTACCCCGCTGCCCACGAGCACCCGGCTGCCGCCACGCCTCCCCTTGGAAAGGCCCGCTCTCTCCCCAGCTCTCACTTGTACCTGCAGGACGCGAACGTTTCTGTTGATGCGCGACGGGTGTTCCTACTTTCCACTTCCGCGCGCCTGCAACACTGCCCGCTCCGCTCTATTTTTATGTCTGCTACCTGCACCGGGTTGCCCGCCCCGTCTCCCACACGGTGCGCCTTCTGGCACGAGCTGAAAACCCACACTTCTCGGGGTCATGCTGCCCTCCTCTGAGGCAACGCAGGCCCTTCCAAAGAAAACACGTGCCTGCTTTGGACTCCTTCCTGTTTAAAATAAGGGATTCGCTTCTCCCACGACCCACCTGAAAATGGAGCACCAAAATAGAGCGATGGCTCCATCTGGGCACGGGTGCAAACAGTACGGGTCGTTCTTGGGGTGGGACCCCACCATCGGACCGGGGCAAGTACTGCGCTAGTGAGGGTGGGCTTGAAGAGGTCACGGGGGTGGGGGGGCTGCCAGCAAGACGAGGCTTGCCTAGGAGAACGTCTCGCTGGGTTGCTCCTCGGTGACCTCGGCTGCGGGATGAGGACCCCACCCGCCACTGGCGCCCCCCGTCCTTGCTCATTTGAGGAAGGGCTCCAACCACCTTCTCCGCTCAGCTCTGGGAAGTTCACCGGAGCCACGTCTCAGCCCACACGGTTCTGCATCTCGCAGTGAAAAGCAGCACTGTCTTCAGCTGGAGGCATCACGGCAGCGATTTTCTACAAATGACTGGAAGTTTGTCTGGGGAAGAAGGGTTGGCGCGGGGCGTGTTTGTGTGTGTGCGCTTCACGCTGTTTGGGGAGAACTAATTCTCAGTCCATTTGTAAAATAAAAGGCAGACACGAAAGCCGGCAATATCGGCTCCGGGCAAAGTATGTCCTCATAAACCGTCCTCGGTCACGATCTCCCGCGTAAGCTGCAGCGGGTGGGTCGGCCACTGCGCCAGGGCGAAGGGCCGCTATGGCGAGAGGGGCCCCGAGTGCCGTGCTGGAAGCCCCTCTGGCAGGTGGGGGCGAGCCAGAGCCAGAGCCGCCGCCTGCGCCCGGGCCCCGGTGCGGGTCCAGGCCCTGGATGCAGGCAGCCCGCACCGGGGCACGGGCTCTGCCAGCTGCACACTACAGGGTGTTGCCAGGTGCCCCTGGGTTCCAGCGGAGGGGGGGAGGGAGGGGCCACGGACACGGGAGGACCCCTGGCGGACCCCCACCCCTGCAGCTTCGCTGGTCAGGGGCCTGAGGGACAGAACTTGCTACCTTTCAAACCACATTTCGGCTGCCTCAGATTAAAGGCCTCTCAGGCGGCTGGAGGGGAAATTGGCATGTTCTCATTTGCCGTAAGAACCAAAGGAGTTTCTGTTTGTCCCTAGCAGCTGGTTCGCACAACCCAAAAAAGATCTTGCCGAAGATAAAGCTCTGCCAATACCGAGCAACCTCCAAGCACAGCCTCCCTTGCTTCCTGCGGGAAGGAGGGTGCGAAGGACAAGGCTCCCTGTGAAGGGCTGTGGGGCCACGCAAGCGGTACGGGGTGAGCTTGCGGACTTTCTACTGAGCTGCGGGCATTGCAGGACCGGATGCAGGGGGCCACCAAACCCTCGCGGCGCCGATCCCTCTGCCAGAGCACCTCGAGGACGAGTTGCTAGTCCTCCCCGGGCATGCAAAGCGGCCAAGGAGGGGCTCCTTCCCCCTCCAGACAAGCGACCCTGTTGCTACCTTCGCCTTCCTCCTTGATCAGCTTCGGCTGGGACACGGTAAAGCACTGCATGACCTCGTAGCGCTGGCGGGCCTCCTGGTTCTCTGCCCCGGGCTCGTCCGGGGGACGGATCAGCATCCTGCAGTTGAAGGTGTGGCTGTTGCGTCGGGTGGACTCCTGCGGCCAGGGGACTCCGTTGACTGCGGAAGGGCGGGAAGAAGACAAGGAACCCTCAGGGCAGGGCTTGGGGAGGTGGACGCGTGGAAGGCTGGGCGGAAGGACGGGGGAGGATTGGGACCGCCACCCCATGCTCCACCGCTGCCCTCCGCCGTGTGGCCCGATGAAGCCACCAGATGGAGTTAAGGCCCGGGCCCCTCCTCTACTGAATAGCCAGGCAGGCAGTGTAGTGTTTCTACTCCAGTCAGCAGACCCCCCCACCCCCAAGGTCAAGGCGCAGCCCCTTCCCCAGCCTGGAGACCCAGTTGCAGGGCTGAAGACTGACCATCTGCACGCGAAACACCCTGAGCGATCGCCCCTTCCTCACATGGATATGTCTTACTGTTGAGACAGCAGGATCTGCACGGTTCCAAAGAAACGTGCAGCTAGGAATGCTCGAGGGATCCGGTTCGGGAGTGGGGATCCATCAGATTTCCCCGCCCGGCTCCCCAGACTCTGCCTGCGTTCTCTCTGCCCCCTGTCTGCCTCACGCCAAGCGCTTGTGGGCGTCGGGCAGGAAGTCACTTCAAGCGGAGTTCGGCTCCCGTGCACATGACCTGTGGGCTTTGCATATTTTGCACAAACTCTGCAAAAAGACACCCGCTCGTGTTGCTGCACCGCACGGGCTTGTTCTCCACTTGCACGGCTCCCTGGCCAGGGCCGAGAGGGGGAAGGAGTCTGGTGAGTGCAAGGGAGCCAGAACCCAGCCGCTCTCTGCAGCCCGGCGCACAATTCTTGACGCTCTTGCGTTCTTCAGACGCCGAAGTCCCGGAGGGGCTGTGCCAGGAGCTCCTTCGCTGGAAAGAGCTAAGGCGTTCTGCCAGGTCTGAAGTGCTTTGCACAAAAGCAAAACGCATGGCGTTAATAACATAATTTGTCTTGTTATTAACCCCAAGCAGATAAGCTGTCCCTGCCGGGAATCGCTGAAACAGAGCCCCGGGCGCCACATCGCCAGCAGCCTTTCCACAGCCCCCCTGCGCTTCAAGCTGGAGGCCACGGCTATTACCAGGCCTGCCGTGCCAGCAGGCCCCCAGGGCCACCCAGCCGGCTTCCTCCCATGGGCACCGCCCTACGTTCTCCTGAGTGTGCCCAGAGGGGCCGCGCCACCCCGAGCTGCACACGCACAGGCCCTGCCATGCGCCCGACCGCCGTCATGACGACGCGGTGGCCAGCAGCGGATGCAGGGGACGGGTCTGCTGTGGTCCGAGCCACCTGGCCGACTCAGCCTTAGGGTGGCCCTGCGAGTGGGTGCTCTCCAGGGCCTCCTGGCCCTGGCGGCCCTGCTCAGCTGCAGCAGGAGGGGCGGGCATGCCTGGCCCGAGCAGTGCCACATCACGCTTTTGGCCCTTCTGAGGCACTCCCGGGTTGTGGCGCTGCGCTGGAGCACCGGAGAGCTGAGGTGTAGCCCTGCTACCTCTTCATGCATCCCAGGACCACTGGGCCGCTTCCCTGGGTCGTGGGCCACTGGACTGGGATGCTTCTCTCCCAGTTCCCGGCATGTGTCCTTTGGGCCTCCTCCTCCCGCTTCTGCTGGCAGACCGCAAAGAGATGCATGCTGGGATGGCCTGCGTGGCCGTGTGGCGACACCGCCCATGAGATGTGGGAATTGTTCATATAAGCATCTGGAGCTGCCGCATTCCAAGCTGCACTGCACCCCGAGAGCCAAACTGGAAGCTGGGCTACCCTGCGCTCTCCCCTAGCGCCTCTAAACACCAAGTTTTGTTCAGGCAGGGATGCCAGGGACGGACGCTGCTAACAACTACAGGCAAAGGCTGGATTCTGCCACTGAACTACGGCTGTTCCACATTTATCTCCCCTCCTTAGATGTGAATTTAGTGCAGCGATTCCCATAGCAACCATATTCACACGTTTAACACAATACCACCACCCCTCCCCACGTCCAGTACGAACAAGTGATGTTCTTTGGACCACCCTCCCAAAAAGCAGCATGGGATGAACCCTGCCCAGCTCCTACATGTTAAGAGAAACTTGGGTTTTATGATGCTCTGCGGGAAACTGGCTGGTGTGTGTTTAAAAGCTAGGATGACATTTTGCAAAACATTAAACTTCATCTACACACAAGCATGTGCTGCAGTAAGCTAAAATCAGTTTAAGACCTGATTAAGTGAAATATTGATTTAAGCCTGCCTTATATTAAATTAGCTTAAGTCGATTTGATATTGAACGGAGCTAATTTGATACAAGCCACACTCGGATCAATGTTGAGGTGCTGTTTGCAGAGGGCCTGGCCTGGACTCGTTCCGAGGCCGGCACCACGGCCCGCTCGCTTCAGACGCTGCCCAGCCGAACGGGCTGCCTGGGAAGCATCTGCAGGGCATCGGCAACGTGGGATCGCAGGCTCTGCACCCCCGCCTCCTGCCGCTTGCGGAACTCACGAAGGGTGCCACGTAACAGCAGTGCCCCTGCGGGTGGGGAAGGCACTTGCTCCTAGCTGCTGCGGGGGCATCAACCCCTGGGCACTCCTGGGAGGGCACACACTTGGCCGGGTCGAAAGCCAAGGACCGGCTCGGTGAGAGCCACAGCTAAGCCAGGGTCTGAATCCACTCGGGCACACGGACTCCCACGTGCAGTGCTGTGCCCGAGCCGACCCCTAGATGCTTGCAGGCGCAGCGTGCCTCTGGAGGCCGCCCCGGAAGGCTTTGCCGTAGGGGTGGGGCTGCTGTTGCTCCCGGCCTGAAGGCAGCTGGATCCACAGCCGGAAGATCGGCACCGTGAGGCTGGGGCTGGAAACATGTGTCGCCGAGGAACTGTGGGACTGCGCCTCCCATCGTCCCCAGCCAGCACAGCCAACGGCGAGGGGGCAGCTGGAGCCCAACAGCATTCGGAGGCCCGCGTGTCTCTCATCCCTGCCCTGGCACAGGTGGGCAGGGGGGAGTCAAGTGTTTTTTGGAACGTCCTGCATCCAAACCTGCCCGGCGGCCACAATCGCGACTGAGACCGACAGTGGCCCGGGACGTGAATGCAGCGGGCAGTTCAGCGGAGACGCTTGCTCCGGAGGAGGTGCCTGCTGCTGCCCCACAGCCTCCGCAGCGGGAATTCCTGGGCCTTTCGGGCTGGCTGCCCGCCCCGGACTCCCTCACCTGCAGCTCCTACGTCTCCGCTGACGCTCCCTGCATTCGCCCGCCCCCCTCCGCGGAATCCCAGCCCTCAGGCCACGGAGGCCTGCGTGCCTTTCCCACATGTGGCATTCCCGACACGGCACTCTGATACACTCTGCCCCCCCAACCCCTGGTGCCCGGGTGCGCACATGCCCACAGCAAGAGCAGGGCTGGAGCTCAGGCACGAGCAGGTAAGACGAAGCTGCCTGGCAGGGCCTGGCGAGGAGAGGGCCGGGCGTCACCACTCCTTCCTCGGCCTGGCGCCCCACCGACCCCACAGAGCTCCCAAGGGTGGCGGAGAGGAGCGCAAGGCCCACGGCGCCTCTCCCCGCCTGCCCTGCACTCTTGGTGCTCTGCCAATTATTCGAGTCCCCACTCGTTTGCCCCCGTTGCCCCGTGCGCTCCAGAGGGGTGTCGCTTCTACCTCGGGAGCCTTTGGAAGCTCCTCTCCAGCGGGAGGCAGCCATGAGGGTTCACTGGGTCAGTGGCTCGTCCACTGATCAGGCTTTGGGTAACAGGCCATGACTTTGATAAACGGAGATGTGTTAAGCAAGAAGAGCCTTTTCATCGAGTCGACTGAACACTGGCAAGGTGGATGGGCCACTGGGCTGACCTCGCCGGCACAGATCATGGATCCGCGTGCAGCAGCGGCCCCTTGACGGAAGCCAGCCGTTCGGGTCGCGTGCCAACAGGAAGGGGCTGGGCAAGGAGCGCCCGGGAGGCTGCAGCCACAGGCCTCACCCGCTGCCCCGGCCGGCCGGCACTCGGCGAGCGCCTCGCGCCGTGAGCCCCTCCGCCTCCACAGCGGCACCGAGCAAAGCTTTCGCGTCTGCTGGGGTTTCTGGCTGGGTTGCCCACTGAGGTTCTTATTGGGAATTACATTATGATGCTCCTCGGTAAGCATATTATTCAAAAAACGAGCTTAAATGCAGATTAAGTGACACGCAGTTGGAACGGCAGCGAGCGAGTCACGGGCAGGATTAAATTGGATCGTACTCGCAAAGCAGAGCCGGCTCCTGCTCTCGCCAGCCGCTGCCCCGGCACCGTTTCCGCCTGCCTTGCTGAGCCGACCGAGACGCGTTCGGCCGGGGGAAAGAAGCACCAGGGGGTGTACTGCATGAAGCCGCCTCCTGGGCTCCCGGACCAAGAGGGGAGGGCTTCCTTCTCTTCTCTTTGTCCGGATCCCTTTCAATGAATGCCTCAATTTTTTGATTCCCCTTTTCTGAATGGGAAAGGGCGGCGTCAGGGCTCTTCCCGCTTCACCTATGACCTCACCCCGATGGTGCCGGGTCACGCTTGGCGCCCGTCCTTGAGCATGGTCAGTGCCCAGGGAGTCGCCAACAGAGACCGGCTGCCTGCCCGCTCCCTGCCTCGCTATCCCGGGGCACCAGCTCCTTCGCAGGCGATCTGGAAAACCCAGCCAGCGACATGCCCTGCGCCGGCCGCTGAATGGCTCCACCAGTCCAGTGGCAACTGGGCCGGGGCCAGGAAAACGGGCTGTTTACCAAGCGACTTGGGCAGCAGGTTTTTGACGAACTCCGCGTGATCTCCCACGTGCAGGATGCTGTAGACACTGGTGTTCATGAGCTCCTCCTGGTTGTAGCCCAAGTAGGTGGTCACATTCTCTGAGACAAACACAATCCGTCCTTCGCGATTCACGACGAAGAAGAAGCCGTCGAGCGCCTGCCGGGCCAGAAGGAGAAGAGGCATCAAGGCCGGCGTGTGCAGCCCCCGGCTCGGACCCTCCGGAGCAGTGGTCGCCGGACGTTAGGGGAACCTGCCACCCAACGCGTGAAGGGAGGGCTGGAAAAGGGGCCCTGCGTGACAACCAGCGTGGGGATTCCGCTCCCCAGTAGCCCCTAGGGCTACCCCGGCCTCCTCGCCAGCTGGAGGGGGCAGGCAAGGCTGTTTTCCTCCAGGGTGCTGTGGTGCCAAGGCGGATCTTCTGGGACGCAGGCCAGGGCCGACGAGGTGGGTCGGTCCCAAACGAGGGTCCTGCCCCTCACCTGTCCTGCTTCCCAACAGAGCCCCTGGGGTCCTGCTGCTGAGGCCACTTCCACCGGCAGGAGCAGGGGGGGCTCTGGGTGGGGCCAATGCGCTCCCCTAACCCTCACATTGGTCCACCCCGTGCATGGGTCGCCCATCCTCTGCCCAGGCCTGCCCAGCTGGCTAGTCCTGTCCGTGTCTCCTTCGGATGCTGCCATCCCGGCCTGCCGCCAAGCCTGCGTGACCTCCCCACTGAGCCCCCGCTTCCTGGCAGCCCTGCTGGCATCTGCCCAAGGCGGCTGTGCCTGCACACCTCTCCTGCCTGGCCTGCCTCGGTGTGGCACTGGAGCACCCCAGGATAAGGAGGCAGCCCGGCTGTCGGCAGCCCCTCTGCGCCTGGGGTGGGGCAGGTAGGTGAATGATGGGGCACGGGGATGAGCTATTCCACAGAGCCAGTGGGGGGGGGGGGTAGATCCTGGATTTCCAGCACAGCTCATGGCTTCTTTTCCACACGCTCCGCCTGCACTCACAGGGGGCGGGGGCGGAAGACCTGTTCCCCAAAAAAGCCTGAAAGCGCCGGATAAGCTTGGACCAGAAAATATTCTGCTGCCAGGGATGGGAACTGCAAAGGGGCCGCCTTTCACAGTGGACCCGGAGTGCCCCTGGATCCATCTGGGATGCTCCAGCAGAGCTGGGGCAATAGAGGAAGCTGCGCTGGATCAGACGCAGGGTCCATCCAGTCCAGCACGCCCTTCACACCGTGGCAGAGCAGACGCCCCAGGATCCCTCCAGCGGGGTGGGTGCAAGGCCTCCTCCCGCCCAGCGCCTCAGCAACGGGGGCACACGGACAGGCCACCTCTGGTCAAGGAGGAAGCCCATGGCCAGCAAGGCTAGTGGCCACAGGTCACAAGTCGCCTCCTTAGGAATCCGTCCAGTCCCTTTTTAAAGTCATTCCGGGTGGTGGCCATCACCGCGAACCCCACAGCTCAACGATAGGCGAAGCACTTCCTTTTCTCCATCGAAAACCTCCCACCAATCCGTCCATCAAAGGGCCCCTTCGGGTTCGCGTATTATGGGAGAGGGAGAAAAAGGTCTCCCGCTCAGCTTTCTCCACACCAGGCATTATTTTAAACACCTCTGCCCTGTCTCCCCCTCCTCGTCCTTTGGGGGATGATAAGCAACACCTAGCAAAAAGGTGGGGTGGGGTTTTGGTTGTGGAAGGCTTTTCTGGGCAGGGTGGGAAGATCCTGGTGGGCATGGCGGGCACGTCGCGAGTGGAGCTGCCCGGAGCCGGGGTCGGGAGGCCCCTTCTGGCTCGCTCGGTGTCCATGTTTCCACCTCCCGCGGGCCTGCTTCAGAGATCAGAGGGGCGGATGAAGGGCCTGTCTATCCAGACTGTGAGGTTATGTACCCATAAGCACCATGGGGCATGAGCACATAATATCAGGCAACATTTGCTGGTAGAACTGATTATCCGGCTCAGGCAGGCAGGCACTTTTTTCCAGGGGTTGCCTCTTCCTCATCGTGCTGCATGAGCTGCTGGAAAGAGGAAGCCCTTTCAGCCCACCCCTGTTCCCCTGCTCCAGAAACGGGCCCACAACATTACAGTTCGTGTGTGCAACTTTTGTTTCAGAGAGCGTCTGCCACTGGGTGGCACATAAATTAATAAATCAGCCAGCAAGCAAGCAAAGAAGCCCCTTCTCGCTTCTGCACCATGAGCTCCCCCACCCCCTGGATGGGGCAGCTCGCAGGGCAGAGCCGAGTCCTGCCTGCATGGATGCCCTCCCCTCCCTCCCTCCCTCGCTCCTCCCTGGACTTCCCACCTGCCTCAGCACCTCTCGCAGCCCAGCCAGAAAAGCCAGGCGTCTTTTCAGGTGTTTAGGAGAGAAAAGCAGCATGACTCGGGCAGGGAGGCCGTGCAGCCGGCAAAGGGAACGGAGCGAGCCAGTCGCTCGGTGATGGCACGGGGTGCGAATCGATGAGAGGAACGGCTTGCTAGCGAGCCTCCGAGCCAGGCGCCTGTGGGCTCCCCGGGCAGGGCTCGGGGACGGGCTAGAAGGGCCCGCTCCTAGGGGGGGACGCGGCAAGCCCACGCGGGCCAGCTGGCTGGGATCCCCATGCTCAGAGGAATGCCACTTGCTGGGATACAAGCCACGCCGAGGCATCGGGTGACCCACCAGGGGCTTCTCAGGCACTGGCGGCCCGGGGGCATCCAGCAGGTCTGCCAGACCCTCGCCTCTGTGTTTGCGCCCCCGCAGCAGAATAATGGCGCATGGTGGGAGTGGCGCATCACATGCAGTGGCCTGCCCAGCCCGCTTCGCTTGACCACCAGGCGTCCGTGGGTTTCCGTGCTTTTGTGCGGCCACTCCCAGGAAGCAATTTAAGCCGAAACCGGCTGACCTTTGGGGTCTTTTCTGCCCCCGTGCCTTTGGGCCCGCCTGCTGTTGCTGGGGGGGCCTGGAAACTCCTCGGAAATGGCATTCAGCTGGGAAAGGAACTCCAGCTCCTTTACGGGAGGGCTTTGGCATAACAGGCCACTGCGCCTAGCCTTCGCTTTCCATCACTTGGAAGTTTCATGACAGGAACAGGTTGTGTTCCTGTTCCAAGACAGATCGCTTTAATCTTATACAGATGTCTGATAGTTCAGACAGATTCTGTCCCTAAAAAAATACAGGAGCTCTCAAGATGCCACAGATCATGGAATAGCAGAGTTGGAAGGGGCCATGAAGGCCACTGGGTCCAACGCCCTGCTGTTGCAGGACTCCAAGTCACACCATCCCAGTCGGATGACCGTCTGGTTTCGCCTTGAATGTCTCTAGTGTGGGAGAGCCCCCCACCTCTCTGGGCAGCTGGTTCCACTGTCCTATTGCTCTGACAGTGAGGAAACTTTTCCTGATATCTGATGTAGAAGACCCCACCACAGAGGACAAGAGGAAGGCGGAGACAACCCTCTTTTCAGAAAGGGTAAGAAGCTGAAGACCTCAGTAAGCCGGCATTCAGGATGCGCCTGGCTTTTCCTGCTAGCATGAAGAGGGGAAACTAACTTGAAGGTGAAAGCTGTTCAAGCTTCTGGTTTGTTGTGCCCTTTACAAGCTAGGATCATAGACCAGGGTTTGTTCTTGGTTTACAAGTCCTGGCCTACTTGGGAGCAACAAACCAGGAGACTTGGTTTGAACATCTCAGTAAGTTTTCAGATTCGGGTTAGTTTATTCATTCATGCTAGAGCGGGGAGCCCAGAGGGAATAAAGAGATGTAGCAGAATCTGGGCTTACTGTGAATCTGCCTAAACACTTTAGCTGTAAAAAAAGGAGGAGGAAAACACCTGCTCACTCTAGAACAGGCAGGGCCAACTACACTTGTACTCTGAAAAGGCTGGACTAGGAATCCACAGGTCCTATTTCTCCAGAAGTTTGTTCAGGTACATTTCATCCAGTAACATGCCTAGGTTCTGACCAGGTATCTCCTCCTACTAATTCATCTGGGCTGATGTGACATAAAGTGGCTCAAAATGTTCTGGCCCCCCTGAACCAATGTTTAAAATTTCTTTCCTCCTGCAACCATGAGTGCTCAAGGATGATTACTGAGATTATCGCTAGAATTCACACACAGGACTCACAGGGCTGCCCTGGAGGCTGCTAGGGGCACACATGGACCCAAAGAACTGTTCAGCACCCTTGACCCACAAGCCCCAGCTTGTTTGATAACCCCCCCCCCTCAAATGCTGGACAGACAGGGCTTCACAGCCCCTTTCAGGACCCCAATGCCCACTTTCCAGCTCTGAAGGAACCCACCTCCCTGGTTTTCAGAGAGTGAGGCATCATGCCCAGGGAAGAGTGGATCTCCCCGGGCGAGGCGGCGCAACCCTCCTTAAGCACGCACCTCCAGCAGAAGAGGCCCCAGGGACTCCTTTTCGATCACTCCTTGGCTGCTGGACGAGATATCGGACTTCTGGACATCGTCATCCGCGGCTTTTTCTGCAACACAGAAGACACGTCTGGCTCAAGGAGAATTCACCTTCAGTCTCGAGAGCCCCAGAGGCTGCTCCACGCCGTCTAGACGGGAAGCAGGGCTACTGCTGGAACGCGTGTGCCAATTCGGCGCCCCCAGCTCGGGAGGACGGACGGAGGGGAAAACGCTGCTGGGCCACAGGAAGGCGATGCCACCAGCTTGCAGCCAGGGATGGTCCTCACTGGGGAAGGAGCAGCAGCCGGGCCCTTCTCCACAGAGAGGCCTTTGCCAGGTGTGCTCAGGCAGAGGAAATAAAAATGAAGCCGGGTGGGGAGTGAGCGTGCACTGGCCCAGGGTGAAGAGACGCTGGGGTCCAGCAGGCCCTGAAGCGCCCGCTGGGTGGAGGGCCGGGGGGGGGGGGGGGCAGGCCCTGCCAGGACGGGCAGACCTGCGCCAAGATGGCCCCACCCCATCGCATTTGGTTTCGGCCGCAGAAATCTGCTCATGCTCAAGGGCTGACCCTGGTGAGATGGGAAGGGGCCGCACCCACTCTGGGCTGCCTCGCCACACGTTTCCTCTGCACGTTTTCCTACACCCCCCGGCCTGGCCTGGCCTGGCAACACGTGCCTTCCCTGGAGGAGACAACCGGCCCCGGCTGCTTCCTGCTTGCGGCACGGGGGGGACTGATGCACCCCTACTCCTGAAGCACCGCAGAGAGCTGCCTGCTGGTGAGGGGAGCCCCCAGGAAGGGGAGCTTTGGGGCCTTACTCATAGGAAGGCACGTCACTCCCACCATCCTTTGCCCCCCTCCCAGCTGCTGCTCTGAGCGCATTCTGCACGGCTGAAGCAGAGGCAGGCTGGAAACCTCTCTTCAAGAAGAAGGCACACAATATACAGGACAAAGGCTTCCCTCCCCCCAGAGCAGCCTCAGCCTCGAGCGAGCGCAGTCCAGGAAAAGGCCGCCTTAGAACGAACACTGATTTCTCTCTTTGCCGCTGTCCCCAAGCTCACAGATCTGCTGTTTGGGAATAAGACGCCGGCCTCCTCCTTCTAAGCCGTTAATTGGCCCGTGGAATCCTCCTCCGACTTGAGCAAAAGAGCTCCACACAGCACTTCCAAGCCTGTTATTCAGAAGGGTTAGCCGGTGGAACGAGGTGCCGCCGCCGCCTCTGGCGTGCCTGGGAGCCCTTTCCATCCCTCCGCTAGGGAACGCGGAGGCATTCACGGGAGAAGTGCCTTTGCTGAAGCAGAACTAAGGTCAGCAGGAGTAGAAAAGCTGCAACACAGCTAGCCCCCAAACCAGGCCTCTGCTTTAATTTAACACACACCTCCTTATACGCTTCCAGCTTTTATGGTTCAAGTGGTAATTTAACAAGCATTTTGGTACATTCCTGAATCTGAAGCCCCTCTCCTTCGGCTCCGGGCAGAGCTGCAGAGTTGCGGGAGGGGGGCTGCTGGGCAGGAGCACCGAGCGGAGGAGACCCCGTGGGGCTCGATCCGTGCCGAGGGTGCCCGCTGTTCTCAGCTGGCTCTCCACAGGAAATGGGGGGGGGGGGGCGGAGGGGGAGAAGGGGGGCTTCTAAACAAAACAGAGCCTAACAGGCACCAAGGTGTACACCCTTGGAGATGGAATGAATCAGATGGTGGCTGACCCCAGCAGCAAAATGGGGAGGGCTTCCCCTCTCCCTGCCCCAGTAGCTGCTCCACTGCCATCGCCGTGGGCCCTTGAGCCAGAGGCAAACGTTCCAGCCATCGAGTGTCTCAAATCGTAGCTGCATTTACGGCGGATGCAGGGAGGGCATAATCCTTGAAAGGGTCTTCTGTCCAGTGGGGAAGGGGGCTCCTTCCAGGCCCCGTAAGGCTGGTTCGCAGCCCCACAGTCAGGCCTGCCTTGGAAGGCACAGTGCCTTCTTGGTGGTTGCCTCAAGGCTAAGGAATGGCCTACCTCCTAGGGGAGGTTTGCCCAGTCCCCTCCCTGTGCACCCAAACAGAGCATGACCGTGCCACTTTCCTCACCGAAAGAGGGCGCATGGATAGCACTGGCTTTTACCTGCTAGGAATGCTGCACCGCTTAAATGCTGGGCAACGAACAAGGCGGCTGGAGGAGTTACCGCTGGGAGCACACGCACAGAGGCGGGGAAGGGAAGGAAGCGCAGTCCCGAAGCCAGTGGTTAAAAAGGGAAGAGCTGGAACTGAGAACGGGACAAAGTTCCTAGCGAAGCACCGCTAGCGATGCACACAGTTCGGCCGGCACCAAAGAAGCGTCTCTCAGGAACATGCGGGTGCTTGGAGCCTTTCCCCGGGGGATTTTTGAGACAGGAATGAAAAATAAGAAGCTTCTTAGAGAGTGCAGGGGCGCCCCTTTGAACAAAATAGCTTCATTTCGAAGCAGCCAGGAACGCAGTGTGGTGCTTTCACGGTCCTTTACAAAGAAATTGTTTCAGATCACAACAAAGGCGAAGGGAAATGGCTTGCGCGCCCATGACTCTCACTGGGGATTAATCCTGCACAGCCTCCCTTCCCCGGCCCGGTCTTTCCAGCTCTGATTGCAAGCGCTGGAATTCAGCGCAAGGCCCCGAAAATCCTTCCCCAGAAGACTGCAGCAAGGCCTACCCGCCTCCACACTTCCAGAAACAGCCCTTCTGCTGCAGCACAGCAACCTGGGAAGATCCGGATCCGGGAGCTGGTGGCACTCGGCACACGGCGGTGGACACTGCACCGTTCCTTCCCCCTTTCCCTTCCCTTCCCTTCCGTCTGTCAGCCTTCAGACTGGAAGCTCTTACGGGGCAGGGAGCAGTCTTTTTGTGCCCGTGTTACTCTGCAAAACGCTGCTGGTGGATGGCGCTCTTTTAATACAGAAACGCCACGAGACGGACTCTTTCTAGAAAGCACCTGGGGAGAGGAGGGGAGGGCCAAAGCAGTGCATTGCCTGCCCGACATACAGAAGGCCCCGGAGTCGACCTGTGGCACATTCCGGTTAAGGTTCCCAGGTAGCAGGTATGGGGGAAACATCTCCCCGAGACCCGGGAAGCTGCTGCCGATCCGAGCAGAGAACACTGGAGTGGATGGACCAAGGGCGTTCCTTCGCCGCACTCCGCTCCGCTCTCCGTCTTAGGGCAGAACTGAGATCCAAGCACTCCCCAAACGCTTGCCTTCCTTTGCTCTCTTTCCTGATCCCAGGAAGCTTCTGGGCAGCACTGTGGCACGGTACAGCGGTGCGCACACACACCTAGCCCACACTTCGTTCCACCCTGAGAATTCAGAAGACCCCACAAAGAGTCATAAAGGGGGATGGCAAGCACCCCAGAAGTGCCGCATGCAGAAAAACCCACAGATGGGCCCGGTAACGCGGGAACCCGTGGTGCTCCTTAAGGCCCCGTCATGTGCAACTTTCCCACGGGTGGGAGGGGTCCGCCTCCCCCACACTCACACACTCACACTCCGTCCTTGTTTCTCTAACTGCCCCCTCCCTCTCCTTGCCTCACAGTCCTTCACCGTCCATCACACCCGCCCAGCAGCGAAGTCCTCCATCGAGAGGCCCGGAAAGAGAAAGCACCAAGATGCGAGTCGAGCCCCGGAGAAGGCGCCGCACCGTGAGAACGGGGCCACAAGAGGAGATGCAGCCATGTGGGAAGAGGAAGGGGAAACGGCTGGAAGGTGGGGAGCACAGGCAGGATGCTAGTGAATCGCTTTGAAGCGTCAACCGACCGAGGGCCAAAGGGGCATGTAGACTCTGGAAGGGCCCAGGCGAGAACAGGGGCTGCAGGCGCGTGATTTCCGTCCGCTCGCGAGCAATGCAGCGCCTCAGCGGGGCCCCGTCGGTCTCCCCTTCCAGCCCGCTCTGGCAGGAAGACGTCACAGAGGCCGTAGCCTGTGGTCAGCGCTGCTCCTCCTCCTGAGCGACTGGGAGACAGTCAGAGACACACGCCCAGCTGTGGTTCCCTTGATGCAGAGCTCTGATATCCAGTTAATTAAAATCAGACGTCACCGATTCTGGCATAGCCATCGACTGAGGCATGGACAGAGGCGCGCCATTTGTTAGCACCCAGTGTGGGGTTAGTTGCAGCACCAGCAACCCACTGGGAAGGAGGAGTGGCGGAAGCACCGCCCCGCGCGGGGTAGAATGGGCGGGGAAGCAACCGGGCCACACTGGGCAGCCCAGAGGCTTGACGGGCAGCCTGCCGGCATCGCCAGCGGCCAGGGATGCTGGGAGCCGACGCCTGGAGTTCTGCTTTCTGCCCACCCCGCGTGGCACTCTGACTGGCCCCGTGCCCCGTGCAGGAGAATTTGCTCCTGCGGATCCCTCCCGGCCATCTGAGGCTGCACGAGCCGAAGAGCCGGTGGGACCCTGCGCCTGCTCCCTGCCGGCCACACCTGCCGGCCCCCGCAGGTCCCTGGCCAGTCGCTCCCCTCCTCACTGCCCTGCCTGCTCTCCTTCCCTCCCTAATCAAATCCCACTCCAGCGATTTGACTCCTGACCTTCCTGCGATGCTCCAAGTCCTTGAGAAACGGACATGCATCCTGAAAGAGTAAAAACGCGCTTCTGCCTACAAAATGTACACATTTAGAAGGAGGATTAAGACCTACTTTTGCCAGCAGGTTTTTAACCTTTGCGCGGATGCTCCGATTAATTGTACTCTTGGCTTGCTAAATCCCTTAATATCTCACTGTCTCAACAATTAATATTGTATTACTTCAAGATATTTATTGTATCCGGATATTTTACTGTTGGTTTGTTTTATGATTGTAAACCGCCTTGAAGACATTGGCCATTTGGGCAGTATAAAGCTCTAGAAAATGAGCAGTCACAATTACGAGCCAAAACTACACACACACACAGCCACACTTAGGATTTTCAGCTCCATCAACACAGGAGTCCACCGCATGCGACTTCAGCTCAAGAAGAGGCTCTCTCTCTCAGTGATGGCCTTGCCAGGAAGCACACCTGAAAATCACTATGTGCCGGCCAGAACTGACAAATTAGGTGCTCCGGGAAGGCCTCAGGGTGTCGGTGGTTTGCTTGTAC